TTTTCTGGGGCCCATCTTGCCATGACCACTGAGATCGACATCGTTCATTTGGTCCACGCATCCACTGCCTTTGCTCTCGGACGGCCCCACGTCGACCAGTCTACCCGGGCGCCGTGCCGCTGATGCGCTCGACGTATCAAGGGCCCTCCGCAATTTCCGACCAACCATTCTCGACACATACAGAACCGACCAGCCGCCGCGATGCTCGTGTGCGGGTCCCGGTGGTTGGATTATGAAAGATGAAAGATCGGGTCGTAGACTCAACTCCGTCTCCGGTGTCGATGGCTAGCTAGGCCGCGGTTGAACATGCTCAGGCGCGACGAGCCAACGTTAGCCAGTACAGCGGCGGTATGTGAGGCGCAGGACTACAGTAGGACGGTAGGACCAGTCCCGCAGATTCAGAAGTAAAGGACTGCCTTGAGAGACGATTGAGTTTGGAGTGGGCAAACCAGTCTCACGCTCGACCGGTTGTCCCCCCTGCTAGGACCAAGACAGCATGGATCGACAATGAAACCGCGGCGAGTCCCACGAGTCCCAGTGACTCTCGTGAGAGACAAAGAAACGGTGATTTTCAGCCCGGTTAGTGTTCTGAGGGTGCTGCGCCAAGCTGTGGACTTGTGGAGAGGGAGACCCTCTCTCGCCCCCGCCGTCATGATTGATTCTCTCTTTGCGACAGTCGGGGTACAGTAAAGTGTAAAGTGTCTGCTTCTACTTCTCATCGTCTACCACTGGGAGTGTGCGTGTCCAGCCTCTTTATCATCGACCCTGGAGACGGTGGGCGTCGGGTTGATTTCGTCGCATCACATAGAGGGGTCCCGGGGGTGGGTTCGGAGCCAGCCACGTCCGATGGCCATGGGACGTGAGAATCTGCCAGCTCCGAGTCTTCATCGTCGACGGTCTCCGAAGAGGCAGAGTCTTTGACGGCACGAATCTGACGATGTACCTGAAACGGCTTCGGCCCCTGGGCCCTCCTCGCCCGCCCCCGGGGTCTCAGACTCTGCGTCGTCTGGCATATCGGGGAGATATGTCAGACCAGACTCGGTTGCCAGACCGTTCGAATCGAGTCCCACGGGAGCCCTCCTTTGTTGCTTGAATGCTTCTCATGAGATTCTCATTCGCCCTGACTTATGGCCAGAAGTGGTGGCGTCCCGTTTTTCCCCTCGATCACATCACCTCCAGAGGGTTCCACTTGGAGCCTGTTTCGCTACTGCCACGCCGTTCTGCATGCTGCACATCATAAGCCCCCCCCCCCCCCCCCCCCCCTCCCTCTTTCTGGTCTCCGACCTGTCTCGCCCACTGTGCTCCCCGGGAAAGGGCGCATCAAAATACAGGATCATTTGGACGATCCGAGGAAGAGATTGGGCTCGTCTATGGTCTCCATGCAGGACTATGCAGAATCACGGACGTGAGGGAGAGCAACGAGGTTGCGTCCACCGCCATCATCGGAGGATCATCTTTTCCACGAGGGCGGTGCTCTTCTGGGGGGAGAGGAACGGTGGGCGGAGAAATAGGATGGCCCCCAGCATGTTTGAACGGGTCGACCTCGAACAGACTGCGTGAAGGTTCGCAGATGCGCCCCTCTGTGAGGCTCTGGCCAAGGCTGAATTCAGAACTGTAGTGGGAGGATGAGGATGACCGGATGGCATACACTCAGTCGATTGGTACCTACTACTTACTACCTAGTACCTACTACCTAGTACTGTAGCACTGTAGTACTGTAGTACTACAGTACCTACCTAGTATGCCTACCACATGACTGACTTTGTTTCACAGATTGGTGAACAGGATGACAGGAGCATCGGCGGCCTCGAAGAAGGTCGATCATGAAATCACCTTGATTTCATCGCCGCATGGATGAGTGCAGCTCTTGGGGACCAGACTGGAATCGGTTAGATTGTGTGCGATCCTCTTTTGGGTATTTTTCTCCCATGATTATTTCGCTGTTCCCTGGCCCTTTTTCCTCTTTCCAATCATTTCCCCTCCACCATTTCCCTTTTGGCGCGGATCTGATTTACCGCATTTTTTTTGTTTTTTTTTTTTTGTTTTCTTTTTTTTCTTTTCTCTTTTCTTTCTTTTCTATTCTTTTTTTTTTTTTTTTTTGACTGGCACCAACTCGCCCGTTCTCGACCGGACGTTATTTGATGGAGGATGTCCTTCATGGAGCGCCGAGGGGGAAATCAATCGGGTTAAATCATGTTTTGTTAGGCTTCCCTTTTCTTGCGCCAGAGCTCTGGAGTCTCTGGAGTCTCTGGAGTCTGTACTGATTGGGAAACAGAGGGCACTGGACCAGCACCCAATCCGCCCAGATCCACGATTTGGGCCTGTGCTAACTGCTTATACCTTCGTTTCCTGTCAAATACGGAGCCGTCCCTTTATCAAAGATCGAGGGTCCCCATTCCCAGCTCCTATACTGTTCTTGATTTGCCCTTTCTGATTTTAAATCCGCTTCACCGGCTGATCTGACCTACGAACTAAAAGGAATCCGGGTCAAGTTCAGAAATCGGGTGGAAGTTCTTTTCTTTTCTTTTTTTGTTGTTCCCTTTTTTTTTCCCTACCAGCTTTCCAAAAGGGCTTGAAGGAGATATAATAACGGACCGGAGTCCTCACGCGCCCAGCTAAATACACTGGCGACGACCCTGGACCCTCCACTGACTTTCGCATCCACCCTCTCGCTGTTGAAGGCGATACCCCAGTCATCCACGCCGCCCAAACCCCCCTCTCTTTCAAGCCGTTGAGTTCCCGGACCGCATCGCCGTCAGACAAGAGTGACTCCAGTGCCGACCTCGGTGCATCCAGTCACCTTCCTTTCCCTCGGACACTTTCGCGAATTTCCAGAAGCGGATTGAAATTCTCGGAATCGCCGTGTCACCGTTCCTTCCCTGCAGTTCGTGGGCCCAGAACGGAGAATTGCTCACATCCTTGGGCGACCGGTCCCACGGCCTCAGTCTTTCTCGCGTTGGTCTTGATGGTACCTCGCCACTCTCGACAACCCTAAACAACTGTTCGACCGCCCTTGTCTGTCCCGCGGTCTCTACCTGGCAGGACCGTCAATCTGGTTCGAGCCCAAGAGTAGATCGTCCTTTCACGAAAAAGTTCAATACATGTTCCGCCTGGAGATTTGTCGACGTCCTTTGCCCGTTACACCCGTGTTGAGCGTGTTCTCAGTTTCGAACTCTCCGAGTGTTCCATCCCCTCGAGCCCTGGATATTCATCTTTGAACCTCACCTGGGGTCCGTCTCCCGGTGACCGGCATGGTACAGACTGATCCCGGTCATCTTGCCGTATCAGAGTCTAAACAACAATCTACTGAGGAGTCTGTAAGTATTGCAGCGACTGTTCTGTTCTTGCTTCGCGTTCTTTTATTTTCATTGGGCACTTGCTTCACATATTGTCATCTTCAACCTGGAAAGGCTGTCCCCTCTCAAGAGGCGTCTGCTACCGTCCCCCCCTGCTATGCAAGTGCGATATCACCATGTCATGAGCTGTGAGAGACTCAGACCTGGCTCAGTGGTTGGATCGTCAATGCGCGTGCGTCTTCATTCTTATAAGTGATGTGCCATGTCACTTGTTGGATCTTTACGACACACTCATCCTCATCGTCATCTTGGTGCTCATTTTTCTCTTCCATGAACCTGAGGCAACGTACACTTTCCGCTCGTTTCAACCCTCAGCCCTGACTGAGAATGCATCAGCTCGGAGGATGGACAGCTTTGGTCGCCACTTGCAGTCACAGCTTCTTCCCATGCGAGGTGATCAGGCAGTCGGGCAGTGCTTATCGCTGAATTCGAGATGGGCCGTCATACATGATGATTCCGGATTGATGATTTTCACCAACAACCCAAGTGGAGGTACCGCCTCTTTGAAGCGCGTTCAGAGTCTCTGACAGACCGGTGATCTCCAAAGCCAAAGTCAATGGGCACGAGTTGATGTGCTGTCGCATCTCAAGCGAACTATTATGCAAAACCGTCAGAGAGGGTCATTTGGAAGGTTCATCTATGTTCATCCCCCCCCCACTGATGAGTCCGGGCTGTCAACCGCGCCAGCATTGTTTGGTCTGGGTTCCATGCGAAACCGTCAAATAATTTGCGTTAACCGTTCCGGATCGACTCCACACCACCTGAACGAGGTCCTGCTGTGCCATCTGGTCGTGGTCGCTGCATCCTGGCTGTCACTCTTGTGCTCTGTTACACCGCTGTTCAATTGACCCCTGTCATTGCGTCTGGTTGGACAAGCGTCTGACTCTTGACTTTTTCGTTTCCGAGCAAGACATTTGGCTTGGAGCGAGGAGAGGCTTATCATGATCAACCACATTCACGACATGACTCGGGCGTTTCCTCCCTTTTTCTCCCGTTTGCCTCTGGGTCTGGTTTCACATTGTATCATCTTGCCTGCTATTCCGTGTTTTCTGGCGCAATTTCACATGCCCTGCAATGAGCCGCCGTTCATCTTTCCTCCACTGACTAGACATGACACCTACAGTACCGACACGGCAGTTCATTTCGTTCAAACTCGCAACAATTCCATTCTCTTCAGCGTCCACGTGCTGCTGACTTTGACACCTTTGAAAAGTCAAGCCTCATATCCTCGGCACAGACTGCAGCTTCTGATTCCTCAGCTATCTACGCGAACCATTCACTTCAGTCAACCTTGAGAGACAGTGATTTGCGAGTTCATACTGCATACGGATCATCTGCGCAAGAGAACTATTACAATCCCCATCATATTGCTTATACAAGCGCGGCATCACCCAGTTCCTACTCTCCAACCGGTAAGTTTCATTCTCATCGATCGAACACTCCTCCGGATGCATGTATTACGAATGCAGTGCAGCGCTACCTTGCCAAGTGCTGGAGCTCTGGCTGCATGGGTTAAGACTTTCGGAACCCCTATATCCCACTGTGAACTGAACGCGAAGGATACCCTTGCAGCTTCCTCGCCTTCATTTATTGTCTCTCGGCGCCAAAGCATGCTAACTTGCTCTTTAAGCGCAATCAGATCCAATGGCAACCACCGCCCAGATGCAGAGACCGGCTTACCCGCCCATTTACCATACTCCGCAATCCAATTCACCCGCGTCGGTGGCATCGCAGCCTCATGACCCGCATGGCCGTCACATGTACACCCAATCTCCCCAGATGCCGCACCAAATGTACGGTTATCCGCCATATGGGCCGATCAACCCAGTGCAGCCGTCGCCGTATGCGACACATGGCCCGCCTGCACAGACGCACCCTCTCACCTCCCAACCCATGATGATGCCGCCCCAAACAACGACGGCGGCGCATATTTCGCAGCATCAATCTCAGCACGCATCGGCGCCGTCCCTGTCCAGCAGTCCAATCTTGAAGATGGATTCCACTCAGAATACGTCCATGCAACGTCCAATGCTCAATCCGCCGCTCTTCTCACCGTCCCAGGTGAGTATGCCAAGCGGCGGTATCCATCAGATATCGTCAGCAGGAACGAGCTCGAGTGCGGCCCCTGGGCCCATTCCCGCCACCACACCCCTCGTAGTGCGACAGGATAGCAATGGGGTTCAGTGGATTGCCTTTGAATACTCGCGTGACCGTGTCAAGATGGAGTACACCATTCGCTGTGATGTCGAGTCCGTGAACGTGGACAATCTCAGTCAAGACTTCAAGACGGAAAATTGCGTCTACCCACGGGCCTGCTGCAGCAAAGATCAATACCGCGGAAACCGACTGGTCTACGAGACCGAATGCAATACGGTAGGATGGGCACTCGCGGAGCTGAATCCTTCATTGCGTGGCAAACGAGGGCTCATCCAGCGAGCGGTAGACAGCTGGCGCAATAGCAACCAGGATCAGCGTCTGCGTAGCCGACGAGTGCGTCGTCAAGCCAAGGCCAACTATCGCAAGCAATCCACAGCTCCCCCTACACCGCACATGCCCACGGCCATGGGTCTTGGCTCCGGGTTGCCGAGCGTCCCGGCCATGTCCGGTCATCAAGGTCCACGCCACAGTCTGTCTGGGCCCGGAACGATGCCTGGCATGGCACCACCGCAGTTGCACCATCATCACCACACCCATCTGGACGGCAGCCCCAAGATCGAGGAAGTTAGCGGTATGTTCCATTCGGTGTGACCACAGCTGAAGTTCAATCCTCTTGAATCTCCACTTTCAACCCATATGCGCGGCGGACTATATATCCCGGAGTTCTCTATGTAACTCTCTTTTTGTTATTCTTCGTTGCTTTTGCTTTTTTCTTTCTCATTGGCCGGTCTCTTTAACCTGCTTCTTCTATCTTCTTCTTCTTCTTCTTCTTCTTCTTCTTCTTCTTCTTTTTTTTTTCTCTTTCTCTGCCCGATACCTCCTGTGCCGAATGATTTCACCATGTATATTTGTGTTGACGATTCCCAATATTTCGAGCTGCCGTTTGTTTATGTATGTGGGACACTGCGGTCTGTTGTACATTATCACCGCTGGTGGGTCGCGGTACACAAGACCGTACTCTTTTGCTGCTCGACACTTGACTTTGGCTGTCACCCTGATGATGAGTTTGGGTCGAGCCCATGCTGAATGTTCCTGCTTCAATGGCGACTTCTGGATCGCTGACTTACCTCACGTGGTCCGAATTTCTGGTCACTTTCTATACCCGCTATATCGTTGTCTCTATGGTTGATGCCGCCGCGGCGATTTCTGATCCACCTCTTTTACCTGTCTGTGGGGTTCCTGGAGCCAGCGAAAACTCCAACGTCATTCACACACACAGTCTTTGAACAATATCAAGCGTAGGCTAATCTCTTCGTGATCTTCCCTTCATCGCTCTTCCCATTAGGCCCTACCGAACTCCCCGATGCTAGCCAGCGTCGCGATGACCCTGCCGCCACGCCCGCCGTACCCGTGACTGCTGACCTTCGACCGGCGCAGACCTTCCACGACGCGTCCAGACACCCGCCGTCTACGAGCACGAGACCATCAACTTTGCTTCACGATAGCGGCCTTGGTGCGCTGCCACCCTCACGTACCATTGCAACCTCAACAAGGCAAACGCGCGCCAATGATTCTAATAACAGCGAGGGCGACGAGCTCAGCCCAAGCAACGACGACCTCTTTGGTGCTCTACCCGCCGGCAAGCGACGAACGTTCATACTGGTCGAGGATCCGCAGCGTGGAGCTCGCGTCCGCGTCAAGGTCACCTTGGATAAAGTCAACATGGACGAGATCCCCGATTCGTATCGCAAAGCGAATGCCGTTTATCCGCGTACCTACTTCCCTATCCAGATGAAGGATGCCCCGGGGGCCAGTGTGCCCCATTCGCGGTTTAGTCGCGACGACGCCGAGCTCGGCGACGATGCCGATGTTGCCGTTGGTCGAACGATTGTGCTGGCGCCGTCCCTGGATGGGGACTATGAGATTGAGGTCCCGCAGCTTTCACGTCGGCGTCATCGCAAGGAAATTCTGCTGAATGATCTCAGCTATCGACTGAGTTGGAGCCAGAGCCGAGTATTTGCGGAACGAATGCTCTTCTTACAGAGATCCCGTAAGTTGATGTGCAAGATTTGATTTTGTTGACCGCCCGGAGGGTCCCTGCTTGTGGTACGAATCTAGACCCCGTACCCTTGCGACATGTACGCATGTTTTCGGGACGAGGGTCGTTGTTCCCTTCCGAAATCGGAATTCGAGGTACACGTCAGATCGTGCTTGTCACATTCCTCATGTTTGATGGCGATGCTCTTTCGGAGCATGGTCCCCACGTGCTGAATGCGGACATTCGAGAAGCAGGGCAGGCCGATCTTGACACCTCCCCCGACCCACACCTTCCTCCGCACATTCCCCCCAATCCGAGTTGAACCCTATCACGCCTGTTTAAAAAGCTACTCCACCCTTGACACATGTACAAAGAATTTTCGGGAGGCAAAGATCGCAACTGTTGCAAATCAAGATGGGCTAACATCTGGAACCTTTTTTTTTTTCTTTTCTCCCATTCTTTTAGTTGACGCCTACCGAAACAAGATGCGCAGCAGTATTCTGGCCGCTGGATCAGACCCGTCCGAGGTACCGGACCATCTTGACACTCGCCGCGGGAAACGACGATTTCTGCAGCGTTGTGCGCAGTCCGATGACGAGGGGGGGATAGAGTCGGGGTCGGGGGGTGCGTCTCGTCGAGCGGTGGAGGAGATTGAGTAATGCATCGCCGGCGAAGGTGGTCTTGGATGAACATGGGTTTATACGAGGTGCATGTGACTTTGATGGAATGCGCGTGTTTGGTCCTTTTGGATTGCCCTTGGACCTTGAGACGTGAGGAAGAAGAAGAAGAAGAAGAAGAAGAAGAAGAAGAAGGAAGAGAAAGAGGAGAACTTATGATGGAACGAAAATGCGGGATGATGATCTCATGAATAATGATTACTATGACTACGATTATGATGGCACTCATGACTATGGCGGGACGATGATGATGATGTTTATGTTTACGAAGGATTGATATAGGTGCACTTTTGAATGCAATTTCAGTTACGCTTAAACGAAGTATGACTGCAAAAAGATGATCACAATCACTTGCAATCAACAAAATCGTATAGTCTATCGTTACCCCGAATAGTACAAGTGAGGACCAGACCGTCCAAACACTGGAATCCCGCTCTCTACGGCAGTACCTTTCCCTCTACTTCTGCCATGTCGTCCCGATCGACCAGTGAAGCATCGGTGTACCTGCCAGCCTAGAACGATGGAAGGTAAGTTACATGTACGGAATGTGGATGTGCTCCTGCTGGCATCTATCTCGTGGCTTGACTCAAGACTGCCGCCGGACTCGTCCATATTGACACGATCACGTGGATGTCTCAGTCGTGCGCGGCGGGCTCGGTCATGTGACCAGAGGGGTTGAAATCGAGCGGAACCTGGGGGCCCTGATCCGACGGGACGGGTCACGGGACCCTGAGAATGGCTGACTCAGCAGGGACGGAGACGGGAGCGGCCATCGGACGAGATCGAGTCCAGAGAGACTCTGGAGTTGGCGGTTGGAACTTGGGAAGGTCCCGGTTTTAATTTAGTAACAACTTAACAAGTAAACCAAATCAGGATCATCAGACGAGGACTGGGTTCTGTCGCTCGGCATTACTGATACTATATTGTACAGGTCCTTGAAGAAATCTCCGATCGATGGAGTAAAAGTAGGTAGTCTGACGCTGTCGAACGATACGGAACCCTTCTCATGAGCGACAATGCTTCATGAAGTTCATGTCTGTCTTTCAGAAATGATGAAATGCCACACGGGGTCCACATGACGGAGGCTCTCCTGCCCCTGCCGTGTACCCTCATGGGCTCCGGGCACAGACACTCGTCCTTCTCCTTCCCCCACCGGACGGACGGCTGTTGCTTGACGTTATTTCGAGAGACAACCCCGGCTCCACTGTCGTCCGAGAACAGAGGATTCGGAAATCCAAAACGAGCACTGCTGTATACTGCACTTAACTACCAACTTGGCCCAGGTACCCACTGCAGCAGCTGCCGAGTCATTGAAATTCAGTGCCTCAGAGGCTCAAATACCTCAGTATTACTGTATTACAGCGTACAGTACATACTACATACTCCAGCTGGAAAGGAAAGAATAAGACTTTCTTTACCGAAACAAAATCTCTCGGGACGGACAAGTCTGCCAGTCCCAAACGGGAAAATCATCCTCCTGATTCTGAAAACAACAAATGATCGTAAACGGAGGGCCAAAAGTAAATATGTGTACTCCTCCTACAGTACAGTCGTCGGAGAGGGCGCCACACTAGCACTACGACTACAGATTCCCTTTGACGTTTCATCCTCGCATTATTGTTCTTCGTCACGTTTCTCAAAAGTCACCACTTCCCTTCCGGGTGCCGTCACGGGTCAAGTCGTCTTTCGAGATCGTCTGCCCAGCTTCTTCATCTCCTCACTCTTCTTGCTCCCCTCTTCCGATCAACATTGTCGCTCGCACGTTACTTGGACTACTTGCAGATCTGCCAGCAGCACTTGACGCCAGAGTGGTAAGCATCAATTGCCCCCTTCCTTTTCATCTTCTCATCCTTTCATTCTTTGTACCCTTTGTATCCTCCATCTCGGTAATCTTTGGCCTCGACGGTCGAGTGTCCACTGTCCACTGTCATACTCCATAGTCCACCTTCTATCGTTCGTTGCCCCATCCTGCCTCCTGCCCCCCCCCCCCCCCCCCCCCCCCCCCAGGTTGTCCCGGCCACGCTGCAGTGGCCCAGTTGCTGCCGATCGATCGGGTCTTGCTCCGGGGTGCTTTTGCTTGTGTGGTGGGTAACCGGTTGCTTCAGTGCTGCCGGCCTTGATTGCTTATTGCTTAATCACTGGCTGCTATATGGCTGGCTGCCTGATGCCCGATGCTTTGTGCCATTGTGCATCATGGTCTTTCGACGCCCTGACACCTGCCCTGACCCACTCCCACTCCTGCAACAGAACCTTTCTCCAAACTCCATCAGATACGAACGGAAGCGAAGAGAAAGGAGAGATGAGACGCTCAAGAGACTACTAGGCTTGCGCACCGACTGACTGACTGCATCCGTCGTCTATTATAGTCCACATCCGCCTCCTTCAACCTTTACCCGTCCCAGCAACACGCCCAATTTTTCCCGTCACTTCCACTTCCGGTTGAACCTGACGTGGGTTTCAGCACTAGTCTACGCCTCTTCTGTTGTTTTGGCCGACTCGCTCCATCGCAGCCGCCGTCCTTTGACTTTTCTTCACCTCTCTCACTTCTTTGTTGAGACTTTTCCCTCACGCTTGTTGCTTTCCTCGAAAATTATTAAACTCGCTGACGAGTAATCATCAACCGGTCGAGAGGTACCTCGCATTTCATTGTTGTACGACCGGCGCATCAAACCTGCACTCTTCCCCTCATACGCTACTCCTACTATCAGCGGCTGAGCAAAGACCACCCGCAAATTCGCAAAAAAAAGGTGCCCACTTCACATCAACCGTGGACGGCTCGTGGATCTGTTGTTGGACGGGGACCCTGTAATGCCGGTTTCCTAAACTTGGCTATTGTTGCTCACTTTGCGTTTGGATCGCCCAGCGTTCGCTTGTTTTTTTTTCCCTTTCCTGTTTCATTCCCTCAGTTTGGAGCGACAGCGGACCTGCGACCTACTCTCTTTCTGAATCTCCATTTCGAAATACCCATTCGAGAATTCGACGGTCGTCTCCGATCAGCAACACTTGAGACTCCTCGGGACCTGAAAAGTTCCCCGTTACGTCGGCCTTGTTTTCCCCAAAACTCGTGGTAAAGACTCCCCTCTCTCTCTTTGCCCCCTCCCGAGGTTGGTCCGCCATTGTTTTGGGGGTCTCCATCCCGGCCGCTTGGTGGACGTGGTGCAAATGAACTACGACGACAATAATCGTCACGACCGTACCTCCGCAGCGCCACTGCATACGTTCCCGCACGTCTTGCGCCAAAACTCCTCCGTCACACCCGGGGTTGACAATTTGGGCCCTTCTTCGGTCGGCGGCGGTATCAGTGGAATCGCCCTCGGCGTCGCCAACAGCCACGATCGCTTGAGTGGCATTGACGCAGTGCACGGCATGGATCACGATGGTTTCACCGGCCCTGCCGAGCGCGGGTATCATACCACTGGCTCGGACAATCCATACATCCCTTATAATCCGAATTTGAGTAGCGCAGAATCGCTGCGAGCTGGTCCGTCCTACGGCTCAAGCCTGGCCTTTGGCGGTGCAGGTGCCACCCCCGGCTACCAAACTCCATCTCATTCATCGTTACATTTGAGCGACACGAGCAGTCATCAGCGCAGCATGATGGAGCAGTTTCCAAGCGGGTATGGGGGCGGAGGACTGGTCGGTCTGGGACCGTATCAGCGACACTCACAATATAGCTCAGGCCCCGTGCCCGGCGAGATCAACCCGGAGGAAATTGCAGATGATGACGACGACCTCGATCCTCGAACGCGGAATGCGGCCGCGCCCGCGGCGGGCGGGGCAGCTGCCGGTGGTATGCTAGGGGGACTCTTCCATCGAAATGCACATGCCGACCCCAACTACGGCCCCGTACCCGGCAGCGGGTTAGAGGCCGGAGTCCGCAATGGCGCAGGGCAGGAGAAAGCTTCCATACGGGCGGCTGCGTCGAATCGCAAGAAACGCGGGTTGATCGCAGGTCTTGTTCTCGCGCTCATAGTCTTGGGCGCCATCGTGGGTGGTGCGCTGGGTGGAACATTAGGCTCACAAAACTCGCACTCATCATCAAATTCCCCTTCGTCCGATGCTGCGTCCGCGACAAGCGACACTGCTCAGAATGGAGATCTCAACAAGGACTCCCAGGAGATCAAGGCCTTGATGAACAATCCTGATCTCCATAAGGTTTTCCCGGGCATGGACTACACTCCTTGGGGAGTGCAGTATCCTTTGTGCTTAAAGTACCCGCCATCCCAGAACAATGTCACGCGCGACATGGCTGTCCTCTCTCAACTGACAAACACCGTCCGTCTGTATGGTACCGACTGCAATCAGACGGAGATGACCCTGCATGCCATTAAACAACTCGAATTGACCGACATGAAGCTTTGGCTAGGCGTTTGGATCGACACCAACAAGACCTCCACCACTCGTCAATTGAACCAGCTTTACAAAATCCTCGACGATACAAAGGACAAATCCATCTTCAAGGGAGTCATTGTGGGCAACGAGGCCCTGTACCGAGCCGGTCCTGACATCAAGACTGCAGAAAAGGTCTTGATCAGCTACATCCAAGACGTGACTGCGGAGCTCAAAAAGCGTAATCTGAATGACTTGCTCGTTGCCACGTCCGATCTGGGTGATAACTGGAACTCTGAATTGGTCGACGCGGTCGACGTGGTCATGTCCAACGTGCATCCGTTCTTCGCCGGTGTCAATGTCGACACTGCGGCCGCTTGGACGTGGGACTTTTGGCAAACTCATGACGTGGTCCTGACCAAAGGGACGTCCAAGAAACAAGTCATCTCCGAGGTGGGCTGGCCCAGCGGAGGTGGTAAGGATTGCGGTTCAAGTCCGGTCTGCGATTCCGAAACGCCCGGTTCTGTGGCTAGCATCGACAACATGAATAAGTTCATGGGCGACTGGGTTTGTCAGGCTTTGGAGAATGGCACGGATTACTTTTGGTAAGTTGACTCTCGCCCTTGCCCTGGAGGCAAGGGCGTGTCCACGGTCTTTTCATCACCCATCATATCAGCGAAGCACAAGCACTAACTGCGCCACTACTTTTAGGTTCGAGGCCTTTGATGAGCCCTGGAAAATCATCTACAACACGCCGGGCAAAGAATGGGAAGACAAGTGGGGTCTTATGGATCCCGCGCGCAAAATCAAGTCGGGGTTGAAGATTCCAGATTGCGGCGGCAAGACTGCCTCATAGACCTTCCAAGATTGACCACTCTGACCTTTGTTCCTGTTCCTCTTTTCTGGTCTTTGATGCATCTACTATCTATCCCGTCCCGCTCTGTCTATGACGGGAAGAATCACGATTGACATGAAGGTTCCCTCTACCGCCTGCCACGTCTAGCCTTTGTACATTGATCGCCCTCTTTTCTCCTGCTCACGTCACACTACCTTCATCTTCATGTCTATTCTTGATGTTCTCTGTTCCTTGCAATCATCATACTCGTCTCCCTACCTTGTGTGTGTCTTGTCTTTCCCTGCTGTCTCAGGTGGCTGCTGATTGCCCACCATCATGACATGGTTTCTGCATCGTCTTGTGCACTCCTTTGCGTTGCAAATGATTCTCCCAGCGAAATGTCCGTTCAAACCCCTCCTCGTTACATCGATCAATGAAAACCACCTCGCTGTTATTTTTCGAATAATCTTCTCCTTTCCTCCAGGACCATGCGGCAGAAGTATCTCTTGTCGCCTGTGTTTTTCGAATCTTTTGGGTACACTATTTGACCTGTTTGCACCCGGCGGCAACGGTTGTGTGAGTATGGGGAGATGGGGAGCTCCGCTGATGATCTGGTCCAGCAATTAGTTTCAGTCTTTCTCTTGCACTTGGTCTCAATATGTCCTGTTACCCTGTAACATTGAGAATGTATGATGACAACCCCCGATCTGTGCCGATCCTACTCGGACATGGCTCTCTCCCCGTCGCCGAAGACGCGACCCCACTGAAATCGGCCACAGCTAGTATCCTGATGAGCAGATGTTCTAAATACGGTCCGACCATTCCCGCTGCTTTCTTGCCGTTCATAAGCCTCGTTGCGCATTGTCCTTCGCGTTGTACAGAGACGACACCATTGAACAGTGCTATCGATGAAGGGAAAAGACCGCCTGAATTCGTCACCACGAAGCTCATTATGGACCGATACAGAGAGCGAACGCGCGAGCAAGAGAAGATCATCTCCACGTGTCATAATCATCATTCGCAAGAGCCTTGAATGACGACTCACCACTCACGAGTTGGAGTCGATGAACATCGATATTCGATGCGCCGGACATAGACAATAATCTCGTTGAATCTTATCACATGGTGGATGAGGTCAATTGAACCCGCTTGATGTGGCCGCGCGGGGAGATCTCCACAGATACTGGCCCAGCGCCTGGAAAGGAGCCACTTTTTCCATTCAGCTTCGACGTCCCCTTGACCTAATTGTAATGGACTACTTTCCGTTGGTCACGGGTGGTTCATGGAATTCCTGAGACTAGGTTGTCTGCGAAGTTCACGATTTACTGCTATATCACCAGTCGGGTTGCGGCTGAGCAGACTAACATATGCGCAGAACCCTGCCGGCGAGTAGGGACGATCGGCCGCATGCTGTATAACATGACATTGGGAGTGTGGGGGTTTGTTGACCCTGGGATCTTTCTATGCAGATGACGTCCTCCCGAGGTCATACTGTCGATCGTGTGTCGGCTCTGGTCAACTACCGGAGGGCCCAACAGCGGCTGGAATAGGCCTCACGGACTGTATGTCGGTACTTGGTACCTGGGGGAGTCCACTGCCCCCGATTTGCCGCTATGTTACCCTTCTACGGGATGTTGAGGGCTACTCAAGTAAGAAGAAACCGGGGAGAGTCTGACGGTAAGGGAGAAAGGGTGTGAGTTCTATTTGGACATATTCGGTATTGACCACTTGTTTCCGTGCATACAGCCTAGTTGGTCAATATCATCGACTAGGTGATCAAATGAAAGTCGCACCCTTATCCCTGCAGATGGGCATTCGCGGGCGGCCTGAAGATGGACTCACGTGTAATCCACTTTGCATACCCTAGCTTTGCTCTTTGTATTATGCATCAGCTAGTCCCGTTGGCCATTGGTGCCTGTGTGTATATCCCGGCCGAGGAGCAGTTACAGGCGAAAATTGAGCGTTCGATCCTTCGAATGTAGGCGAGCTGGCTGAACATGACTCCTTCAGCGGCTCGGACCATCGATCCAGCAGGGGTCTCCTGCGTGGAAAGAGCCCTTTTAGTCGGCGAGCCAATCCACGGACGTGACATTTCCGTCTGGAAGAGTACTGGTATGACGGCTCTGAGTTATTATGGACAGTTGGAGAATTCCAAAGCCAGCATGATCCGCCCATTGAGGTCGCCGATATCAATCGCAGCACTGGCTGAAAACCATGACGAAAGTACCACGTGTTGCGATCTTGCCAGCGCAGATCCCATCCCAAGCTACGGTCCTTTCTCGACGAGGTACGTCGTGATGACCTCCCCGGATCTCTCTGCAGGCAGATGCGCGAGCACTGACATAAAAACCAAATGACCGCCCGCCTGACCTCAGTGAATGAATGAATTTCCGCTTATAGATGCCGGCATTGAGTTCAGTGGGCCAAGGCCAGCTCTCGTATTCTTCGAGGCGGCAGTGATCCAGATAAGATGGCCGTCGACGGCGTTGGATTTTATCTAGATCAAAATTCGTGCTGGGTATTGGTGGCGTGAGGAATGTATCGTACATCGGCCAGAGTGATCTTTGATCGTTTGTAAATGCGCGATTCATGCTTGGCCTAGCTTTCCTTGCTCTCGTCATCATCATGGTCGTGGTCACCTTCATTGTTCCCGATAATATAGTCTCGTCCTCCAGAAAGCATGTTCAGATACTTCGAATGACATCAGGCAAATCGAGCTCATCTTGTCCGCAAAATTCTGGATAGTTTCTGAATTTGTGTCCTCCAGAGGCCCGCCAAACACCATGGACGGATTGAATGTGAGCAGTTGCTCTAAATGCTTTTTCTCTGCACCTGGGCAGAATAGCAGCGTCTGTGGGGTGATCAGGCTGAATGCTGCTGGGTGAGATATCACGGTGATTCCGAGGGAGGAGAGAAGAGCGGTATCGAGAGTGTTGAAGACGGGGTCTTGTGCGTAGATTGGGATGGCCTCTGAGAGAGATTCTGAAATCGTGTTAGTCTAATGCGGACGGAGACTCTTGAGAGCAAGGAAGAGGGATCGAAGAATCACGAACGAGATATTTGCGACGATACGCTTTCCAAAGCAGCCAGTTGATACATCGATACGCTTCGACGATCAACCCATCCACCACGCAGAAATCCGCTCGGACTCCCCAGCCCTACACAGACGACTTTGTCGACATGAAGGTGCCTTGTTTGCGATGCGTTGCCCTGTTCAGTACGCTCACTATCCATTTTTATATCTTCTATTTGATACGACGCGTCTGCAATGCGTTCGACGAGCCGAGCTTGTAACCGTGTCCATGTCTCTGAATATTTCCATCTGTCCCGGTGCTCTCGATATTGAGCCTGTAGTCCCTCGAGCGTCAATCGCCCTGGTGCCTCTGCTGGAGTGAAGGTTGGCTCTTGACCATCGATGTCCTCAATTAAGGTCTGCTCGTGCGACTGCAATTGCGGCTGGGTTCCGCGAAGTGTGCGTCGCACATTATTACTCGAAGTAACATGTGTCCAGCCGTCGTCATCGACGACTTGGAGCCGTTTTTGAGGTGTTTGTGTTGATGGACGCTTTTTGCGAGACGTGTGAGGCATGATTTTTTATCGTGTTTTAGTTTGTTGCACTCCAGTCCCTCCGGTTTTGGAGTCAAGAGAATTAGTGACCGTCCTATTTCATACAGCTTTTTTTTAAGGTGGGGAAAAAAGCTTATCGGGGTGTCTGGTTATCGATAAGATGGTAGATAAAACCCAGCGATCGGTTGATGGCCGGACTACCAATTCGTACGAGGTAGTTTAATGCTATGCAGTATGCTGAATGCTCTACTACAACATGTATGAGTTCCTGTGCAGGTTCTATCTATAGGACCAGAGGAGACAATCTTAGTACGGGTGCGATAGCAGTAGTATTGTCTCCAACCTGAGTCACATGGGTCATTGGGAAGTAAACACTGGAACCGCTGGGTACCTAGTGCCACCCGTGGATAGGACTAGATGTGTAGACTGTGGAGCTCCTTTCTTTGGTGACAGGTTGCTATACTCGTGCTCAACCTCATTCCATGGAGTTTCTGACTCGAAAGCGACTACTTTTCAATATGCGCGCTCTCTATCAAGCACTCAACAAGCCGTTGTGATACGCAAAATCACTAGGTTTAGCGTCCTTCTATTTGCCTCCTCTTTGCTACATGAATTTTGTGTCGGAAAGCCGTGAGAACGCCCATCACCGAATAGCCCGACACTGTTCTCATCACACCCTTAGGTACATTATCACCCACTTGCAGGGACAAGCGCAGCGCCGCGGGAGCTAGGTACGACGTTCTTGTGCAATTTCTCCACTCTCACTGTTGGAATGATTCTGTTCGACCGTTCCTTCGTCTCGTGTCGCTGGCAGCACTCGACCCTGAGACTGTGAATATGGCCACCCGTTAGCGTCCTCCCACGGCGCTTGGAGCTTGGCCGACTCCGCCAATCACATGTATCAAGTGGGTGATGGCACTTGCAGAGCTGCAGGACACTCCACCAGCCGACTGCACAGGCTTGAAGCATCCTCGTCCGCTGGTGCTCCGCATCGCGACCGTCCTCCACTCAAGTGCTGTGCAACCTGCAGTCACTGTCACATTCCAATCTGTACGGACTACGGCTTGCTCGTCTCGCGCCAAACATGGCCCGCACCATGCTGGCAATAGCAAAAACTCTCCCCGCCCTTATAAGGGAGCTACCGTCAGCCTTCGGCCGTGCGATCGGAGGCTTATCTTCCTGGGTCCTCGAACAGATCTTCTTCTCTTCTGCGCTGATCTGAGATTCATTGCGCCGTGGAGTTCAGACATACCATCGTGCCTGGGCGATGTTACAAGTATAACGGGACCCAAAACTGTTAGCACCGATCCGAAAAGCATCTCCAGTACAAGCGGCTGTGCCCTGAGCTGGGAGGTCATTTGCCGAGAACGCAGCAACAAGACTCCTTCATTATTCGTGCTGTTCAGCATTGCATCAGTCTACGCAGACCGTTATTTTGCTCTCCCCTGTTCATCTCTCTTTTTTTTTCCACATTTCCCAAGATGTCTCTCCAGCAATTATCCTGGCGATGGATAGCCCTAGTCGCCATATCGTGGGCAGCCATCGCTCAGGCGCACAGCATCATCACCTACCCTGGTTATCGAGGAGACAACCTCCACACAAACGGAACAGTGGCACAAGCAAATGGACTTGGAATCGCATATGACCCCGTCAACGGATCACTCTACTACCCCTACGGAATGGAGTGGGCCTATCCATGTAAGTCTAGCGCAAGATCACCTTGTCCAGGAGGTCAGCAACACCGCAACATTTTCTAATCTTCGTGTTCTGGGAACTGGAAGGTGGCGGTATGCCCACATCAAAAAACCGCACGTACTGGCCTATCGGTGGTGGCGCTGTCGCCGTCCAGCCCGGTTGGTTCCAGGGTCACTCGACGGCCCTGATCTACATCAACATGGGCTTTGGCGAGGTCCCCGAGAACATGAGCCACCCGGTTGTGCCACCCTTCCAAATTGTCGGCCCTACGAACGACCCTTATCCAGGCACCATCTGCTTGACGCAGATCCCTCTTCCGCAAGGAATCAATGTCAAGGTGGGCGACAAGGCGACCATCCAGGTCGTCGAAGCTGCAAAACACGGCGCTGCTTTGTACAACGTGAGTGAATCCCTGCTGCCCGGATGACCAGATTCACCAAGCAAGAAGCGAGATTCTGACTAAAGTATGACCATTATGATATGCGCAGTGTGTCGATATCATCTTCGCCGAAAATGGAGACTCGAAGATCAAAGAAGTCACGGCTGACAACTGTTTCAACTCGAGCGATATCGGCTTCCAATATATGTACACCACAACAGGGATTGGGTCTGGAGCCGAGATGCTCCAACCTCTGAGAGGGATATGGCTTGCATTTATACCATTGTTGTTGGCGCTATCGTTCTTGTAGATCCTACAACGTCTGCTATCGAATACCTCGTGCTCTGCTTTGCTTCACGCACTGCATGTTTCTGTATGCTATTGTTTTGATTTACACATACCCATATTTCGACTGCAATTTGTCGGGAAATAAAGCATGATACCATTATCCTCGTAGTTCTGATAATTAGATAAGTTCATCAGGAAGCTGACACAATACGTGTCGTACTGGAGGACCCCTTCCAGATTCGGTCAGGTAGACCTGCTTATATCAAGCTGTCCTCCAGCTGATACGCTCGGTCATGCAAAGAATTCACAAGTTACTCCAATCTTACTACACTAACGCGGGATTGACGCCCGGCCTACCTATTCTTAATAATCTACTGCCCGAGAATCCTTTACCTACGAGAGGGACATCTGCGACATAATTGATAGCCCTCTTGAGCTGATCACTGTTACACCTCAGCAGCCAGCCAAAGCTATGAAATGAGCGTATTCGTTTCGTTTCGACAGACAGGGGTGTTACGAACTTCTTCCAGCTTCACCAGTGAGAATGACATTAGGCATTTCGTAAATCCAACAGGATCGTTCACTTTGGGCAGTTTAAGCAGATATCACGACAAACTCTTCAAGTACACCCTTTCATCAATATGACAGACATGGGTATCACGCATGAATCTGAAAATGCTCCACAACTCCTCGCGCAAAGACATTTCACACATCACAATGCAACAGACACATAACGGAAATCCCAAAACACGTTGTCTACATCCAGGCAAGATCACATCACCACAATGACCAGTCACATTGATCAACGTCCAGGCGTATCCCATACATCGACTTGACAACATCCATGCTCATCCAGATCTTCTCAACTTCTCAAGCGGTACAGGTCATGTTGAGCATAAGATAGCCGTCGATATCGCCCAGGTCAGGCTTGTGCAATGTTTGACTAGCCACTAGCCACTTGTCGACCCAGCGCTTCTGCTTCATGATCCTCAGGGCAAGAACCATATTGTCTGCTTCCTGCAGAAGTCGAACAGCTCCACGCATGCGAGCGATGATCTCTTTTTCAATCATCGCATTCATCATTCCTTCCTCCTCGAGCAAAAGCCCAATCATGGACTCGTAGAAGAGCCGCGACATCAATGGCATGTAAAGTTCCTTGGCGGCCTCGCGGAGGATAGGGTCTGCGATGATCCCACTTGGTCCATGACCATCACGTCTAGGGTAGGCCAAATCCATACCCTGGGTCAGGAAATTGAGCCCGCGAATCAGTTTGCGGCGGATCTCACTCAGCTCATGGAAGGCGGTGCCGGGAGCACAAGCAACACATCTGCAGGTGAACCTCAACAGTCTGTGACGTTGCTCCATCTGCATGCTCTCAAAGTCCGCACAGTATGAGAACATGATCTCCTCGCCCGGCTGGATGTCCTTGGTAGCGTAGCAGCTGATGTACTTTCCCTCATTCTGGGGAACATAGGCGTTGGCTACGCAGGCATGGTTAAGGCGGGACAGGAAGACAAAGAACCCAAGCTGGTGAGATCGGGTGGGTACACCAAGCTCATTAGCCACATTCACAAGGCGGAAGTAGTTCTTGATGAAGACGTTGGAAACTTTGTCATCGCCGTCGAGGGCAGCAGCTTTGACGAGGAGGTTGAAGGTTTCCTTGTCTTGGGCAGAGAGCTGTCGGACTTTCCAAAGAATAGTGTAGTCGTGCACCTGCTGAGCCCCGCGAGGCTGCAGCGTGAAGAGTGCCTGTTCTCGGTAAATCAGGGAGCCTTTCGCGATGAAACGAGTCGCAAAACCACCCCAGCCGTGATTACCGGCAGGCTTGAGTTCATACGGGGCCGATTTTGGGATTCTGAGGCGAAGGTACGCTGCAGATAGACATGAGTATATCAGTGATGAAGGATATTGGAAATGCACTGGTAAAGATCGCTCACGATGGTTTTTATCCTTGGTTTTATCCATGTTGATACCAGATGTAGGCTTTAAGTGCGTAGAGAAAGGCTTTGTTACGAAAGATTCGTTTTTGCGACGAAAGACTCTTTGCGACGAAAGAGAAGTGGATTAGGCAGAATAAAGATGACTTTGGTTTGTTGTGGGCACATGGGCTAGGTGCGCCAGATAGTTCATAGACGCGTCTCGTGTCACTGATCGAGCAAACAAATAAGTCTGTAAAGTTACGTCCAACCTCGTAGTACAAATAGAAGACTGGACAAATCTCACATGAAACTCCCCTTCTTCTTTTCCATAGTCTGATGTTCTAGGATACTACGACTTCGACTTTCTTTCACCATCGACGACGACGACAATGACGACGCTACGTCTTCCATTTCAGCTTTCTCTTCCCCATGATCATTACGATTGTGAGATATAATATCTTCAAAGTGATTAAGTGATAGCTAAGGGAGGATTGAATGACTCGCACTCAAGGGCTCTGTGCTTTAATTCTTTGATCCAAAGTGAGGTGGCATTGAGCGAGAGTAGTATATTCAACATAGAAGCGAGAGCCTCAAGACTTGAGTACGAAAACCTTCGTAATACATCAAATACGGTTTACAGTTCCGACATCGTTTCGAGAACGACACCAGTCACCTCAACTCCTCGGCCAAATCGAGAATTGTTTGCACCACTGCATCCGGCGCCTCTTGGGGAACCCAGTGTCCAACGCCATCAAGCAAACGAAGTATTCGGAACGCGGAACACACCTCGCCACGGGTCATCTTCTCTAAAGCCCCCGGCACTTGATAGATACCCCAGTCTTGTTTGCCAGAGATGAATGCACAAGGACACTCAATCTTCTTGCCGGCGAAGATATCGCAGTCCCGCATGAAGCGATCTTCTGGTGCAGTCCGCACACGGTACCAATTCAATCCACCTTGGAAGCCTGTGCGGACATATTCGTCAACATACACAGCCAGTTCTTCGTCTGGGAGCCATGAATAGGAGCTTGTGCCCTGTGTTGGTTCATCAATCATGTCTCGGTCCACCGTCTCAGGCATGGTGCAGTCTAGAGACATGATATAGTATCCGGGCATCTTGATCAGCTCTTCCGCAGTCCAGCTCTTCAGCGGCACGGGATCATTCCTGGACCAAGACGCACTTTTCAGATGGAAATACCCACGCAAAAAGCGGTGCATGTGATCTCTCGGCAGGCTGGACATGTCTCGATTTGCCTCAGGGGTCGAGTAGTACCATTGATAGTGCTTACGGCCCCTTTCAGCCAGTGCGGTGTGTATATCTGGCGCGGTCTCCCGTGGTGCATTTCTACTATCATCACTCTCTCTGTCAGCGGTGTTGAAAGGCAGGGTCGGACTGCCATTAAACGGATGGCTCATCAGCACCACACTGCGAAAGAAGTCTGGACGGCTCAGAGCGCACATGGAGGCTGACATTGCTCCGCAGTCATGCCCCACAACGCACTGCACGGAGCGATAGCTCAATGCATGCACCAGCACGATTACATCGCGTACCAAGTTGGTCATTGAGAACGACATCAGATCTACATCGTGGTAGTCGTGTGAATCCCAACCCGTGGTTCGTCCAAACCCCCGTTGATCAGGAGCCACCGCATAGAAGCCGGCAGCGGCCAGCCGAGGAAGAACTCGGCGCCACGAGTATGCTATCTCCGGAAAGCCGTGTAAAAGGACGATCAAAGGACGATCGTGGGCCGGTGTTGCTCCAGCCTCAAGAATGTGGAACGTGAGGGCTTGCGTTTTAATTAGACGGCTCGACACACCATCCGAAAGGGGCAACTGGGGCAGTGGCTGTGTCTCCTGCGAGGGAGAAGCTGCACTTCTCACGGGCGGCATGGAGAATGCGCTTTGCTGAAGATCGAGGACCTGAACCCAATTCGGAGAAAGCAGTAGAGTAGTTACCGAATCAGCGGAACTCGGTTGAAGCCAAGCGGAGACAAGTGGAGTGGACCCAGAGATAGAGTAAAGCACCGTGGATCTCGGATGGTGATGATGCAAACGAAGCTGTATGTAATAACCATCGTCAGGAAGGAACCCACGCAGATTTAAGACTGTGAGGATGAGGCACCGACGTGACAAAGTAGGTCGAGCGTTCCTCTGCGACTGCGCGAGCTAATGCACTTGGAGTTACGGCGTTCCACCGCGCTGGTCTTAGTGGTGGAGTCCCAAACAACGAACAAGGCGTGTAGAAGCACAGTCTGTGTCGATCGGAAACCCTAGAGTCAGATCTGAACACCGACCCAGTTTATGTTCATCGAACGATGACCCTTGTTTTGAAGATCTTCCTATCCTGTGTTCACCCCATGGCGACGTCCATCTCGTCACCCCTTACCAAAAGCTGGCCCTGGCCGGAAGACCCGGTGGTATCAGAGCCTGATCATTGACTTTAGAGTTTGGTAGGTTCAGAGTCGTGCGCTGGTGGATGTGTGCGGGAGGCGTCACTCCCCCTCCTCCATCGTCATCCGTGGGCCGTGACAAACCCAGTAAGTCACTTTTTGAGGCGATCGACGGCCACTTACACAATAGCTTCATGGAGGGATAAGTACCTCGAGAAGCTTCCGCGCTCAGGTGAGTGACAAGAGTCCTTAATGTATTAGGTATACCCTGTCGCTCATGGAACGGATTGAACATGGTAAAGGATGACAGTTGAAGCTGAAAGTTGTACAGTGGAAAGTCTGGCCCATGTGGACCGAAATGGCCATCAGTAGTGCGGCGGGTACCTGAAGGTTGAGGCACTCCAGTCATGACGCAAGTTGACCAGCCGCCCCCGAACTTCTCACCGTCCCACGGCTCTTCCTCCACATGCAACATTAGCGGTTTTGCATACTACCACTTCCCTCTTCTCTGCTCTCGTGTTCTCCTTCACCAACCTACTAGAGATCTTTGCAAATTTGAAGCAGGATCTGCTGCCTCATCTAATCCTAATTGGTGTCTTTCGGTCATCTCTCGCTCACTCTTTTGCGTCTGGCCTTTGTTACTTGCGTCTTCGTCCACTCTACCTGATAACGCCGGGGCCAGGTCATGCTTTCAATCTAAGGAACCCACCTGCTTCGGAACATATTGCTTTCGGTTTGGTGTCATATCTCTCGAAGTTGGCTTGCCCTTGCCACGCCTTTGACCTTCATTGGAAACGTGCATGATTTTGTGGAACTAGCACGTCAAACACTGCTCGTTACAACGATCGATAGTGACCGACCGAGAACCGTTTCATCTTGAACAGGCCTATACCTGCGGCTATCTCCGCCAAAATGTTCAGTCGGCGCAAAAGGAGTCGGAGCTCAACTCGGCGTCAGGTAGGTCGATCCCATTGCTTTCTATTAAATTCCTATCCGCGAGAATTCGTTCCTGCGCTCTCCCTGCTCGAAGTTGAAGACTAACCAGGGCGTCACATCGTTCTCAGCCGCTGTCCGGGCCGCCTCCGTCTCAATCCGCTCAAACTGCTGCCAGCCATGCGTTTCTCAACTCCAATCCTGGCTCCAATCTGTCTTCTGCAGCAGCGGCCGCTGCCTTGCGCTCTATGACACCCACCCCAACACCAGTTGAGAATGTTCAGACCAGGCGGATGGCCCAGCGGCAGGGGTTGGCACCGTCGCCACCCAATGTACCTACCAGTCGTCGATCCGCCAGTGTAAGCACGCCGCTCCGTCGATCGAACAGCTCAAGCTCTATGACAGCAAGAACATTCCGAGAAAACTCCCCGCATCGGCCATCGACCAGCTCCGGGCCGACCGATCGGCGTCATGTCCCGGTCGACGTGCCTCCACTGCCCTCTGTGCCGGCCAAATTTGCATCTCAGTCGGGTTCCAGCCGTCGTTCTGTTTCCATGGACCCATTGACAAGATCTTCCACCGTCTCCTCGAACCCAGCCGCCTTGGCCGCCTCTGCCGCTTCTCCCCGACGACTTCGAGTGCAGACGGACCAAGGCCCACCCAGCAGCCCGTCAAGTCAACACTCAACGCATAATCGTAGGGTCAGTCTTGGGGCACTATCGGAAATAGATCGGCCGAGCAGTCGAAATTCCATCAATTTTTCTTACCCACGGGGTTCACGGCCGACTTCACCAACACCGACATCACCCACGCAAAGCTTCTCCAGCTCCGGCTCCAGTATCAAGCCCATCCGCGAAAAGCCGAAGAGCGCACCTGCCGCGCAGGATGCCGTCCGTGATAGGCCGAGCCTGCCAACTTCTGAGCTATCGACTGGAAACCAAGGCGGTTCTCAGGCAACCACATCGTCAAGTCGGCCGGAGGAAATTGCTGCCGGTGCTTCCAGTCCCGCCACACAGCCTTCATACACTCACTCCAATGGTTCTGTGAAACAGGCGGAACGTGTTGACCAGGCTATGGCAACCCCAATCACGCAGAAACAGCACCCTCAGCAGTCGATACCATCGTTTGACACAGGTTTCGAGAACCCACAACCACACCCCTCCCCCCGGGCTGTGCTTGTCCGCATGCCATCGACGGTAAAGGAGGAAACCGAGCCAAGAGATGACGAGGCCGATCCGTTCATCACAAATGGAACTGATTCTCTCCATCAGACAGCACCCGTGCCTAGCGCGCAGAAACAGTCTCAATCGATGCAGAAGTCGTCCCCTCCATCTTCACCAAATGCTCCTCGCGATAGTTCCCTCCACTCGGACGATGTTATCAAGGAATCGCACAGTCCTGGCAGATCAGCACGCTTCTCGACATACCTCCCCGTGGCGACTGCCGGTACCCAGCTCCATGAGCCACCTCCACGGTCCGTGTCACCTGGCAAGTCGGCATTGAAGAATTCTCGTGGCACATCCTTGTCCCCAGATCGAGGCTATGGCAGTGGCCGCATAATTCAGCCGCCGAGCGAAATATCAGATGGCACATCGATCGCATCCGACGAAGGACTAAAGAACAGTATCAAGAAACGCCCAGGCAAAGTGAGCTTCGATGAGGAGGCAGAAGTGGTCGGTGTTGCAGCGAGCCCCCCAACGTCACCTGAGGAATATACTGCCGACTCCCTGCCAATCAAAGGCAAATCACGTATGAGCTGGCTTGGCGTCGGCAAGAAACGTGCATCGTCATCTCAACACGGCACCGGGAGCAATGAATATTATGATGTTATCACTCCTCGACAAGCACTTCCTTCCTTCGGCAGTGTTCGCAGTACCCGCCCGAGCAATATACCTACGCCGGCTGCACCTCAATTCAGCGACAATGAGTCGTCTAGCTCCTCTGATGAAGATGCTGCAGTTTTGAGATCATATTCAGCCAATCCTCAGCTAATTTCCGATGTGGGAACTCAGGCTGAGAGTCAGGCTCGCAATGTCTCTGCATTGGAAAATCTATCCGTTACTGGAAGCTCTGCGCTGTACCAGCCGGGGCTTGGGTATAAGCATGAGGCCAAAACTGACGGTTTGACGGGATTCCCTCAGAAATTATCATCATCGACTGGCACGCCTGTCAAGTTTCATGTCCCACCAGCCATTGCTATTGAGCCAGCCACACCACCGGTAGAAACAGATCAGCCCGGATTTGGGAGCGCCACAAGCCTGAACCAACGTAAAGTGGTTGAAAGCCACCAGTCCCCCTCTTCAGCTGCGCCCAACGTTCATGAATCCGACGATGAATCCAGCGACAGTGTCTACAGTGATGCACCAGAGGATCTGGACGGCGATGGGTTTGGATCGATCAATGCTATCGTTGACAGCCCCTCAGTGCCCCATTCGCCTGTTTCGCCAACCCATAATGATGCCGAAAGGTCAGCTGTTAGAAGAGACATTGCCGCAGATGAGCGACTGCAAGATGCCTCTTACTACATGCAGGACCAGAATCGGCCGGTTACCCCGACGCAGAGTTCGGGGCAAAGCCAGATGAAGGATTCCCCCGCCAATCATACCTCTTCAGGGTTAAATCATACGGGTCCGCTGCAAGCAGCCAAAAGATTGGAGCCGTTCTCTTCAGCCCAGAATGCCCTTCCTGAGGGTGCTCTCGAAAAGCCATCTCGACCTGTGTCTGGTGTCAGTGCCGCTAAATCTCAAGTCAAAAGTACCTACGCCAAGGCCACTAACGGCGGAGCGGCCACCCAAAGGCCTGCATCTCTTGGACCAGCTTTCCAAATGAAAAAGCAAACTGGGAGCATGGGCAGTCGAGTTTCCATGCACCGCACCATGTCCAACGGCAGTGACTCGTCGAGCAGCTTCAAGCGTGGCAAATCCGGTGCACGAAGTGATGGCGCGTTTGCAATGAGACGGACCATGAGAGGCAGTGCCATGCGACCTCAAGAATCACCTAGCGTTGTGCGGCCAGAGTCTCCGGACGACTGGCGACCTACCTCTTCTCAATCGGGCAACGGCACCATGCGAAAGTCTTTACGTGGTCCCGGAACAGCGAGTGAAAAAACGTCGTTCTTCTCGACGAACAACAAGGGCGCTCGTGGCAAATCCTCAAGAGGGGGCCCAGCGCCAAAGTCTTTGCGCAGATCGCGGTTTGTCGATTCAGATGACGAGGCAGATGCCGCTCCGTCTCATACTTTCCGCAGCCGATTTGCCGATTCAAGCGACGAAGACGAGCCGGTCAACAACACAATGCGGCCCGTTCGTGGAATTCCGCGCCGACAAGACATGAGAGACGGTGACTCTACCGATCTTGAGGACAGCTCCGAGGACGAGCGTCGGCCGCAGGTGCCAGTGGTACGTGTGCAAAAGCCAAGCCCCGCGGTACCCTCGACACGCGACAAGGCTGCTCCAAACATGTCGGGTCTCGCTGCCGTGGCTAAGCAGCGGGGCCTGAGTCAAAGAGAATTGGAGGAGTTTATGATGTCATCTTCTCGAAGCCGGAAGCCCGGTTTCCTGACTCGCATCGGCTTGAAGAAGTCGAAGCACCCAGAAAATCGCGTTCTTGGGGCGGGCACGGCAGACCCCACTCATGGAGAGGCACCACTGGGGCGAACGCGATTGAAACGCGAGCCTGCTCGCGTTAACTCGTATAATGATGTCACGAATGGCAACCAGGCCCGCAAGACCACCGAGGCGGCTGAAAGACAAGAACCAAGTGCATCGCCGCGGCCCACCCGGCGACTATCCAAGCGACACACCACAGACGGAAGCCAATGGCCACTGCCTGTTGATCCAAAGTCTCCATTACCTGGTCCAGTGCTAGCTCACAGTCAAAGCCACTCTGTAGTACCCCCTCCGGAGACAGTGGCTGAGGGGAACGGGCAACCCCTGGCTAAGGTTGGCGATAGATCCGGCACGATTCCGTCAATCCAGGAAGAGTCGGAACCTGCCCAGCTCAATGGAGTCGGCCCGGAGCTTGACAGTCGAGGTGCACAAGTACCAGATCCAGCTATGACAGAACAGAATGGCCCATCAGCTCGAGACGTGGTGATCAGTGGTTCTGGGCGTAAGAAGCGATTCCCTTTCATACGCAAAGCCTTTGGTCTGCGTGGATAATACGATGATTCTCCCTGATTCCATCGACGTCGACATGACTCGCCTTTCCTTCACAAGGACCCGTCCATTTTCTCTCTTTTCCCAGCATGCTCACCGGATATCCTTGCCTTTCTTTACAGGTCTATTTGATCATTCTTCTGTATGATATACCATGCTGCCGCGTGGAAGGCACCCACTGGAGCCTCTATGCTATACCTAGTAATGTCGATAAATGTAATTGATAATGACCGATATTGGGTTGTCTATGACCTTTCCCGATTAGCATATGATGGTGTTTTGTGTAACTCGCCATCATTGAAGATTGTAAATCTCCTTTTAGGATACAGCACAGTCGCCTTGCCCTCGGGCTCTTCAGTCTGATTTCCATCTCTGTCATCTACTGCAAATTTCTGTCTATTTAGCTCGGTATGTCGAAACACCTGTCTTCCGTGAAGTACCTATTCTGGCGAATAGATCACAGTCAACTTACCTAGTGTAGTAGGGAATCCGGTTGCATGTACATAGAGCAGATAGTCTGTTGAGGTGCATGTGCCTGATGGTGGCCTTACGGTCGGGAGAGGCTGTTTGGACATAAGGAGAGGGAGTCAATCAACTTGACAACCATGCGGACAACCATGCGGATGCGAAGGACATGATGCAACCATCGGATTGAACGGCTTCAAGGGAGTTCAGTACAGTCTTTACAGTCGGATTCTTTTGCATTGCAATGACACACTCTTTTTGATCTTCCTCTTTACCTTCGGATATCCTACGGATAGGTGTTGTACGGTCGGGCTGGGAGATCTCTGGACGTGCGTGCTGGTGGTTGTGGTTTGGTTCCTCTATGACTCGACCTGTCTGGTGAGATCAGACTGCCTTGAGCATTCCCCTCTATACTAGGTAGCCAGAAGCCAACCACCTCATCAATTGTTCAGCGTTGACCATTCATCATCACTTTCCGGTGCCGCATACATCCTCGAGGGCTGTGACCTACATCACCGATCAGTATGCAGTGGAAGTCACCGGTGGGGCAGTGTGAGAAGTACAATACGCCTGGAAGCTTGGGGGACTCAGTATATAGAAGCTGTAACTACTGGCTAGTCCGACGGGAGCAGTTTTGGTTGGCTGCTGGCGGGATTTGGTCTCATACAGAGTCCATGCGCAGCCTACCTAAGGTACCAACTTCCCAGAAGTGGACTTCCGGGATCATGACACAGCAACCTTGAACGTGGGAAACCAAGCTACGTCTGTACCTCCAACTAGTTACTGGATGGCCTTAGAACCGGCAAGCTTGGCTTGTGAAGTGGCACTAGTACTAAGTACTGACAGCCTGTGACCAGTCTATACGGTACACACTACACACTAGACAGAGTGAACCCTGTCTGGATTTGTCGCCAGTCGGCAATGGTCGAGGGTTTCACCTCGGTATAGTCAACCAGTCATGGTGAAAATGCACGCGCTGTGCGGAATTGGCGCCGAGTTGACCAGAGCCTCAGGTATTCGACCAGATCTGTGTGAATCACACGGTGCAAATGATATGTCATAGGCGATACAGTGCATCCGACACTGAAGACTTGCACGGACCTTACTCCGTACAGTTTTCAGGCGAGGAAGTGGTACTATAATTGGGCGATACAAGTCGACGACCTCAGGCACTATCTATTTCGAGAAGGGTCTTATCTCCGATTGTGCCAGCCACTTGACGCCCATGAAACACATCTGCATCTTCTGGATCAGTTTGGGCAGTCTAGATGGCTGTGCGTACTACGCAGTGCATGTCTGTCTGCAGGGTGGGCTGTGCTCACGCTCTAGATTACACCGAGTCTGAGGTGAGGAGGAGGCTGGGATTAGGTTGGGAGTACGTACTATGTAGTTTGTACCTCGGTTGTGTGTTGTGACCCTTTTATCGGTTTTTTCATGACGACCCTTCAATTGATTGATCGGAGTACACGCTGGGTCTTCTGGGAGCAGTCCTGAGGCTAGCGAGATGAATACGATTTTCGATAGATTAGAGTCGACGGATCGCGATCAGTTCTGGTGGCGGGAACCATGGAGACAATGATGTGGTGCGTGTGTCTTGCCATGTCGATTGTTGGGGGAAGCAAAAGTACCGATGATCATGATATAGTGGAATACGGGACTTTAGGCATGATTGGGTATTCGCCGATTGAAACAAGTCTGTTGTGTACAGGACACTAGTACATGAGTAACAGGACAACTCATGATGAACTCTGTTGTATCACAATTCTGGCTCGTTTCAAGAGCTCTGGCTGCGAGGTGGAGACACCTCCAGCTACGCCGAACAAGCTCGGAGCTGAAGCTCTCTCTCTCTCTCTCTCTATCGCTCTTGTTCCAAAGACCAATGATGCCATGACCATGTTCTGCTTCCTTTCCAATTGAATGTGGAAAAGTCTTCTCTCGGTAATACAGAACGCGTATTGTAGTATATACTGCACAAGTACTGTCAGAATTGGGTACTCTTACTCCTAGTCTCCTCCTCGTCGTAGAGTCAGGACTGTCACACTTGGAGTGTGGGGGGAGGGCCAGCGATCGGCGCCCCGATTTTTCCGATTTGACCCGCGGGATCAGGGCGTTGCCATGGCAATGGTGGCTGGTTTCCAGGGAAGCTGAAACGGAGGAGAGAGCCAAGTTAGCAGTAGCACGGTAGCAGTACTTGGCTGCTTGCTACTTGGTAGGAAGTTAGTACTGTGGTCCTGCAGGGAGAGTGTACCGCTACCGCAACGATCGGCCGGAGGCTGAGAGCGACGGCGCCAAGGATGGTGCCGACGGTGCAGCTGAACGACGAGATCTTGGAAATCTGGGGGGGGGGGGGGTGGCTGGCCAGCCACTCACTACTACTGATACTCTTTTCATGTGAATTGTGTCCTGTCCGAATGGGTCCATATCTGAGGCTGGGAGCTGAGATCAAATCCGTGGAAAGGAACAAGTGCAGTTACGAGGTGGTTGGTGTCTTGACCAAATCCTCTGGATCAGGTACCCGGTCACTGCGCTCCCAGAGATTGTGTATCATTCGGGCTCGACCATGGACGAAGATCATTTTGTACCTGACGCTCTTTGGGTACTTAACACAGATGCACAGGTACCGCCGTCCCGACGATCACTATCACTGGCACTCGGCTGCATGTACCTGGTTCTCGAGGCCTAATCGACACCGCATCACCCGTCAACGGTTCTAAACAGTAAACACCGAGGGCGGTACCACCATCACCTACCGGACGTGTTCAATACTCCAGGATTGAATTGTGAATTGTCCACTCAAGCGAAGTCGACTGCTCCACCGACCAGGATGGCGCTGTATCGTACCTACATGCGCTAGCTGCATCACGTCCACTCTGCATCATCCAGTCTGGGATTACGAACGAGTGTCCACCTCTCTGTTCCAACCTCCCCTCAGGCAATTGAGCGGTCTGGATGGCCCTTGCTGTAGATTGAGTGCTTGTTTTTTTTTTTGTGTTTCTTTTCGTGGACTGCTCGCTTACGATTCTGTATACTTGTGTAGATGGGCTTGTCGAGAAAAAAAATGATTTAAACCCACATTACCCGACGATGCTACGAAAGCCGTCCAAGGTCGCTGCTTTTCCGAGCATTGAGCGGCCCAATGTTAGTAGATCTCTATTGAGTCTTGACTATAGCAGACGGAACAGCGGCTGACCAGTTGTCCAAACTTTCCCATCCGTTCACCCAGTGTTCCATTTACTACTACTACTACTACTACTACTACTACTACTACTGACTACTGCGTCCTTCCTATAGTCTCTCCCTTCCTCTCTGTTTTCTCCCCCGTGGACCTCGGCGAGCCAGATCTGAGCCAGATCTGGCTGTGACTGGGTCCAAACTCCCAATCGCTCCTCTGGTTCCTAATTTCCCATCTTCCCCTCCCTCTCCCCCTCCCTCGCAGTAGGTAACTATGTACCCAAGGCGGGAAAAACTGTAAAGTAAACAAACAAGGCGCTGCTGCCATAACGTGATTGCAACCACCCACCGCCAGCCTCGTCTGCCCAGCCCGTCATCTCTCTTCCCACCAACCCGCCCCCCCAACAAAAGAAATAAATAAGACAGCCTGCATTCCTGCCGGTCCCACCTCTCTTCTTGCCCTTCTTCCTCCTTCCATTCCTCGAACCATCTCTTCCCACCTTCCAATTCTACCGTCTTACCCCAGCATTCTTTGCTTCGTTCTGACATCCGGAATTCTTCTTTTTACCCTAGACCCATCTTAGATTCAACGTCGCCTCGTCGTCGTCGTCTCTTTCCCCCCCCCCTTCCCCCAACCTTCTCTCCTCACCGAGAAAGACTTTCCCCCGTCAAGTCTTTTCTTGTCTACCTTTCGAGTTGTTTTTAACAGTTCGAAAGGCATTCGAGAAGAGACGCCCCAAAGTCAGTCAATCTGGACTTTGACGCCCGCGTCCCCATCCCCTTCAGTGTCTTCCCGTCGTCGTACCGGAGTGACGCTGTCTCTGAAACTACTCAGACGCGAGTAGAGGGAGAAGTTCAACTCGATCGCACTTCGCACGTCGAACGGGAAGATACTCGAGTCGCCGCCTCTCTCCCCGACCCTCGTGTCCACGGAAAGGAAGAAGTCGATATCCACATCCACCAGCGGGAGCAGCAGCCGCCGCACCACCACCACCACCACCCGCACTCGGCCCCTCAGATTCCTCACGAAGAGTCGCCTCGCTACGAAACTTCGCGCTACGAATCCACTGCTCACTACGAGTCGCACGAGCCTCGCAACTACGCTGCCGAGGTTGAATTGACCCGCGAACGGTATGTACAACCCGCAACTTTCCCAATTCTACTTGTTTGGTTCTGCCTATTCTGCGAGATCCAACTATGTCGTGATCTCTGTGGCTTTTGTGTGGTCACTGTCACTCTCACAAGATCTCGATCCTCCCCACAAGTTGCAAGCCCCCGGGAGCGCTTCGAGCGACTCCATGCTCGCCGGTGTGTTTCTCGGCTGCGTGTCCACCTCCAACCTCGTCTGAACGCAACAACAGCGGAAACATGACGAATGGAGGAGACCCAGCCGAAGCAGCCCAGTGAGCCGAACGAGAGCTGCAATGACCTGCGGTGGAGCCCGCGATGGGCCCCCGTGCAGCTGAATCGGTCCTCTTTGGGTCTAGAGCGTCCTTCTCCCGGGGCAACTGTGCAGCTCCGTTTCCGCAGAGCCCAGCCCCCCGGCTTGGTAATACCATTACGGTGTCATCCTGATACCGATGGTCTCCACTTCCCCCAATGAGCGGTGACTGGGATGGGCTCGGGTGCTTTTGTTTATATGTTTACGATCATCCGCTTTTTTCCCTTGGGCTTCTGCTTCTTTTTTCATATTTCTTTTTTTTCCCTTTTCCAAATTCCCCCTCTCTGATCCTCCACTTGACTGGGATCCCTCTCCTGCCGCCGTCCTCTCATATCATCATCCGATCTGGAAGACTAACTCCTCTCTTCTCTTCTTCCTTCCCCAGCTACCCTAACTACCGCGAGTCCTCTGTCCGCTTCGAGGAACGTCCCCAAGTCTACGATCAAGTCGTCGAGAACCAACTCGACGTCACTGAGAGAGAGTACCGTCGTCGGACCTCTCCCACCTACGAAGTCGACGTCTCTTACGACCGTCGCTACCAGGACCCGTCGACCGCGTCCCAGTACCAGCCGTCGTACCCCGTCGACGTCTCGTACGACCGCTCGTATCAGCCTCAGCCCGCTTCTGCGTATCGAGGCTCCGAGTATTCTCGTCACGAAGTCGAGCCTCACCAGCCGTCTTCTGTCTCGTATCCCCCTTCCTCCTCGTACTCTGCTCCTCCCAAGACCGTCAAGGTCGAGAAAACTACCGTTCGTCAAGTCACTCCCGCCTCCCGCGCCAACAGCAAGATGGGCTACTACGACGACGAGGGTCAATACCACTCCTTCCGCCGTGGAGTGGAGCGGGCCGCTGACCGTGTCCTGCACCCCTTCCACCACCACGACCGTGAGGAGGTCGTCTCCACCGAGAGCGGTCCCGCTCGCTTCAGCGAGGGTGTCCGTGAGGATGTTCGCATTGTGGAGCCCCGCAACCGCGCCGTCCCCGGAGAGACCGTCCCCATCCCCTGCCACTTTGTCCGTGTCGGGGACATCCTGATCCTTCAGGGCCGTCCCTGCCAGGTCATCCGCATCACGGTCTCCCCCCAGACCGGTCAGCACCGTTACCTCGGTGTCGACCTCTTCACCCGTCAGTTGCACGAGGAGTCCAGCTTTGTCTCCAACCCCTCCCCCTCGGTGGTGGTGCAGACCATGCTCGGCCCCGTGTACAAGACCTACCGCATCCTCGACCTCCGTGATGACGGTAAGCTGGTCGCCATGACCGAGACTGGTGATGTCAAGCAGGGTCTGCCCGTCGTCTCCCAGGGTCAGGTCTTCAAGCGTATCCGTGACGCCTTTGCCGATGGCCGTGGCTCCGTCCGTGCCCTCGTCATCAACGACGGTGGTCGTGAGCTCGTCGTTGACTTCAAGGTCATTCACGGCTCCCGTCTGTAAAGTATTTGATGGAGAAGAGATCTTGCTTTCTTCTTCCCGCTCTCCTGGAAAATGAACTGTTGGTAGACGGTTGTTCCCTTGACCATTGATCTGGCAAGCCTGAGAAAGGGGGTTTTTTTTCGGTTTCCGAGCTCGCTATTCCTTCTTCCTGAGATCACTAGGTCGCGGGATCAAGGAGGTGACTTCTGAATGATCCCTCCCGGGTTCCTGCCACGGCGTGATGAATCTTTGCCCATGTTTATGTTGTTCTGCTTGTTGTTTCTTTATGTTATCTAATTTCCTATGTGTCGTGATGAAACCTCTCTGAATGTCTATGACTGTTGACCATGAGCTTGTTTACTACTTGCAAATCATGATCTCTTGCACGTGTCCCGATTGTGTCCAATGGCTGGGTTTCTGTTGTAATTGACGGTCTCTCAAATCCTCGTCCAGCTGTAGATTGGGCATGTGTTTTGTTGATCATCTCCTCTCTGGTGCCTCGGGTATGGTTGACGCTGGAGAGACCGCGTCAGCTTTACATCGTGGATACTACGTAGTACAGAGTACAGACCACCTACCATCGTCAGCACTGAGAAGATTGGGGGATTGACCTGACCCGTCAGACGGGCGGACTGCCCCGATTCTTCCATTCGGTCGGATCTCAGTGGGCCCGCTGCGGTGGAGACGGCAGTGGGGACTCGACTGGAGAAAGCTGGGCTGGGCGGTGGACGGTGGGCGGTGGGCCGCGGGGGGCTTTGGGCCCGAGTGAGGCAATTTCTCTTAGTCTCGAATCGCCTGGCGGCATTTGGTGCAAAGCAGAGACAGCTTGGGATGACATATACATATGATGCCCAATTGCTGTTGCTGCTTCAATACGTGCAGCTTTACTACTTCTACGTGTCAAATCAGGAAAAGCGACGGATACCCTTCAAGAACGGAGTCGCAGCAGATCACTGCAGACTCGGAGTACAAGGTAAACAAGACCTATCACATCAAAATAATGAGTCAGTTGGATATTAATAAATCCATTCATACGGTACTTTTGCATCAAGCTCGGGCCTGTTATCATGTAATCAGTAATCGCTGATCGGTAATGTATGCCATTTTTTTCTGTATGATACTGTAAATTCCGTGACCCGCCCACTTTACGACAATACCCCGGTCATCTATTCAAGGCTGCAAGTTGCCAAGTTGCCAGTGAGGTGCTAGGTCCTGGCCTGTTTCTTCCCTTTTCGTCGAGCTTGTCTGCTTTGGTCCTAGTCTTTTCTTACTGGGCCTTGCTTACGCTTGACAGGATTTGGTTGTTTGTTTGTTTATTGTTTCTGTTTCTGTTTCTGTTTCTGTCTCTGTTTACCTCGGATGAGCTCTTGGGTGTTTGTACCTGTTGTTTCTGTTATGATCCTAATCAATTAATCGGGTTTTTGTTTTCTTTTGTTTTTTGTTTTTCTGAACTCGCCATGTTGATCTTTTTCACATTTGATACCGAGGTTAGATATGCGACTCGGTTGTCGCGATTCAAAGTCTGGAAGAGACATCCATTCCATAAGGTCCGCACATGGGAAACGTGGGCCGCCCGCGAGGAATGTGGGCGGAACCTTGGTACTACCAGACTACTTTATCGAGCATGTGATCCATGGATGATTGAAGGGTGGGATGCGGAATGCGGATGTGAGTCCAGTGTGGGTGTGGGTGTGTTTCATTTATCGATGGATTAATGTATCGCAGCACCGAGGTCGGTAGTAACTAGTAGGGACTCGAGAGAGGTACCTGGGATAAACCTGGAATGGTTCCGAGGTGAACAGCTGGGGTAGAGGAATTGTGTAGCTAGGGAGGTATATACTCTGGATGGATTGTACTACTGTATCTTTTATCTTTACTTATCAGTAGTATGTACCTTTTTGATGCATATGTTACTGATATCACAGATTTTATCTACCCCAGTGACCGGGGCATCAAGACTGAGTCCATCAAAACCTAAACATAACAACGAGCGCAGGAAATGGAACATTGATCCATCTCATGCCAGTGCGTGTTCCCTGGTCTTTACTACACTCTTCACTCAATTCACAAAGTGCCCCCCCCCCTCCGATCATAGACTCCATATCGAATCTCGAGTAAGACTCTGCATAGCCCTCCCTAGTCCTACTGAATCCACGTCCACACGGTATACCAAAAACTCCCGGCTTCTTCCATTGCCGTATGCTCGCCAAGCACTGACAGGGTCCATGGAGTATGGAGCTGGAGCCCGTCAATCTCCGGCTGATTTGGAGGTCGGGAGGTTAGAACCTCAATGAGGTGGGAGGTTGTGACTCGAATGGAATATCCTTGCAGATGAAGATATCTCCTGGAATCTTTATCGTCCACTGTTTAGATGAAAGAGTCTCTTCTACCCTACTGTTTTCGAGGTCTCGTGGAACGAGAGTCAGAATCGAGAAGAGTTGGACGGTCCTTGTAATTTATAAAAGTCACGCGTGACAGTGCTGGAAAGTTACGACCGGGCTGTCACCGATTTGTCTTCCAGGGTTTGCGAATATCGAAAAAATCTTGCTACTTTCCTTTATTTAGATGAACCAACTCAAAAAGACCCAGCGTACTGCCACCTCAAAGTGCTGTGGCCTTGCTTCGCTCCGCAACTGCAATTATCCTGCTTAGATGGAGAAATGCAAGTGAATATCTGATAGGAACAAGGCCTCAATCCAAGCATGATAATGGAGTATCCGAGAACGCCCCGACTCTAGCACCAGATGTAGAATAACGTACACAGCAAGAAACAGATAGCGCAGCGGGACACCCAATGAATGGAAGTTGAACCAGCGCTCCGGACCTGAACACGAAGCAACCAAGAGGCAAGGCGGAAGCATGTAAACGCCTGCAGATCGAGACTGAGCTATAGAATGGCCCTGCAGTGGTAGCATCCACCAAAAAGTTAAGCGAGGTCAGAACGGAAGAGCCATGTGGAGAGTGCCTAGGTGATGGGAAAGAAAAGTAACATTCGTCAACCCCAGCCAGTAGGCAGGCAGTGCCACAAGTTGAAGCATCTCAGCATGAGAGGTTCATGGCCGGCTGCCAAGAAGTATATAGAAAAACACACAAAAGCATGACGCCGAAACGATCACAGAGCGGATGAGGCGTCGAAAATCAATCTCACGCCGACACACATAAAAAAAGAGACCACTCAACAATGCAGTTGACAACCATAATATACAAAGAGAAGAAATAGCAGACCCAGAATGATGTGGACATAAATGATGCACCGGTTTAGAACCAAGGGTAAAGTAAATCGTCAAAGGTGAGAGGGCCGACTCGGGGCTTGCGCAAGGAGTAAACGTATAGAGGGGTATCTTATGAGGTGAGAGCAGGAACATCCAAATGCGAGAGGATTTTGACCAGAGGAAGCACAGTGGTGACGATAATGAGAAGAAGGAAGCCGTGGAGAGAAAAAAGACCAGACCGAAGCCGTGTTGGTTGGCATGCTCATAAGTTCAGACTGACCGCTACCGCTCTCCAAATTTGCCATACTCTTGCTGCCATTTCAACAAGTGTCGTGTGAGCACGTCCATCATTTCGATGCTGCTCAGGTCTTTGAAGTCCTTTTCATGGGCTGAGACTAACGACGCAGTGCCTTCACCGTCGGTCATTGCTGGTAATGATTCTCCGCCGTCACTGACAGTGGAAACCATGGCGCTGTCAATTTGGTCGACCATGTTCTTCAACAGTAATCCTTGAGTTCGATCGCCATTCCCAGTGGGTGTGAGGGGGTTCTCGCCGTTGACTGCCATCTCCACCTGCATTCGAGAGATGAACTCCAAGATGGCGGCCACACGCCGCTTCATCTCATTCATCGTTGTGCGCTGTGCGTGCATATGGCGAGACTTGTTTGGTCGCCCTGTGTCACCACCATTCACGTGAGCGCCATTGGTATATCCAATACGAGGAGAGTCACTTCCGATATCATGCGAATGACCTCGTCGCGGTGACTCGGTGCCGTTGCCATTTGTATCTCGATCTTTCGTATATTGATTCCGTCCCACTCGCCCGCCACGACGAGCTGGAGGACGTCCCGACTTTCGTGTCGAGGGCCGCGCGGGTGTTGCTTCCTGTGGAGTGGGAGTGATCGGACTAGGCTGAGCTGGCTCGGGCTCGGGAGGCGGGGGCGCTGGAGCTGCGGCCTTGGTTGGAGACCCAACGTCTACTTCGGATTCTGCAGTTGTGAAAACGAAAAACAAAAGTCGTCAGTCAAAGTTCGATCTCAGAAAGCGCACCCGTCCCTGGCCAGAATATGACTTACCATCGCCTCTGCGTCGATTAGGCCTGTCCTTGCGACGTGCACCAGCCTCGGGTACTTCGGGCTCTCGCTCCTCCGGTTCCTTGGTGGGCTCTTTGTCTCGCTGGCCACGCGATGTCGCTCTTTGCCGTCGTGTGCCATTGGTGGGTTTCGGTTTGGACTCGTCCTCAGATGGTACCCGGGACAGTGGAGGGCTCGGCTTGGCAATTACAGTTGGTGAAGGGGATGAGGTTCGTGGGCGCTTTGAGCTGCGTCTGTTCCTAGGATGAAGATGGTCAGCCGACTCAATTCGGCACAAGGGCTGCGGCCAGGTCGTTCAGAGGATGAGTGGGGGCAAAAAAAAAAAACAAAAGAGATGCCTTGCGTACGATTCACTTTCACTCCGGCTCCGCTTGCTCAGTCGCGGGGCTGTCTCATCTTCGTTGCTCTTGGTCTCTTCCTTACTCTCCTCAATGGCGCGCCGAATCAATTCTTCCTCGTCGTAAGCAGCGTCCCGGCTGTTCATTGTCGATCGCCGCTTAGGATTCGATGCGCCTTCGCTACCTCGCGATTTCAAGTCCCTCGAGCGTCGTGAGGTATCATGGGAGGATGCTCGGGAAGATGGCGCAGGTGATGACGCTGGAGCCACAGGGAGATAGGTTGACGAGTGCTGTCTGCGAGGCTGTTAGCAGTTGTCACTGAACGCAATTTGATGAGTGAAGACGACCAGAACGGAGATTGATCGAGAAAGAGGTTCCGGTTAGATCAAGCGAAGATGTAGGCATGGTTACAGTGCCACCAGAGCAGTAGAGCGATCCGGGGTAGCCTGGCTCGTGGAAGCCAGCGCTGACGCATTAGAGCGATTTTTTCAGTCCCGCTTGCGAGACAGCCACCCAGCCAGCTCACAATTGGCATCGAAAGGTTTAAGGGTAGCTGGAATTGGTTGGTGTGATGACAACTTACCCGTTGGGCTCGCCACGGATTCTGTGTAAATCCTTGCGACATTTTTCGCAAAAGTACTCGTCGGGGCTCATCTCCTCATCCATGATACCCACACACCCACCGTGCTGCCACACCTTGCATGAGTCACACTGAATGAACATGCTTCCTAGGTCGTCCGGCAGTAGATCAGACGTATCCGTGGTTGCAACGCCTTCGTCTTGTTTGACGTCCATGCGACCGAGAGCGTCCCGACGAGATGGAGGCAACCCTGGATAATCTTGCTGACCGCAAAGACACCGAGTTATCTCCTCCTCCTCATCTTCTTCAACATCATCCTCATCATCCTCTCGGTTGGTGCCATGATTATCACCACGAGTGCGCTGGCGCTGACGTGTTTGGGGCAGATCCGGCCTCGAGCCAGTGTCATGGTCGTCACTGGACTGAGAACGATGGCCGGAGGACCGATGAGGGGAGTTTGTTTTGTGGTGAGATCGAGTGTTTCGCTCGCGAGGGTGGGAGTTATTGGAGCTGGAGGAATTGGTGTGTTGGAGGAGAGCCGGAGATGGCTGCGTGGTGCGAGCTCGCGAGGAGCGACGAGGCGACATGACGGGACAGAATGATGTTGCTCGAGGAGCCGATCCTGCAAAATATAAACGATGCCGGGCGACGGACTGTCAGACCAGTACGATCTAACCCGCGAACACGGGGAATGCTTTGGGAGAGGAGGCACAAGTTGCTCCAGAGGGCAGAATCGGTTCTGACGAGCTCTGGACGCGCAATTGGCAGAGCTTTTGGGGGGTTGGAGGATGGTCGAAGGAGGGGAGAAGAAATCAACGATCAGAATCGCAGTGGTAGAATGAAGATGAGGCGTCACAGGGCTCAATCAGGAGCCGAATGACTACATAGTACACGGGACAAGGACGAAGAGCTTTTGACAGACAAGCCGTTGCAGAGGGGAAGAGTGGGAGGCAGCGAGCACATTCAGTCAGAGAGAGAAAAGCGCCGGAACGGGACCGACTCCAAAAAGATCCAATCGGCCGGCTTTCCCCTCTGGCAGCCGACAGCGGCCATGGTCGGGAAATGGAGCTGTGGTTGCAGTTCGAATCCACTTCTGCGCTCGTCATCTTCTCTGCCACCGGCGAAGGTACCACTATACCATTATGATAGTACCGTAGGAGTACTGTAGTAGCATCAACTTCCGAGGGTCAGGCTTACGAGGCATTCAAGGATGGAGGGCCATCGCGATGAAGATGATTCTCAACTCCACAACGCCACAGGAACTGCTGAAAAGTAGAAATGACATGACGCCTTGTTCCTTGGGCCCTGCACCGGGCGGTGACGATCCTGTTGATGATGAGGGTGGTGGTGGTTTGGGAACAGGATAAGAACCCTCGATCAACCATTTTCTGCCCGTGACGTTAAGAGGGCAGTCTCGAATTTCCGGGTTGTCCTCAGGTGAGCGCTATTGTATTTCGTATTCCCCGCTCTCCGTCGCTCGACGCCTCTCGACGCGCCAAAGCTTTTACCGCCTTTTGGGTCGTGTCGCCGTTGATTAGATTGCAATTTCTTGCACCCGTCGCTCGACACCGTTGACCATGGCTCCAATACTCTGAGCATTTTCAGTGAACGATCGGAAAATTGGAGGCGGGCGAATTCTGGCGTCTATGGTGTTGACTCAGTTGACGAACCTCAGTTCCTCGAGCCATTTCTATCTTCCGTTCGCTCACGCCTTGCCACGGTCGACCCGCGATAAAACCTTGTACCTTCGTGCAGATCTCTCACAACAGATGGGTCTCATTCGTGCCGATGATCTGTTGACTCGGTGAACGTGCTGTTCTGGTCGCCAACTCTGGGGATTCTCGGACTCTGTCATGTTGAAGCACGCGTCTGAGGGATGCAGGAAAAGAATCGCAAATTCTTTAAGGTGAAGGTGGGGTAGGCCCAGCGGCCTCCGAATCGTGAAGTTGGCAGAGAGTTGTTTCCGCCCTCTCACACATACTGCGCATTCACGACACAGATACTGGGACATACGCGGCGGACACAGCCATGTTGGATCCGGTCATTGCGATACGATTGCGCTCGAACTGTTACTCGGAAGTTTGACTCCATACTTGGGGTCCGGTGCGGCTTGACTATCGCGGCCAAGATATTCGGACTCCGCGAGTCGTACTGCACTACGTAGAGGCTACTGTACCAGAACAGCATCTCCGGCGCAGTGACCCTACACGACCTCTTCTACATCAATTCCGTAAGCTATCCCGGTGATTGTCCAAAGGTGTAAACGCTTTGATTATCTCCCCAGTCGTGTAAAATGCATCGAGGAAGTTACCGAGCATACGGGTGGCAACCATGGCAGAATTTGTGAATCAAGATCCCTGTCTGACAGTACGAGACCTGCACGAGACTACGAGTAAAACCATATCACAGTACCCGTTGCTGGAAATGATATGCTAAGTCTTCTGCTCGGAGGACCTAGTGCTTCCACCAGATCGCGATGACAAATCACACGTTCAATCCGACAGTCGTCGATCAGACAACAATCATGAGTACTACTACTGACTCCAGACCATGGGGATTATTTTCCCCTCCACAAATACACATGGCCATACCTCCAGATGTAGTCGTACATGTGTATGTCGCAACCCGTCACGGTGATCGATCGAACCTGTTAACAGACGCAACACCACAACTACCGGAGTAGTAATCACTCGGACCGGGAAGGTGTGCCCGCTTGGCTGCCCGACCCAATCGGGCTAGTGTGTGTGTCCCGAATTCCCGTGACTCGCTGGTCTTTCGCTTCATCAACTTGACCCCTCCGCATCGTCATTCGATCACCCTCCGGTATTTTAGCTCCTCAGCTCTGGAGAGCCGGCATATCATTCAGGCCTAGGCGATAGTCTGGCGTATCGAGATCGAGCGTGGCTCGGATTTGGTTCATAACGACGTGGGTTCACCTCCGTTCTCTACCCTGCACACTTCCAGATCGTCTGTGGTTGTGGACGGCCGAGGTAGCTTGTTGGGAGGCGAGATCTTCATTCATAACACGTTTCACGACAGGCTGTGTCAGTCAATGTGTCTGCTCTCAGTTCACTTTCTTGCAATGTCCTGCAGACCGACTAACCCTCATGTTTCCCGACCTGTAGTCAATTTCCCCGAAGAGGTCCTGCTCCGAAACTTTTGCACAATCATACTCCGTTTATAACCGCAAGCACCACCCACGCGGGTTTTGTGATAGCGTCGTGAAAAGATACAATTGTGAATCAAGGGGGTGGGGACTCGCTGGAAGCTCCTTTTTCCACGCGCAGCATCGTGGAAGGAGGTGCGAGGACGTGCATGATGACTGCTACACTGAGTATGTCAACTCTGGAGAGTTTCGGGTCCACTTGATCGACGCCGGGCCTCATACCTGGAAGGCTCGCGGCCTGTTTGTCGGGAAAGAAACGATGAGAACAAAGGTTACTGACCTGGTGTGTACACTTGTGTAGACGGGACGTTCAACTCTGCCCCTGATACACCCTCTCCCATCTATCCTGATCGTCTGATCCGACCTCTTCCGCGACGGAGCTTACGCTCGCGATTGTCGATCGACGCCGCGGACACAATTCACTATCCACCAACTCCACCAGCGTCGCAGATTTTCTACGGCGTTGGGGACACGGAAGAAGTGGCCCCGCATGGAAAAGCCTACGCCCGGCAAAAGGCGATTGATAGGCACGAGCTCACCCCCGAGGCGGACAGCCACGACTTTGAAACAGCTATCGAGCTCGAGAGCGGGGACGAAGACGGACCTGTCGTCGTTCGGCGCAGTGCTGGATTTCGAAGATCCATGTCTGCAGGTGCGAGTCCTCGGCATCGCGGTTTCACCGCCCCAGCCATGAGTGAAGGGAACGGTCAGAGGGAGACAGCACGCGATGAGCGAGAGGATACTCAAAGATCCATAGGGCCTGATGGTTACGACGCCTTTGAAAACACAAACAACAAGAAGAAAAGAAAAATTCCCACTCCGGGAAACCTAGTCCCTCACCACACAGCGCTCTCCCCAGAATTCGCCAATATGGGTATCTTTAGTTCAAAACCATCAAGTCCTCCACCCGCTAGCGAAGACTCCACGACGGGCACCTACTATGGAGATGGGAATCCTGCCTCACCCTTGACAAGTGGTATCTCCGGATCAGGTCGTGGTCGTCTTGGACGCGGATCGACTCGCATGAGCACTGGGCGAAATCCTTTATCCGCCAACGCGCAGAACGCATGGATGACCAGTACGGCCAGGGCACCGAGCCGTCGAGATGTATTAATGTCCTCTCCTGGATCTTCAGGTATGCCATGCTTTTCTTTCATCTGAACTTTCGTTGATCCCCTCATGTCATGCCGTTTTCTCCTCTCACGTACTGCTTGCTGACCCATTACGAAGGCGAATTCTCCGATCAAGGTATCATCTCCACGGCGATCGCCAAGGCGGCTACTTTGTTGACCCCATCCCACGGCGCGGAAAATGGGAGCTTGTTGGATCAAGAGAGTTCCAACCCTGCCAAGACCCAGTTCACTTTCACCTGTGAGTCAGACTCGTCTAAAGGGATGGCACTGCAACGAGACCCATACCCGAGCTCGTACCGATCACCTGCATCTCCGCTCGCTCCAACTACCCAGCTCCCACGTGGGTACCCTGGGTCGCGCGGTCCTACCAGCCCCCCTGGTTCGGGGCCCGCGCATCAGCAGGCGAATCATGGGGCACAACCGCCTCCTACACAGGGTGGTCAAGCTCAGGTCGGACGTAAGAAGAAGCTTTCCCCTGGAAGCGTCTATGGGACGGCCGCCCGGCAGCGCAAAATCCAACAGCAATACGCCAACATCCACCATCCGCCTCGCCTGGAGGATATCTGGATTTGCGAGTTTTGCGAGTATGAGAGCATCTTCGGACACCCACCAGAGGCTCTCATCCGTCAGTACGAGATCAAGGATCGCAGGGAGCGGAAGCGATTGGCGGAGAAAAAGCGTCTTCTCGAAAAGGCTAAGATGAAAGGCCGCAAGACCAAGAAGGCGCCGAAGAACTCCAAGTCTGCCGCCTATCATCAAAACTACCAACCGGGCTATGATCGCGCCTCGGTTGATCACTCTTCCGCCGCGGGATCTGGCCATCTCGATGACGAATACCTTGGCCACGATTATTACGACGACGACCAGGGATCGATTCCCGGGCAGGATCCTGTCTCGCCTGCAGAACTCAGACCTCCGCTACCCGCGGTACATTCTGCGGCTCATAAGCCAGCGGTGACCAGTCCTCCTAGCGGAGTTGTAAAAGCGGGTGAAGATCCTAAGTCTCACTAACCGGCCTTTGCTGAGCTTGATCCGGGACCGTTGATTTGGTGCTTGTGGTGGGTCGAGTTATTTTCTTAGGATTGCGAGACTCATATTAATGTTTGAGTATTGCCAATTCAAATATTCATCCACGTTCTCCGAGTGCTCATAGAAATCCAACGAATGTAATCCATACCATATGAGGCTTCATTCATATGAGGGAACTGAGTCGGGTGTCCGAGAGCAATGCTAATCACGATTGCGGATGGCATCGTTTCCACTTCATGTAATTATGCTCCGATAATCAAGTCAGCTTGCATTTGGTACGGGACGCGATGTGAGTCCGAGTATTGGACCGCTGAAGCCAGGATACCTTGAGTCGTTGACTGCGATGCCTTTGTCAACCCTAACTTGATACTCGAATTGTCCACGTGACTGTATTCAAGTGCACAATCCACGTGACTCTCCTGTGAGCGGGCGGTGATGCCTTCGGCGCACGCGCTCCAGATGAAAGGCGATGCGATAGTAGTATGTAGTAGCCGGACGGACAGGAACAAACAAGTCGTCTTTGGAAGCAATCGAGACTTCGCCGCCAACTTGAACTTCCATTGTACAAGAATAGCATCAGACCTCTGATTTGACTAACTCGGCTATACAAAGGCCCAGTCTGAAACGGCCATTGCTTTCCCGTTGGCGCGCGCGAACCGAAATCTTAGCCCTCCTTTTTTTAACTTTAGCGCCGATCCCACCTGAGGCTCTCTCTGCCAATTAGTGGATGACCAATGATGTCTCCGGGTCAAGGGATCCTCTATTCTTCAAAGAATGCTGGGTGCCAGCCAGATTTGATTTCTACGCTCCACGACACCGCGGAGAGTGTTTCATGTTTCTTTGACAGGTGGTTGTTGTGTGGACTGTGGAGTAGCAGGCACAATCAGTAGCCGACCTGGTGGAGTCTGCGACTCAGGTTGGGTCTTGGGAGACGAAGTCATGCAAAGAATGGACAGGCAAAGAGATACCTCGTTGACAGGCTGCCTGATTTGGCTGGTGAGGACCAGGCAAAGAGGTGTATAAAGTGCGAGATGTTTCCGGTCGATGAAAGGCGATTCAAACAAACATCAGCATCGACTGTCTCTTCTTCTTTCTTCTTATTTTCCTTTTTGATTTCCCTCTTATACTTGCATTCTTGCATCTTCTGAAGTTCCAGAATTCTCAGCATTCATCATTCATTCCTCAAGCTAGCCTTGAATCAGTCCGAGAACCATTTTTTTTTTATTGCACGGGTCTTCGTGGTGATTACCGGTTAATCTGCCATCGCAATCCCGATTGTACCTGCCTGTCTATCTTGCATTACAGTCCACGACTGGACGGCCAAGAAGTCACCCATCTTACATCTTTCTTTCCGTTCACTCAGAATAGTCTTATTTCGCGCCGGTCGCATCTTCATTCTTTTAAAAGAGAAGGACCCATTGCAACATACACACATTTCCTCTTGCTCAACTCAGCAAAACACCTCACTCATCCAACCAACCAACGGAACACCAAATCCATCCCAAAACAATGTCTTTCCTCGTCGTCCCCCTCCTCAAATTCGGCGTCTCCAAAGCCAAAAAGCACCACGCTGCCAAAAAACAAGCCAAACAAGCCGACCAATTCCAACAACCAGGCAACGCCTACAATCACGGCCCCGAAGCTCCCATCCACATGGCCAACTACCCGGCCAACATCGGACCCGGCGCAGACCTCCATTTCCCACCTGCCGAAGCCCAGATGAGCAAGCGAGCCAAGATCATGGCTATCTTCACCGCTGGCCTGCGCTTCCTCCAGATCGTCTTTGGATTGACTGTTGTCGGGCTGTACGGACGGGATGTGCATCATGACCATGAGAATGGGGAGTCAGCTCGAGCTAGATGGGTATTTGCGTTGACTGTGGCGGTCTTGGCAACGCTGACGGCGGGAGTGAGCTTTGGAGTTCCCTTGATAATGCGTTCGTTGAAGGGTGGTGCCGGTGCTGGCGTGGGCAGGTCCCAGTTACGACTTCCTCAGTTTGTGTGGGAGTTTATCCTGTGTATCCTGTGGTTGACCATGTTTGGCATCTTTGGAAAGATGTATATCGGTGTCTATCCGGTGACGACGCATGGTGCGGACTCTTCGGGAAAGCGAGACACTGCGCATGGAAGTGCGAATAATACGACGACGACAACAACACCTGCAATCTCCCCGCTGGGAGACGCTGCAAAGATCAATCGAATGCGCCATGCCGTCTGGGTGGACTTGATCAACCTCTTGATGTGGGTCGCCACGGCGTCGTTCGTCTTGCTGCGGTGGTTGAAGAGTCGACGGGCTGCACGAGGAGACGAGATGGATGTTGAAAAGGACAATCAGTTCTGAATGACGCCTTGATGGGATCTGATCAGGGCAATACACTCTCTCCTTTTGTTTTCTTGTAACCTGAACTGCGGGACAGATTGGGAGTGCGGAGTCGGTGAGGTTAGATTCCTTAATTGTCATGGGCAGTTGCGATTCCAGCGGTCGGTGTACCATGCCGAAGCTCATGTCTGTTTACTTTTTTGGAGTCTGGGGAAATTGATCAGAAACTTACACCGTTCCTGGAGGTTTTTTAAATTATGGATTGTGAGAGCATCTCCATCTGATGATTCGCATGTCGAGTCCAAGCGCAACTCTGCGAGGGGTCGATTGTAGAACGGAGAAAACCTTGAAGACATGTAGCGCATTCCCTTGGAAAGCCCCGTCTATAGACCAGGTCATGCATCGTGATGATCTCTTGATCTGAAATGACTGTAATGATATGTACTTCGTGATGGATGAGGACCCTTTCATAAAGTCCACTTCCACAGACTACGGATTCGGATTCGGCACGGCCCGAACCGGGGGGGGGGGGGGGGGGCGGGACAGCCAGCAGTTCCACAAGTAGGCAAGGCAAACGCTGTGTGATATTTGTATGCGAGTAAAACAATGCTTATGGGTTAATCTCAAACGAAGATGGGATATGATTGGCTTCTTGGGGGAGAATAACCATCAACTTTGCGTCGAACATGGTCGCGCTTTATGCTTGCACAGCAAACGGTACGTGCCTCCATTTTGAAGCGTGCACAACCGGCAATAATAAATTCATCGAGCATGTGGTCGAGTGATGCCCGAGAACAAAGTCGAGAATAAGATTTCGGGTTCAAGAGCTCAAGTCAAGGTGTAACCGCCATCGACGCGAAGATCTGCACCCGTAATATACTTGGAGGCATCACTGAGCAGGAACGTTACCGCTCCCATCAGGTCCTCCGGAGTTCCCATTTTACCGGCGGGAATCAGGGAGATCCACTTGTCACGGAGCTGGGGGTTTTCATCAAGGATTTTGCGTGTACTAAGGCAGGTTGTCGTCAGTATTTCCGGAAGCTTGCAATCATTACTATGAGCAGGGATCGTGCCACTCACAGTGCGGTCAACATGTATCCCGGGCTGATGCAGTTCACTCGGATATCCTGGGCCGCCCACTCGACGGCCAACGAAGCCGCCAGATGACGCACCGCAGCTTTGGCGGCGTTGTATGGGGCCTGTGGCTGGGGCACGTTGACGATGGATCCGGACATGGATCCGATCATGACAATGCTTCCCGGGGCCTTGCGTTCCATCAGATGTTTGGCCACGCCCGTCGCAAACAGGTAGGTACCGTCCACGTTGACGCCCCAGAGCTTCTTCATGCGGTCAAATGGGTAGCTGATGGCGTCGAAGTTCTCTGTGAAACCGGCTGATGTGACGAGGTTGTCGATGCGCTTGTGCTTCTCCAGAATTTCAGCAAGCGCTTCTTGGACGGAAGTTGGGTTCGAGACATCGGCGTAGTGAGCGGTGACGTTGGGCATTCTTTTTTTTTTTCAAGATACGCGAGAAGTCAGTGAATTGAATGACGGACCTCGTGGATGCACGGGTCATTTGCACTTGCCCGGGATGAATCAAACTCACTGCTCAAGTCCAGGGTTCTCCTTGCGGAATTGTTCGACGAGCTTTCCAGCCTGTTCTTCGGCCTCGGCCTCTGCAGGACTGGGATTAGCGCAGGTCACCAAGACTTCGCCATTCGATCAGAAATTTAGAGGAAACAGACGTATGGCTTCAATCATACAGTCCTGCTCACTCCGTGTCCGTTCGAATTAGGGACACACTTACTGTTCAAATCCACGATGGCCAGATCTGACCCCGACGCAACCAATCCTTGTCCCATCACCAAACCCAACCCTCGCGCACCACCTGTCACCAAACTGACCTTATTCTCCAAGGAGAACTGGGCCAATGTGCGCTTGAAATGCATCCCTCCGCGCCCCTGGACCACGGGCTGAGCTGGCATTTCGCTGTCGGGAGGATATTCAATTTGCACGCTCTCGTCGGTGCGAGCGAATTTACCCTGGTGCTCCGGGGAGCTTGCCCGAAGAAGGGGATCATTTTCCGGGTCGTCGGACTTGTTGTTGGAACGCTGTGTAGTGAATGAGAATTGTCGAACTTGTGATGAGAGCAGAGCCGGACGAGAGGTTGTGCCCAGTGCCTGGGCCTTGACGGCAGAGCGGGCGATCGCACGATGAAGCATGTTGGACAGGTGAGTTCAATGACTCGCGATCTAGTGCGGCAAATAAGAAGAGGGGAACGTGATGGGTGCCCGAATGCTGGTGGGAGAGATGGAGATGACAGAGGATGGGAATTGCGGTCGGTCAAAATGCGATCAGTCAACTTCGGTGGACGAACGGAGACAATGGAAATGTGGAGGCTGACAGTGGACGATGTCGAGTGTGAAGCTGTCGAGTGTCCAGCTAGGGAGACAATGCGATAGGGAGGTTGATTGACGCGCACAACAAGGCAGCGCTCTTCCCCGGGGGATGATCAATTCAACAGCAAATGCCAGGTGGATCAAAATTGTAGGGAGTATGTTGCCTTCCAGGAAAAGGGTGGCGGGTGATTTATTGCGTGAACTCAAGGGGAAAAGAAAGGGTGAAAAAGGGCACCAGGTGTCCTGGATCGTGAATGTGACCCGATGGCTTCGATAGTGGAGGTTATCTCTTTCACCGAGTTACCGGAAGCTCGAGGCTTTGCCCAAGTGGCGACGGAGATCCAGACCTGGAGTCAGTAGTACAACAACAGGGTACACACTACACACACACTACACACTTACACAGTATGTACTATGTACGTAGTATGTAGTATGTAGTATACTATAGTATGTAGTATGTAGTATGTAGTAGTATGTAGTATGTAGTATGTAGTATGTAGTATGTAGTATGTACTATGTAGTATGTACTATCCAGTATGTACGATGTAGTACATACATACTATGAAGTTCATAGTAGATACTGTCTGTTCGCATGCTACCGGCCGAGAATAAGCTCGGCGCCGACAGAAGAAATGAACACCGGACCTCCGCGAGCCAACGTGGACTATCGCGGAGTCCGTTGACTCGAACGGTTTGTTTTTGCCTCTGGCGGGGATCTTCACTGCCGCTGGGGCCAAGTCTTGGGGGGTACAGGGATGTACCGAAGTGGAGAGGCCAGGCAGGGGCTTGGACTTGGTAGCCGGATGTACTGGGATGACAGCGTCAAGACCTGCTGCAAGAGTCGCTACTTGGTGGTTAGTAGTAGTACTGCATGACAAGGAGGTGAGTCCGTGCTAGCCCAGGTATCCATGGGTACAGTACCTTGGGGGGAGTGGTAGTAGTGACACCACGGGAGTATAGGTACTTGTAGGTAGAGCCACATCTCCAGTAAGTACGACTGTGGTGAACTGGACGGGATCGATGGAGCGTGGGGCGATTGAAAACGCCAAGTGGATCGCAAAGGAATTGAGTTGTCTGAGCTGAGACTTTAGGTTCGATATTGAGACGCGATTCCTGAGTAGTGAGTACTACTAGTAGAGTACTAGAGAGTAGAGTCCAACTGACCTGAGAGACAAGGTAGAGAGGAGTACTAACTTACTAGTATGTAGCTACTACTTACCTAGGTCGGGTCGTACCTACTAAGTTCTCAGTAGTAGAGAGTCAGGTACTGCTACTAGTAGAGAGTCTCTACTAGAGACTCGGGCGGGTACTACTGGGGTACATTGGAGTCAAGATGGGGATTGAGGGAGGACGGCGTCTCTTTAGGGCAGGCTGGACACCCCATCAACCATTCCTCTCCACCTGACCTTTACATTGATGCATGCACCTCGACCCTGAAATTCTCATGTTTCAACGATGCAGCTAGTAGACCTCGCTGTGTGACATGAGCTCCGTGCAAATCCAGAGACATAGTACCAAGATGTAACTGGTACTAGGTATGAAGGTAGCGTTCTAAGTACTCCTCCGACAGACGCTGACCATTCCATTGATGTTTTGCAGCTCATTACATACTACCTAGCACTTTATGGTGTAGTGACACGGATACCGCTGCACTCCTGCAGCCCTCGTCTAGAGTCCACGAATCCTCCACTTCCAGTATTACTACTACTGGTACACTGGGCCGATTCACGCGGTGGCTTATCGTCTACCCAGTATGCTCTGGTCCGAAGACCAAGAAAAAAAAAAAAAGGTCAGCTGGACAACAGAGGCTTTTCCCAACCTCTTGGAAACCGGCCAGTTGCCGACCCCAATTCTTGCTCGTGAAGGCCTCTGATGGGTCCGGGTTCAGACCCCCGGACCCGCTCTACCCCACAGTCGGTTTCCGCTGGGTCCAGGCCCGTAATCGATCGATCACCGCACGATCACGGGACCCTTGGGGACAGTTGGATGATGGATCTGACTATCTTCACTCCGGTCCAGCTGACCCTCACCCTGCAGCAACACTTGCCCAAGACAAACACTTTCGGGTCGAGACTCAAGTGCAGAGGAGTGGTTGCTATTTATGCTGAGTCTAGACCAGGGACATTTTGCGGCGATCAGACCGCCGACCTTTTGTTTTGTTGTGTGTTGTGTTGTGTTGTGTTGTGTTGTGTTGTGTTGTGTTGTGTTGTGTTGTGTTGTGTTGTGTTGTGTTGTGTTGTGTTGTGTTGTGTTGTTTTTTTTTTTTTTTGTTTTCTCTGGGGGACTGCCGAGTGGAGAGCTGTTGTTCTATTTCCGGCGACTGCATATTCGGTCGGGAACTCGGGATTGCCTGCCATCCAATTCGTCACGTGCAGCTTGCTCGGTTGAGTCTTGGAGATGAGACATCCGACACTGCAGCACGAGCTTCCTTAAGCCTGGGACGCTCTACCACAGTGCAGAGAAGTGCCGTCTCCTAAGATGTGCCAAACATCTTACCCTTTTCATAGTAGGGGGTTACTGTACGTGTCGACGACTCGACGAACCGATGCCCCCTCCTCCGGCAGACGCCCCCTTCTCGATCGAAGAATGTGTAAATGCCGTCACCGTTCCCGAATCCCGCCCTCCGCCTCCCGCCTCCGCGAGAAATAAAGTACGGTACATGCATTCCTTACCGCCCCTTGGTGTCATATCGACATACACATTGCGCAATGCATACCTCGCCCGCATGGGAGGATCTGCCAAGACTTGCACCAGCTGGAGATCATGCGTTGGGTGAGATCCCGCTTTCCGTGGGAGGTTATAATCCCACTGAGGGCAGGTTCCCCCTGGTCAACAGGTGCTACAACATCTGAACAGATAGGATGATATTGTAGGTCCTGCACAGCATCACTCCGTAACTCAAGTCAGGTCCCCATCAACGCGTTTAGCACCGCAGGTAGTAGTATTAGGGAGATCATTCGCCGCTGGCCCTGGCAAAGTCAATTTAGCACTTCAAGTTACAGTCAAATCCAAGGACACTTTCTGCCATGAATTTTCTCTACTCGTCGACGCATCCATATTGAGCTTCTTGCATTGATCGCGTCTAGAGATTCATAGAGATTCAGAATCACCAAACGGCCCGACCTCGTGGTCACTCATTGCTTCAGGTGGAAGACATACAACGTGTCACGATCGTACGGGCAGGAGAATGGACATGACCCGATGCCTATTGGAGAGTCTTCTCCCGTATATCTTGGTCTGGTAGATACTTCACACCCACGGGCAGGCGATCTCAGAGGGCGATCTAATTTCGTACAGTGTCCAACAGACTGCAGAGTGATTGGAATCGGCCAAGAAAATCCATTTGGAAAAGTCAGACCAAGTTTAACGTCGGAGAAGCTGATATATAAATTGTTCGTAGCAAGTCAAAGAATCAAGGTATGCACCCCCGCCAAAAAGAAAAAAAAAAAAAACAAAAACAAATATGAGACAATAACACATGAACCAAAACTCCCCAGTTCCTCTGTCAGACATGGATCTACTTGTCCCGTTCTACATTGCTTCTACGACTCGCTTTCATCGGCGAACTCAACAAGAGGGGTGCCACTCTTGCATTGATCCTGTCAAGGGAGAAATTGTTAGGATCCTGTTCCTTCCATATGCAAAAAAAAGAGGGAAACCATGGGGGGGGAATGAGAAAGGCAAGAGCTTGTGGGAGCAACTTACACCTTGCTGATGAACCACGCGAGCAATGGTACCACGTTGCGGGCTTCTAATCACCGTCTCCATCTTCATACTCTCAATCACCACTAATGGCTGGTCCTTCTCCACCACATCTCCCGCTTGTACCTCCACGCGCAAGACCTTGCAAGGCATCGGTGCCAGCACGCTGTTGGCAACGTCCTTCAGGCCGAGAGCCTTTTCCATCCACTTGGCCCGTGGCACTCCCAAACGATACTGCTTTCCGCGCTGGAAAGCAATGACCATGTCCATCTCTGCGTCTTGCACGACGGTAGTATCCAGACGCGTGTGGCCGAAGAAGGATGTCACTACGCGAGACGTTGGGTCCATGGTACTTGTCACTTGCGGGAAGACCTGAGATCCGACTTCAATATTGAACGTTTGATCCGCGGTTTGCTGGACGCGAACATCAAAAGTCTCGACTTCAGCGTCGGGACCGGTCGTTGAAGTGAAAGATAGCTGGCGCTGCTGGTAACTGGGCGCAAATCCAACAGCGGTTCCGGCGAGGCCCGCGGAGGGACTGGCGGCAGCAGAGAGCATGTCTCGGTGCAGGCAGGCCAATGCAACCTGGGCGAGGACTTCATCCTCGATTACCTTGGGAGCAAACAGTTCCTCCCGGTGCTTCTCAATGTAACCAGTCTCCACTTCACCAGCGATAAAATCTGCGCTGCGGCAGACAGTTTTCAAGAACTCGATGTTGGTGACAGGCCCAGCGACTTCATACTGCTCGAGTGCGGTGGCCAGCTTGCGTAGCGCCTCTTCACGGGTCTCACCACGAACAATCAATTTGGAGATCATGGGATCGTAGTGGGCAGAGACATCATCGCCCTCCACGAATCCAGCATCAATTCGGACGTCTTTGCTTGTGGCAGGAGTTCGAACGTGAAGTAGCCGACCAGAATCGGGGATGAATCCCATGTCAGGGTTTTCCGCATAGATACGAGCTTCAATAGCATGACCACTGAGCGCAATGTTCCGTTCCACCTCTTCTTGAGTCATCGGCAGAGGGGCGCCCTCAGCCACCATGATCTGCCAATGGACCAAGTCTTGGCCCGTCACCATCTCCGTCACGGGATGCTCAACTTGGAGACGAGTGTTCATCTCCATAAAGTAGAAATCACCCGAATCATTGTCAAAGATGAACTCCACAGTACCAGCACCCTCGTAACCGACCGCAAGGGCGGCAGCACGAGCCTTATCCCATAGATCCTTCCGAGTAGCATCCGGAAGATGGGGAGCCGGAGATTCCTCGAGAATCTTCTGATGCCGGCGCTGAATACTGCAGTCTCGCTCACCGAGAGCGACAGAGTTGCCGTGTTTGTCTGCAAAGACCTGCACCTCAATGTGTCGCGGCGTGGTGATGTACTTTTCCACCAGGACATGATCATCTCCAAACGAGTTCATCGCTTCTGACTTTGCGGATTGCAATTGTGCCTGGAACTCAGATTTGGAATGTGCGATACGCATACCCTTTCCACCACCTCCCTTGATGGCCTTGATGAGTACCGGATATGTGATTTTGTCGGCTTCGCTCTCCAGGAACGCGGGATCTTGATTCTGGCCGTGGTAGCCGGGCACGCATGGCACACCGGCTGCGAGCATGATCTCCTTGGACCGACTGTGGGAAGTCAGATTTGAATGTACTTAAGCCGAGCAACACTGGGTCATACCTTTTGTCACCCATATCTTCGATAGCCTTCCATGGCGGGCCAATAAACACAATACCGGCCTCTGTACATTTCCGAGCAAAAGCGGAGTTCTCGCTCAACTAGAGCCGGTTGACCGTCAGTCACCAAGTAGGGATTGGGGATTGAAGCAAGGCGTTGAGTACTTCAAAGTCGCAAACAAAAAAAAAATGGTGACACTCACAAACCCATAGCCAGGGTGAATACCACGGCACCCTTCTCGCTTTGCAATCTCAATAATGCGGTCTCCATCCAAATAGGCCGATACAGAGCCTAAGTTAAAAGCATGCGGTGTACTCAAAGCATGTTGTGCTCGGCTATCAGGGTCAGTGTAGAGAGTTGTGACACGAATTCCGTGCTCTGCGGCAGTCCGCCCAACCCGGCTATTCAGACGATTAGTCCAATCCGTTCAACGTTCCCACACCCTCTCTCCGAAGCAGAATGTTCATAGTAGAGAGACACTTACAGCGCGATTTCACCACGATTGGCAATCAATATTGAATCCAAAGTCTTGTTGGCCTGTGACGTACTTGCAACCGAGGATGCAGCTCTTGCGCTCCGTCGGATAGCAGTCGGTGCAAGGCGGGGGGTGATGCGGAGAAAGGAGGAGAGCGTCATGACGCACGATTGATGGCGGCGTATGTTGGTGCGAGGATGCTTTACGAGAATTGCGTTGATTGTATCTTTCTAGTCTGATTCCATGATCTGGTCCCCGTACAGATGTAGGTTGAAATTGAATTTGGCAGTGAAAAAAAGTGAGGTTGGTTTTATTCGCGTGCTGCAAGAGAAGCAAGCTGCAAATGGGCTGCGGACCTTCTTCAGCCGACGCAAAGCGAGATTGCGGGGAAAGCCGAGGCTTACCTCATCAGTTTCCTCTAGCCGCATTAGGAAGTGTATTTTGAAAGTAAACTACGAGTCCTGACGAATCGATATCTATGGAGGAAGTTTTGCAGCATGGTTTCAAATCAGGAGAAAAGTCAAATTCTAGCGTCAGACTAAGCGACTTGTAAGATCTGCTGGTGAACTTGAGTACGTAGTCCCCTTTACTAAATCACAGCAAAGACTTGAAATCAACATCGAGCTGATCTCAATCTAGCTCTCGAGATACAATTTGTCCATGTTAGATGACCTTAGTTGTCGACCACTCTCTCACCGTTCCTCCAAACAATCTTCACGTCACAAATTGCCTCAATGGACTCGGTTGGATTCCCCGACACCAAAAGTAAATCTGCGAGACGACCCTCCTCAATCACCCCGCGATCGGCCAGATGAAATCGCTTCGAAATGTTGGAAGTCGCTGAGATGAGAGCTTCAATGGGAGTGAAGCGACATCGATTCACCAGCATCCATAGCTCCTGATGTACTGACATGCCAGGTCGAGTACCGGGGAGATCACCGGCCGTGTCCGTACCACTTGAGAAAGCAATTAGCCAAGGTAAGCTTGCCAAAGTCTTGGGGTCTCATGGCTTACCACAATACGTCGATGCCAGCCTCCTTGAGAGCAATCACTTGATTGTATACATTGTTGATGGTAAATTGATCTGCGGTAATGGGAAGACATCCAATCGCGTGTTCTCGGTCCGCTCCGTGAAGATGCTTCGAAAATATCTCGCGAGTCTCTTGCTCTTCGCCACTTGAGGATGCGTGGATTACAAGTGTAGGGACAACAAAGGCATTGCTCTCTTTGAAAGCTTGAACAATCTCATCAGTGACAGGATCGATTGACGCATGTGCCAAGCCATCGACGCCGGCACGCAGGACTTGCAAGGTTGAGTGGTTGGAAAGAGCGTGAGCAACAGCGACAAAGCCCGCCTTGTGCGATGCCTCTACGACCATCTTTTGTAGTTCGAGGGATGGCGTTGGAAGAGGACGTTCCGGGAAAGGAATTTTCATTGTATGGCCATCTTCTTGCATAAGCTTCGTGAAACTGAAGCCCATGTTAGCCTCGGGAGACTCATTTCCAGAAAATTGATCTGCATCAGAAGATAAATCAAACGTACGATGCGCCCACTGCTTTGTTGAGTGCTATGCACTCGTCGATAGATTGCTGGTCGTGAATGTTGGGCCAATTGGATATACGCTCCTCGACCTGTGTAAACTCTTCGTCTCAGCACAGATTAAGTCTTCCAACGTAGTGGAAAGTAGTTTGATGAAAAGAACGGACATTTTCCTCTTGAGATACCAGTCTCAAAATCGCGGACGGCCACCCATTCTTGACCGTCGCACCACTCCCACAAGACTTGACATCCGACACATCGTTTCGTTGGCGCGTAACTGCACTTATCTCCTTGAACCATTCGCGCTCGTTATGCATATCAAGCACCGTGGTCACACCATACTTGATAGCCGTTTCGATGAGATGGACATCCTGGAAGACATGAACATGAGCATCGATGAGTCCTGGTAACAAGGTACAGCCTTGAGCATCAACCACGGCACATCCCTCGGGTGCAGAGAGCGGCTGCTTTAGGGAGATTGCTGCAATGCGACCAGATTCAATCAGGACGTGTCCGCTTTCCGAGACGGTTGAGAAGCCGTCAAAAATGCGGGCATTGCGGATGAGGGTAGACATTGCAGAGTGAAGCTTGAAGTGCAGTGAGAGACTTGCAGTGAAGAGACTAAGCGTGATTTGAGACGCCAGAGACGTGGGCGACCGCAGGCTTTAAATACTGAGCAGGAGAGCAAAGATTTGACAGGCGGTTCTCGGCGTTACGTATAGATATGAATTATTAATCAGACATTGTTGTATATTCGATAGTGCTGTGAGGCTGAACGAGTGGGGAGCTGACGCGCAATTGCTCGGTCGTTACCAAACGTCAGGCGAAGTCGCAAATAGTGACGCTAGCCTGCAATCTCCGGATGGAGTGAAGAGGTCCACGGGTAAGCGCTAGGCCCTCTGTGTACTTGGGTATACCGTGCTGACAACATGAGTCAAAAGTGTCAATGCGATCAGAACGGCTCAATTTCCTACTGAGATTGGAAATAAGCGAGTTGCGGAGTGCGATGGGACCAAAATCCGAGCCTTGAGAGTCGACTTGTTCAGCTTGGTTATTGTCAGTACCACTTGCGGAGTTTTGGCGGGGTTTGCGGAGTTGGGTCACCGACCAAGTAGGAGGGATGCGCAGGATCAACTTACAATGGTAAGACCTTACGAAACTCGACCGGAACATTACCAGTCAGTTCTAACGACATCTGACGGTCGCGAATCCTTTAGACTGGTTGACCCAAAAACACCGGGGGCTAAGTTGACAGCAGAAATCATTCAGCGTAGTAAGTTCTGTTATATGATTACAGGTGAATGTATGGCCTTCACAAAAATAATAGACGACATGGAAACAATGGAGGATACGCCTCCTCACAGGTTCGCAAGAACAAAAAAAAGTATCACCAATCAAAGATCATGCTGGTGCGAGGATCAAATTGCAATCTTGGTAATTAGACCAGTCTTGTGGTATGCGAAGTGAATGCAAACAAATCTGCATCACATGACCTTCAATCAATTGAGCTATTGCATGTGACTGCTGCCATGCTTCACGCTTTCTCACGGGGAAGATCGGCGTGCTCCTGGTAAACCTTAGCATCATCTCCAAGCGGAGAGTGCATCATGGGCTCCGGCGACTCATCAGCTCCAAGAAGAGAGAGCAACCCAATCTCGCGCTCAATACGGCTCTTACGCTCCTCATCGGCGGTGGCCATACCGGTGGCACCGAAAAGCTCGTCCATCTCCTCCAGGGTTCGGCCCTTGGTTTCAGGCACCAAGAAGAAGACGTAGAGGGCGCCAATGACGGTGATAACTCCGAAGAAAATGAAGGTACCAAGTTGGGAGGCATGGATGAACGGCGAAGTGGCCATTCCGACTGCGAAGTTGTTGAGCTGGTTGAATGTTAGTCAGTTGACAAGACACCGTTGTCTCCCAGAGTAGAACATTGCATGAAAAGCACCCACCCAGTTACTGCTACCACCCAGTGCAACACCCTTGGCACGCATGGACAAGGGGAAGACTTCAGACACGACAATCCAAGCCACGGGGCCCCAAGAGTAGGCAAAGTTGATGATGAAAATCCAAATGAACGCAACACCCGCCCAAGCTGCGGTTCTATTGGTCTCGAAATGGCCTTCGTAGCCTCCAATGATTCCAGCCACAATGAAGTGGCAAGAAGCCATACCGATGGCGCCAGCAAGAAGGATGCTCTTTCGACCGAATTTGTCGACGTAAAGAACAGCAGGGATAGTAAAGACAAATTCCATGATACCCACCACACCAGTGGCGAGCAGCTCCAGAGTGCTTCCACCCAAGCCGATGCCGCGGAAAATGAACGGCCTAAGAAATTCGTGGGTCAAAATTAGTCCCCGGAGATTTAAGATGTTGGTGAGCCTCGCGACTTACGCGTAGTAGTTGATCGCGTTAATCCCGTTCCATTGCTGGAAGGTCATGACCAAACACTATGTTAAGAAAGAGGTCAGCTGTTTTCTTCCTCGTTTCAACATGATTCAATCGTCGATACTCACAGCCACGGCTGATCGCCTGAACAAGGACGGGTTGGTGACAAGTGACTTGTAGTCATTGACGAGAATCATAAAATTACTGTGGCGAGATCCATCTTGGTACTGAGGATATTTAGCGGCAGCGGTCTCCTTCTCAAAGAGATACATGGCCTTGATTTCGAGAAACTCAATGCGCACACCCATGTCATCAGTTGACTTGTTGCGCAGCCATGATAGGACCTTCAAGCATTCCTCCTCACGACCCTGGTTGATGAGGTGGCGAGGTGATTGTGGCATGAAGAAAGCCATGCCGGCTCCCAAGATCAAGGCAGGAATCAGCTGAATGCAGACGGGAATTAACCAGGCGGCATTGGACTGAGTGACGCCAGTTCCACCAATGAAGTTGCATCCGTAACCGATCCAGAAACTGACCATGATGCCGAAAGTGATTGCTAATTGCTGGACCGCAACGAGAGAGCCACGAATCTCGGGTGGTGCCTGCACAGCAAAGGCCCCAACAGTCAGCTTTATTTCGCAGGCGTGCCAGTTCGCAATCAACCAGAGAGACCAGAGACTCACCAATTCAGCGTTGTACAGAGGCACAATCATACTCAAACTACCGACGCCCAGGCCTGTGACGAATCGACCGGCAAACATGTAGCTGACAGATGCGGTGGTCGCCTGCACAATAACACCCACAGTGAACACGCCGACAGCGACGATGGTGGTCATGCGACGACCGATGGCATCGGCGAGATAACCGTTCATCAAACTACCAATCCACGCTCCAAGTTCGAGAATGGCGGTAACAATAGCTTGTTGGGCACCGGTTTTTTCAGCATATCCTTGAATCTAGGAGAATGGTATGTCAGAGGCATGCGTCTATGAAGAATCAGTGCGTATCGCACAACGAGCTTACTCTATTCTGGAAAGCGTGCATCGTCAAGATCGACGAGAACATTCCTTGGTTGTCTGAGACGCCGAGTCAGTATCTAATCATGAGGACTAGTATCAACGTGTGCAATCACTCACATCCATACACGAGACCCCCTAGCGAGGCAAACAGAGCAATTGCAAAGGTTCGACCGTTGCTGATCAGGCCTTTGAAGCCTGACTCGCCAGCGTACTGCCGACGCTTGGCCGACAAGTCGTGGGGGTCACCACCACCCACTGGAGCTGTACCATGACCCATGATTGTTGGAGAAATCCTCGAGGCGGAGCAGGCTTGCGATTCAACAGAAAATTTCGCTGCTCTCGATGGCTAACAAAGGTGATCGAACGTCCTATAAAGAAACCGTGCATTGGTGGCGCCCTTGAGGCGTCCGGCTAAAACGCCATGTGCGGTCCCGACCGAAAGCTTCAGGTGCACCAGACCTTCGCACCGCCATGCTTGTCATCCTGGATGAGATTAACCGGCCAGGCGTCTGCGGATATTTTGAATGTGTCCGAAATCCAGGAAATGACCGAGTCACCGTATGACCGACTCCTCCATTTACGTAGGCTCGGATCCAATCACCTCTCGACCGGACTCGGGCCAGCCGACTGATGGCCTCTTCCACTGCCGTTTTGACGGACTGATTGGGTTCCCCCGTCTCCGCTCTGGGCCGATGCGGGGGGAGCATTCTCCGCCTTTCCCCGACTCATTCAGAGTTCACCCACTTTTTCCACTGCCTCTCACTCTGGTACGCTGGATCTGGGGTTTGCGACGGTCTCTCTCGGTGTCCGGGATAGCAAAATTGGAAACGATGGCTGCCCGTGCCCTCCGCGATGCGAGTGCGCCTGAGCATGATTGCTTGATCCGTTAGCCAACAACCAAGAGCCAAGAATACGCCCGATGACTTCGTGGCGTTTTGCCGCTGTTGGGTGCCGGCAGACTCGGCGCCGTAAGACGGCAGTGGGCCCCCTAGTCCGCCAGCAGAATAGCGGTGATTGGAGTTGTCCAAAGACTTGGAACCTGGGGGAGCTGGAGAACCGGGGAGAAGACGAACCTGGACAGAAACACTCCTCTGTATTTAGCCTAATCTACCAGACTTGGAGACTTGCAATAGTCATCGAAGTTCAGAAACTTTCTGGAAACACGGAGTCAAAGCGATGACTCGGGATGTCGGCACACGAACTTGACAACTGAACGGGAGAACGAGCACGAGCGATAGTTCCAAACCCCAACATTCTCCAAGTCAGGCATGGTCTGAGGGATCAAGTACGAGAGAAACTATTGGATCGATATAATGAAATAGCCGGAGAGACCATGATTTGCCGTTCTCTCGAGAGGACCCTAATGAAGGGTATACTCGAGCTAGGGTGTCAGAAGAGTGGAGATGTCGATGCCTGGCTTCATGCACTGTGACTTTCTCCACCACACCTGATGGCAACAAACACGGATCGACCAGAAGCGCTGCTGTAACCGAGGCCGTCTAACAGAACTTGATTCGATGAACGGTCCTTCGTATGGCTGGAAGTAATTCCTTCCGGACATTGGGGAACTCGGGATCTCGACACGGAGACTAAATGGACGTCCGTCGTCCTATCAATTTCCCTCGCGCTGAGAAAGACCAACCCAAGTTCGCAGCTTTTCATTGGGGCTTACGGTAATCTCAAACCCCTGTGTCAACTTGGTGGAAGTGAGGTACCCAGCACCTATGATCAACAACGCTGCGCATGATTCATGGACGTGCTGTGAGTGTTGATTTCGTCGCTGGTGGATTTAATTAAGGACTCTTGATGAGAGCAGCCGGCAGCGGGGACTTGCTGCACTATGATATGTACCAGATATGGAGGCAAAGATTGTAGCTTTGATTGGGCATCGCCCCCTTTCAAATCCGTGACTCGGGTCAAGCATGCTCTGGACTCGACTAATGTCCGGTTTCTCGTCGCGTTGACAGTGAGAGAGAGAAATGAGGTGCGGGATAATGACGTGAGGTGTGTCCGCGGTCATATACCACAGTTTTGATGCAAAGATTAGGCGGGGCTTCGACTGGGTATACCGTATAGACTATAGTGTAGCTGTACAGTGTAACTGTACACTCGTCATTGCAGGGAACGGTTGGAGAAATTGGGAGTGACGAAACAAAGCAGCAGCGGCGGCCCAGTGTCAGCATCGGCGAATTTATGCCATCCGTTCAGAATGAAGCGACCAGCACGAAACTGAGCGGCAGAACCCCCGGGTTGACCAGAATGATGCAGATACTGAACACTGAACAGTGATATTTTCCGTCTGTTTCTCCTTCCAGTCCAGACATTATTCTAGCTTGGGTTAGTTCGTTTTCAGCAGACCCCGGTCGTTAGGCTGGAAAGGATGCAACAGCACAGGCAATACATCGCTTTCTCCTTCGCTTAGCTATCTTATAAGCTGACAATCGAGATCAGATGCTCAGTTGGTGGCTGAGCGAGAGGAAAAGGCAACTCGAATTCCTCGGGGCCTCGCTGCCTTGATCCTCAGCCCGGCACCGCGTCTTATGATAAGCGTGCTTGATTGTTTTTGACCTGTCGTCGGGTCCTAGGACTAAGATGTGCTTCGGCATTGTTCTTAGTCACACCCATGAGATTATCACGGGTAAGGTTGAAGATTTCGCCGTGATTCCCAGCCAGACTGAGCTATCATGACTTAGCTGGCCGATTCGGTCGGGTTTGTAGATATTTCTCACCACATCCATTAGGTAATCAATTGAATGGCCGACAGTATTTGGTGTGCAGGCGGTTCTTGCTCCACGCCTTAGTAGATACAAGGGCCCAAAAAGGCCCTGTCGGCATTTTGAGATAGGTGGGCAGCATGGACGATTCACTGGATCGCGGTGCAAGAGCGAGCGAAACATTGATCCGGATATCAGGAAATGAATGGCAACTACCCAGACACGCACTTGAAAGTCGTGGAATTGTAGAGTGCAGAGTAGATGGTACGGGGACCGTTTAGATCTCAGAGCGCGTGTGATGACTGATGAGGGCAATGACCAAATCGTTTTCTTGACTATTGTGGGTCGCCGCGGTTGATCTTCTTCAAGTGCTATGAGATCATCTACATGTCTGATGTATAAGGCAGCAGTACTGATTCAGTTGAAGTGGTAAAGTTGAGGAGGGAGTGTCTGCTCGGCAAGTGTTCTTTGTATGACCCAAAGATTGCCTTTTCCAGTCACCTGATTATACACCACACGGGGCCAGAGATGACTTCAATCCGTGGATGCCAACTAAAAGAATAGTATCCCAACCCACGAGGTCGTACTTTCTGCTCTAATGATGGCTCCATACACGATTCATTTTGAACAAAGTTTCAGATCCATGGCATTTTGACACTTCCGCTACTTACTATCATTGGTCTCATCATTCATTGACTGAAGAAAAATCCATGGCGGAACTCTTAGCGAAGCGAGATAATACTGGCACGTTCTAGACACAGATTTCAGTAAAACACATCATATATTATATGGCACCCAACATGGGCGCCAAATTCCGAAGGTCAACTAAGCTACTAATAAACATGCTGACTACTACAGTAGTCTAATCCTGCAATGTTCACTCAATTCAGCCTCTCGCAATTTAAAGTGGATCCATGGCTAATCCATCACGCGATGTCTTCATTCGCGGAGAGAAGAATGCCAAGGCTTACATTAGCAGACTGACTTTCAAGTCTTTTCCTCAGGCCCTTCCCGCATGCAAAGATGAACCAGATCCACATCACCAGTGTCAACATTTGACATTTCATGCTTTGTACGACATTTTGCTTCTAATCCTTCTTTTGTTTGCTCAGCTGGTCTGCGATTCTTTTCCTCGACTCTTGTATTCATTGCCAAACCGCCCTTTTCTTCCTGGTCGGACTCCACACCATGTCCGACGACGACGAGTACTACGAATGGGAAGAAGATTATCCATTCGAGGATGTTGGCCCTGACGTCGTTGTACGTGGTTTTGAGACTCTCTGTTGTCTTCCTCATTCTATCCTACGCATCTGAAGACCTTGAATCACTTGTAGGAGAGGGAAGCTGACTCGGCTATCACTCATCCAGGACGAATTAGCAGCATCTGCCAACTACGAAGCGATTCTTTTCGAGGACCCCAAGTTTGAAGTCGAGGACTATCTCAGCGACTGGGAATATTACTCAGATGACTACCATGATGACGACCCAAGCGTGAAGCAAAATCCTGGTGTCGCAAGTCAAATTGATGCTGCCTCCAAATCGCAACGATCGCGCCCGAAGGCCCGAACAAATCAGACGCGGTCATCCAAGGCGCCCGATCCAAATACCTTTCAGGGGGTGATCTGGCGCACCCCCTTGATGAGTGATGAATATAATGTAATGGTTCAGATTTATGAACCTGGGAGCGGTGAACGGGTCGCGCTGCTTGACAACTGGCGCGAAATTTTCAAATCTGCGCAGCCAGCACTGGACAAGTCCCGGCTGCGCGACAGACGCGCCAAGGCGGCAGTACCAGCCGAGATGGACTTTGCAGACGATGAGCTTCTCTGTGAGGGCGACGAGGAGATGGACAGTTCGGATGCAATGTCTGATGCCTCTTCTGTCAACAACTTGCTGGAAATGGAGGATGCAGGGGATGCATCGAATACCACACCCGAAGTGGTGGAGTCCCCGGAGCCGACAGGTCCCAAGCCTTCATCTCCCCTGAAACGGGGTCGGAAACGAAAAGCCGACGTGCCTCCTGTGGAAGAGCTGGACAAGGACGATGCGGGAGGCGGCCTTTCCCACACCCGTGCCAAGCGTTCTGCAGCAGCACGCGAGGCTCCTGCTCGCGCATCACCAGAGATCTCATCTGCCCCGGTTAGAAGATCGGCACGACACAAGAAATGAGGCTGAAGCCGGGACTTGGTATCCCACTCGAGCAATACGTGCCAATGATGCTATACTTCACATCCGTCACAACAGAAACAGCTATCTGGAAGGCCTCATTGTCTAGTGGACGTTCTTTACCCTTGGTTTTTCGACAATCAATTGGGGGTTGTTGATAGGTCTCGTCTCAAGAGACCTTGGTGCATAGTGTTGAAGAGAACACTGGTGTACAGGTCATAGCATGACGAAACATACTGTCGACAAAGGAGAAACTGTGATGATATGTATCTATCGAGATTGGTCCTTTTCTCCTCAATAATAGAGCTTCTCGACGGGGATGAAAAAGCATGCTAGTCTGTCACCATGTGTAACCCTACGATTTGAGAGGACACCTGGAGCACCGAGTCGCCCCAAGGCTCGTTGTGAGGCACTACTATACCTTCCAAGGTACCTATCACGATTGCCGTCATACATGCTGGGTACTTTGAAGAAGAATGAACCAAGTTAATGTGCCCGATTCACGACTAGCGTTGAAAAGGTCTGATCTTTTAAACAACATCGAGCGGCACCAATAGAACTGATTTTGCCATTCGAGGTCAACCACCTCCCATTTGGGGGAGACCTGTACAATTGATATCGCTATTCCCTTGACCATCTGCAATCCTCTTCTCTATTAAATTAAAAAAACCTTGGGGGAGTGGTAATTGCAGAAATATCATCAGTTTCTAAACACTGAGTGAGCGCAGCACATATGACGATCAATCGAGTCTGTTCATTCGACAAGGACCAATTAGTGGATTACCAGCGCCTGTCAAGTTCGGTCTGGGCCTCACACCTCAGCAGAGATCAGACCTTCACTGATGAGCAAAGTTGCGGCTCGGCGCGCCGCTTTGTGATGATGCAGTAAGAGAGGATTTTAGTCGTTTCCCAATGAGAAAATGGGTTGGGACCTAGCCAAGTGCTATATATGTAGCATCGTTGAGCTGTACCTATTTGGACCCGCCTTGCAGGCAGGTTGGGAAATTTTGTCCTAGGCCTGGGCACTCGTTCACATAAACAGAATTGGAGGGCCATTTTGCGCCGTCCGCTGAAGTGGTAGGTCTCTTACCCTGTAATTTCAATGATGGACGAATCAACTGGTGCTCCATCAAAAAAACAAGAAAAGAAAAGGTTTTCTTATCGCCAGCTATAAGAAAACAATGCATCTGACATGGTGGACTTTTCTTCGTCCATGTGCATTTTTGGTAGGAAAAGCCCCGACTTGCGAGCAGCTTCACTGCGAGTTTGCCTTGCCGACTTTACCCACCCTCCTGAGCCCTATAGCTCCCACGATCAGGCTGATCACATTGACCGCCAGCAAGAACCAGAATGTGGCTCGGTAGCCGACCATCAAGCCCTCGGGCTCATATCTGTGGCGCGGGTCGACCTTGGCGTCACTGACCACATTGGAAATCAGCTCGACAAAGGTTAAGCCGAAACTCTTGCCAACCTGAGAGACGGTGTTAAACACGCCGCCTGCCAGACCTTGAGTCTCGGGCGGGAAAAGATCCGCGATGAGAATGTTGGAGACGGTGAAGAGAGCATCAGCGGCAATAGGGTTTAGACAGGCTACGATGAACGCGCAGCGCCAGTAGCTCCACGAAGGGTTGATGATGGCCATAAGCAAGGGCGAAATCGCGGAGATGATGGTTGTGACGTTTATGATGGCATCGGCACGGAAGTAGTGCAAGACCATGCCCGTGGCGAGGGCACTGAGGAGGCCGGTGATGGGAGTGGGGATGAAGTGGAGTGAGGTTTCGATGACGAAGAGCCCCTGCACGTCCTGGAAGAAGAAGTTGAGGATCTGCTCCAGGCCGTTAAAGGCACCCCAGATGATGAAGACGTTGATGCAGACTGCGGTGAAGGAGAGGTTTTTCCAAAGGGAGTTACGGATGAGGGTGGGTTTGTCATGACGCTCCTGGTAGTCTTGCCAAAGGACGAAGCAGATAATAAGAACTCCGGAGATGGTGAAACAGGCAATTGTTGACGGTTTGGAAGCGTCGTGGACATTGGCCGTGATGACACTAGGTAGACACCATCAGTTGAGGTTTGCTCGGTTGTGGTGAGCAATCCGGATGGGTGTGGAAAAGAGAAACAGATAGAACAACTTGTGTGTGTGTGTGTGTGTGTGTGTGTATGAAGTCAGTGGGTGAACAGGACAGAAAAGGGGACACGCACGCTAATGCCCAGGCAAGGACAGCCAAGGCCACGCTGATGAACACGGCGCCGATCCAGTCGATCCCATAGACCAGCCCATGCCAATTGACACGGGTGACTTTGCCTTGTGGCAGCTGCCAGCAGGACAGCGTAGAGGCGACGGTGTTGGCGATGGCGGCGGTAAAGAAACCCCAGCGCCAGCCGATGGTGTCGGCGCAGAGTCCGCCCACCAAGATCCCCAATCCAAATCCAATGGGTTGACCCCCGCCCATGAAGGAGAAAGCGAGGTTGCGCAGCTTTCCCGGAGAAAAATTCTCGGAGATGATGCTCATGGCAGACGGGAGACACATGGCTGTGGCCAGACCGGAAATGACTCGAAACGTGATGAATTGTGTACCATCGACCGCAAGACCACAGGCCATGCAAAAGATGCTCTGGAAGAAACAACCTAGCAGGAAGATCTTTCTGCTCCCTACCGCGTCGGACATGGCGCCAAAGATGAGCAGGGTACAACCCGTCGCCAGGGCGTACATTGACACAGGCCTGATTCATCGTCGCTATCAGCACAGCTCAATCACTTCCGTCTCGGGCTCTGTCTGCGCAACCAAGATGCTCACCATAACTCCATCCCGGGCCCCAGATTCAAGTCTCGGGCCATCTGAGGCACAGAGATCGTGACCAGACCACCCAGATAGGAACTAATGAAGGTGATGCATGAAATGCAAAAAATGACCAGTGCCGCATGTTTGGGCTTGCCATCTTCGTCGGGTATGTTTCTCGTGTCAGTCTCAGCCGTTTCAGGACAATCTTGCTGGACAATTGTCGCGACATTGGGAGCATCAGGATTTGGCACCATTGCGGTAGTTTGATCATCAGAGTTCACCCACGGGGGTGCGGACTCTAAGAGTCGATCTCTCTCGGTGAAAGTCATCTTGACCTGACTCAGGGCTCGGCGCCGGGGCTAATGCACGAGAACGGAAGACACGGGCAGACGGGCTTGGGGCCGATGCAGTCAGCACAAAGACCGGGCCATGGACCAACTATCCAACGACCAACAACCAAAGACCAAAGCCCGGGGGGACTATTCAGTGGGGGCTGAAGCAATTATACGGATGGTCTGCTGCAATTGATAAATTGCACGGTCTCCCAAATGGGCAAAGTGGGTGAACCACGCCATGCTCGCGGTATTTATCATTGCAAGGGTGCTCGTTGTTCAACTTCATCCTTTCCTTTTCCAGGCTGCATACAATCGAGGATCGAAATGGATCTTTAGGTGAAGATTCTTCGAGGGAAGCCACCCGGATGCTAACTGAGGTCTCAATTGCAAGGTAGCAGAACTCCCTTGCATTGCTGGGTCAGTATTATCTTGGATTGACGCGGGCAGAGAGTACAGATCTCATCCCCTATGAAAAGAGCATGCAAACTGGACTGGACAAAGGCCATTTCCAGCTCGCCACTGGTGATCAACTTGACTACCTACTACCTAGTCAATTGGACTCGATCAAAGACGTCATCTAGACCAGTCGGCTCGTGAGAACGAGGGTTTCCATTTGTCTCGGTTTGTCATCTTCCGGATATTGTCCCCCCCCCTTACACCTTTCCTTAGCACACCTGATCATCTTTCTTGGGATGAACTGCAATGCGATGCTTGGACGATCTCTGGATACGACGCTTGATCCCCAGGGATCCACGGCTGAAGCAGAGGATTGTTGATAGTGTCCCTCGCAACGGGACTTGCCACTACTGCTGTATTCATATCTTGGACGGAATTGATGTGAGTCATTCACGAGGTGGGTGCATTGGTCGGTATTCGACAACCCCTGACCGAACTTCAACGATACCCGTCAATGTCCCCAGACCTGTCAACGATGAGCCCTGTTCCCGCCATCTTTGCAGCTCACCCATGAATGAGACGGATGCGTTTCTCTCCTTCTGATTCGTTCCGACGGGAGCTGCCTGACAAGTCCCAGTCGTATTCTCCCGATCCGCTGCTTCCCTTGTTGTAGATGTGAATGACAAATCCTGTCGAATCCAAAGCAGCCGTGGGTCATCGGGGCGAGGATCCACATATTCCAAATGTCAAGTTGCGGCTGTATAGAGAAGTCACCTCACTTTGTACGACTCTCTTTTATTCTGCCACGGATGCTTTATTTACAAGGGCTATTTCTCATGAAGAGACCTCAATTATGATCCTGGCAGCTTATCAGATCCGAGGTACTCCCGTCGAAGGTGTTGTCCCCACGATGCGTCTCCGTTTCGGTGGCATTGATCTGATAGTGACGGGGTCATGTTGGCCGAGAACCTGTAAGAAACTCACGCGGACTGGATAAATGAAATGAATATCTCTTTCATATCACGTAGATCACGCTCAGCTCTACTTTGCTCATCTCTACCTTGTTCTCTTTTTTTTAATCTTTTTTTTTGTGTATTTCTCCCCTCTTCGAATTGCCCGATTACCGGATTCATGATCTCGATAGTGTTACATTGAAGAAGCCTGCCCATCGACCGGCGCAAGGTGAATGGGTCCATGGCCCTGATCGATGGCCTGTTGGTTGACACTCTCTCTGCATGCGGAGATCATCTCTCCAGCTCTCCAGCTCTCCACCGGTCTCCGTCTGTCTCCGCCCATCTTGGCTCGGTATCCTCTTTGGCGGGAAGCACGGGTCCGGTACGTGGACTGACGTTGTTGCCCCCAAAAGGTGGAGACGGTCCACCCGACTCCTTAGGGCTTAGTACCTTGGGTGACAGGACTCGAGTCTCATCCGGTCTCCAACGACTGCCTCAGAGCTGGAGATCAATCCAGTCACAACCGGGAGTTCCATCACACTCACCGGTACTCGCCCAACCTGGAGTCCTTGGGTCGACGGACTCGCCGACAACATCTTGCTCTCCTGCATGCTCAGGATATGAGGTTCGACGATCAATTCGTCCCGTCAACTGCACTTGTCAAGTGATCTCGGTTTCATTCGGGCCGTCGCCTGGCTTCGGGACGAGGTCACCAGGAAGTCTTGTATCGTAGAAGGCGCAGGCTTCTCGAGGTTTGAGCTGAGCGGACCGATTTTCATCCATTGGTCTCGACTGTTCCTGGTCGTTGGCACATCTCAAGGGGAGTGGAGAGTGAGTGCAGCGGTGTCGGTGTCGGCGAGCCCGAAAGACAAAATCAATCCCCTCGAAGTGGAATTGCTTGGCGATCCCTGCCTCAATCCTGTGCTGCAGCTCCATTTGCCAAGGCTGCAGATGAATATTGTCAGATCTCAGTACTGAGGCAATATGCTATCCGTCGTTATCCTGTTCTTTCCCGACACCCATGTCTTCTTCTATCACGCGAGGGGTCCTCTGGGCGTGCTCCTACGACTAGTCGTCTGGGAGGATCATCACTCCTAGTGTTTGATGCATGTGTACTTCCTGATCAATCTTTGGTGTAGGGCCTCGTCCCCTACCTGCTTCGAGCGACCGCTCTACCTACCACTTTGGCGGCAAGAGCGATTCTGACCCATCCGTCAGTATTCAGTACAAGCCACAAGGAGTAGCCGTAGGGAGGCAGCTTACTGTTCCTTCGGGCTTATACCCGTCTCTCCCTGACCATCGCGCGAGAATCGCCTGAATCTCTTCTTTGATCGAGCCGTCGCCTTCAGCGGCTTGGGAATATTACACATAGAATATGAGGACCAGTGAAATCGACGCCAAAAAATGACAGCCTCTGGCGCTAGAAACGGCGGCCTTTTCACCCGCAACTTCGGATGGCGAGCTGCCGCTTGACTGCCCGCTATGCTGTACCGCCCCCTATTCCACATCCACATTACGCTGGGGTTTAAATACATTGTTCTAGTGTTCAAAGGTTTGAAACACCCTGCGCGACCGCTTTTCTACACCGCGCACAATTGAAAGAAATTCCTCTTAATTGGTAGGGTAAAATCTAAAACAAGATTACAAGGCTGGAGAGAAGAATAAAGGAAAGGAGAAAGATGACCCTGAGGTCCCTGACAAAGCAGCAATGATATCATAGAGCTCACGATAGTCAAGTAACGTTGCAAATAGAATAGTCATCAGCATAAACACGTGAGACATCAGCGATCCAGGCCGAATTCATCTGAGACCCTGGCGTCTTGAGCAACCACGCACCTCCCCTGAAATCTTTCGAATCAATACTTCTTTCGTGAGTATAACATCGTCTTCCATAAGGCCTGGCGCTTAATGGCCAACGAACATAACAGAATCGAGACGACTTAGAGGAGACTCTGCACCCTCCAGATATCCTCAGCAAAATTTCTCAGCTCTTGTTCGGGTATCAGTAAGTCTCTCTCCGGGGGCTGGCGAGGAGAACGGCCAACAACCTTGTCGAACGGTAGATCCAGCTGTGTCGTAGTTGTAGTTATACCATTTAGGTAGGACTCTCCGGTAATAAATGTCGTATTATTCGTTCGAGATAATTTGAGGATTGTAGTAGGACGCGCGGAAAGAGAGGCGGAAAGATAGGATGACCTTGTAAGAACGCGATATCCTCGGGGAATAAGTTCCCATCTCTGTAAGATAATCTCCGGATTTTCACGATTAATACTAATCGTAACCACAAGCTTCACAGAAGAGGAGTAAGTCTCAAGCCAACCGCGTGTATCAAGAGCAAGTTGTCGCGTAGACTCTGATAATCCTACTTCCACCACAAAACTCAGTCTTGGATTTGTCGAAGCCGGAGCCCAGCAGCAGTCGGCCTCTTTTTTCCAATTTCCAATTGTAACAGTAGTCGAACCGAAAGGCATCACGTCACGATGCACGTTTATCATACGTAGCTCGAGAGAGATCAATGAATCAAATAATCTTATTACAAGCTCATGTGCAGGATGCGGCATGACTTTCGCAATCAAGGTTCCCGTTTCTGTATTGAAAAAGAATCGGCAATACTTGCTTGTTCGTAACCCATCATCACTTAGTCTAGAATATTGCGCCGGGGGGACAGACGTAAAGACCAAGTACTGATCGCGAGTTCGGTCTTGTTGAAGCGCTCGTTGACGGCCTTCCAAGGAATTTTGTAATCTCTGGTTGGTGGTGAATGGCTGCTGCTCCACTTCCTCCGCCAGTTGCGCAAGAGGATCCTCAGATTCGGATTTAACTGACGAGAACTCAAAAGATGAGAGCTCAGAAGATGCGGACCGAGATGCGACCGAGGTGGATTGAAAGGAGTCCATGGCGGGTGAGAAGGTAGGGTTGAAAGTGAGAAGGCAGGCAGATAGAATAGGTAATGACGACTGATAAGTGAAGTGACGGCGTATTGTGGCGCTAACCCAAAATCGGCAAGACTAACCAGATGTAGTAACTAGCTCATAGGTCCTAGTATTACACCAGAGATTTTCGTACACTGTACACTGTACAATATTACGTAGTGTGTATCGTACACTCATATAATGTGCAAATTGTGCAAAGGCATACATACAGTACACTAGATACTGGATACTAGATAGTAGATACACTGATACAGTAGTATGTTTATTGTATGATTGTGATATTGTAATAATTGTATAATGTTAAATGTATACCTCATTACCTACATCTCCGTTACCAGTTAACTTGCCAGTTTTGACACTCTGACTCAGTCTTACAGTATGGAACTATGTATTGATTACTCTGCACAGTTTGGTAGCCTTGTGATAAATATTGTTTTTTTCGGCCTTGTACATACTCCTGCCGAGTACAAGAGTTCAAAACTACTACACATATCTTGTACATACACGAATGACTCCAAATGACTCTACATCCACAGAATTGACTTGCCTGCGATCGGGCAGTGGATCACCCCGCCACCTGAATCTGGTTTGTAAATTCCGGAGGGCAGCGCGTTCGATTCGACCCTCTGCGGGGGTTTACATCCAACAATTTCTCTAAACCGCGACTGAGCCTACCAGGTACCATGTTCTTAACAATGGTCTCGCGTGCGGGGTGTTGCGCCATTGGCATACTACTTAGGGATGAGCAGAGACCCCCATAAGTTCATAACGCGACGACGGCAGGCTCTCACTTTTTCACGCTGAGGGCTGTCACTTCGGTCCCAACCACCTGATGATCTTGACTTGTTGACGCTTCCGGTCTCTCCATCATGGCCGCTCGCTGGATCTCTTCCCAAGAAATTGCTCGCCACGATACCCTCGAGGACTGCTGGCTGGTTGTTGACAATCAGGTCTGGGACATGTCCGCCTTTGCCCCAGATCACCCCGGTGGTGTAGAGAGTACGTGTCAACTCCTCAATTGGTTTCTTCCAGACCGGCGACCTATAATGCCTCTTTCACCCCTTGTGACTGGTTCCTCCCAGAATAACAGCACAATCGTCACTAGTGGAAGGTCTACGGTCCAGATGACTTACCGTCGACCCACAACTGATCAATCTTCATCTAGTCATACTTCGGTTTGCGGGTCGTGACGCGACCGCTGCCTATAATCAGATCCATAGTCCGGACCTCATCAAGAAGGCTCTTCCACCGACTCAACTCATTGGTCAGCTTGATCTGTCCACGATAGACAAGACGTGGAGCCAGAAATCTAGTCTCCCGTCAAAGTCATCCTCAGTGAGGCCGCCGCTGAGTACGATCCTCAGCAGCCATGACTTTGAAGAGATTGCCCGGCACTCTCTGTCAAAGAAAGCCTGGGCTTTTTACTCCAGCGCCGGCACGGATCTGATTTCCGTCAGAAACAATTCATTGTTCTACCAGCGTATCTGGATGAGACCGCGACTGCTGCGCAATGTCTCGACAGTCAGCACGCAGGTCACGATCCTCGGAGCCTCATTCGCGCTGCCTGTGATTGCGGCGCCAGTCGCCCTCGCCCGACTGGCCAACCCTTGCGGTGAAAAGGGCATTGCCCGCGGCGCTGCGAGAACGCGCACGGGATATTGTGTATGAACTGAACTGAACTGAACTGAACGGCGCAGAGTTGTTCACCATGGGGGAGGGATGCCTTCGCTGACCATAATGACAGATCCCCATCACCGCGTCATACCCGGCCGAAGAAATCATTGCGTCGGTCAACCGCGATCATCCATTCTTTTTCCAGCTCTATGTCAACAAAAATCGCGCATCATCAGAGGATATCCTGGGCCGGGTTTGGGACCTCGGCATCCGCACCCTCTTCGTCACCATCGACACTCCAACCCCCGGAAAGCGCGAAGCCGATGAGCGCGTCCGCACGGAGGAGTCCATTGCGATGCCCATGACGGGCACCAACGCGAGCCAGGACGCCAGGGGAAGCGGGATTACCCGGACCACGGGATCTTTCCTCGACGGGGCACTATCATGGGATGATCTCACTTGGCTACGCAAGCACTGGCAGGGCAGGCTAGTGCTCAAGGGGGTTCAGTCTGTCGAAGATGCACTGCTGGCGATGGATGCACAGGTGGATGGAATCGTTCTGAGGTAAACTATCATTTTTGCGCAACAGCATACCTCATATTCCCTGGCCGAGACACCAGCACTAATCTCAGAATGGACAGCAATCATGGTGGACGTAATTTAGATACTTCTCCCCCAGCTCTCTTGACCCTTCTAGAGCTTCTTCGGCACTGCCCTCATGTCCTACGCGATACCGAAGTCCTGGTCGACGGGGGCATACGTCGGGGAACCGATATCTTGAAGGCGATCTGTCTAGGTGCTAAGGCGGTGCTTATTGGTCGACCGGTCATGTACGCCTTGAATTACGGAGAAGAAGGAGTAGAACATCTGATTGAAAGTATCGCTTCCATCTTTGCTCGTCGTTTTTTCTTTTTTCTTTTTTAATGATCTTTCTTTGCCACTGATTCACACTCGTGAAGGTCAAAACTTCACCAAACGCGAGAACTGACCAAAAGTACAGTAAAGTCGATGAGGATGTTGTAGCGTTGCAGTGCGTCGATGTCCTCGGCCACTTCAGTGCCCAGTTCCTTCAGTCGCTCACGCACATTCGTGTAATACGTGTCTGGGACGGAGAGAAAGTCGACACCACGCCTCTTCAGACTTTCAACTGCTTCGATGATGTTGTTGGTGCGGAACGCAATGTGCTGGCAGCCGGCACCGTTGTAATAGTCGCAGAATCTGTGTCGTTAGCTGCGGGTCTCCAAAAAAAAGAAAAAGAAAAAGCAAATGCTGAAACGAGGGGTATCTGGAAGGTACTGACTCCTCAATTTGGGACTTTTTCTTCCCCGTCGCTGGCTCACTCATTGGCATTTTGATCACCTCGTTTGGTGAGGCAACCACGACAGAGTTCATCGCCGAGAAATCAGAGCACATCTCCTTGTCATCAACAGTCCAGTACCGGTGGAAATTCAGCGCCTTCTCATAGTATTGCACTATGCTCTCCAGCCAATTCCATGGCTGGTTTCCGACGCAGTGGTCGATCTCAATGACATCCACCTTGGGCAGGTGCTGCTGCAGAGGGTTGGGTTGATTGACTGTCTTGAACCCCGGCAGAAAAGATCCATCATAGGTAGAGCGGTTGATCAACGTATGAATTGTGTCACCAAAGGTCGAAATAGCAGCAACGACCACTTGGCCGTCCTCATTCTTGAGCACCTCCGGCTCACGGATGGACTGAGCACCATTTTCAACCGCGTGAGCCCACACGCCCTGCACATCATCCACCTGGAAAGCAATGTCCTTGACACCATCACCGTGCTTGGTCAGGTGAGCATGCACTTCCTCACAGAATGCGCGCTCAGCCTCACTAGCTCGTATATCCCAAGAGCTATCAGGAGAGGCGAGTGGCGCAGTGAAAACGAACCTGGCCGCCCCGTTACCGATGACATAGGCTGTTGTAGTGTAGGAGCCAGTTTCTGGTCCCCAGTACGCCAGGACCGAGAAGCCGTAGTGATTGACAAAGTATGACACTGTCTGGCGCGCATTGCCAACGTACCACCCGATATAGTCAAATCCGAGGTAGTTGGGATTGATGCCGTGGATGACAGCGCGGTTGGGGGCAATTCCAGCATCACCCATCGTGATAGAATAGGTCTTGTTTGTAATTCCAAAAAAGAGAAAAGGGAAGGACGAAAGACTAAGTCGGCTGTGCACAACTTGCAACTCAAGAGCGTGATTGAGTCTGAACTTCTGTGATACTCCCTCCAGGGAATTGCAACCCCCAGCGTCCTATATAAGCCTTCAAGTCATCTTGACCATCGGGCATTTTTAGCAGGATGGTCGTAGGCGCCTAGGCAAGATGACCTCTCGGCTGCAAAAAACGGTGAAGGAGATTTCCCGAGAAATCCACCGATCTAGCAAACAGATGGCGTATCCTCCGCATTGTGCCTAACGCGGACTTGTGAAAACGAGACCAGATGTTGAACTGATCAATGCATCCAGAAGTACGACGGTGATACTATTCGGGCGAAGCAAGCTGCGGGACAAAGCAGTATCACGTCTGACCGTTGCCCAGGCTTAGAGCATCCCATAAGGCGTCCCATGGGTGTGCTTGAATCTACCCGTACGAGTTTTGAATTTCCTCATCGATCTTTGCGCATCGTATGCCACGACGAGAAGATGAACCCAGTATGAGTTGCAGCGGAGACATGGCAACAACCCTGGAAAAGAGCTGGCCTACCTGGCAGCTTGCGCGGCATGAATAATGTCGCGGATTGCCAAGCTAGCTTGGGATTCGTGGAGCAAAAGCTCCTCTTCGGTCATTGCATGTGCTTCCTGTAGGTATATGGACCCTTGAACATGTTGATTATGCTCTGCGACACCATAGCTCACACACGGTATACCCAGGCCGACGGGGTATCCGTGTGCTTATTCCACTTGACGCTGTGAAAAGTCGGCATGCATTCGAAGACCCACTGCTGGTGTTCGAGTTGAGCTGAAATCATTTCGGTTTTACGAGGGCTTTCGGATATATGGAGACGGCTCATCGAGGCGTTAGCTCGTCACATGGAGCATGCACTCTGGATGCTGTATACCTTGCGGGCTTGAACCGGATTTGTTCTCTTACTCACATGAATTGACCGCGGGTTCTACTCATCGATCCAATTGTGATGGATGGGAAGTTACAGTATTGGCAACATCATACACAGACATGAAGAGGGCGATCAAATGAAGCCATAAGTTGCCTCAATAGAATTTTGCTTGTCCACTCATCCACTGCCAACACCGAATCGGGCCATCCATGATTTGTGGTATACGATAGATAGGGTTAGATCTTCAGCGCCCACCAGATAAATGTCCAACGCGACTACCACGCAGATCGAAATTACACCGGCTTGGCAACAGTAAGCAGCAAGCGAGAATGCGCCAAGAAATCGCGAAACCTGCGTTAAACAGATCATTTGCTACGGATGTGGCGTCAAAAGATTAATCAATCGCCAGGTACTTACTGTACTTGCCTCCATGGATAGTTGGATTGTTGGATACCATACTGCTATAAAGTATAAAATACAGTATAGCGAGAGGCTGACAGTATTTTTCATTACAGATGTGTCGAACTGTCGATAGAATCGACTGGATACTCCATTCCGACTATCCAGTGCACCATGTAATTGTGTAATTTCATAATACTCAAGCGAATCGGTTAACAGACCCGAACCAGTTAGTGCGGTGCCCGTTCCTCTGATCCCCGATCTTCTCAACCCCCGTTGCTCGTTTCGTCACGGAAGCATCCTTTCCCATAATCCGATAATTAGCAGAAAGGTCCTGACCCGAAGTCTTCTTCCTCTATCTCACCTTGGCATGAGTTCCGCTGCAATTCCAGACAGTTTGAGGGCTTTAACAAGCGCCATGATTGGCTCCGAAATCATTACCAACCCCCCCCCCCCCCCCCTCTGACATCGGATCAAATGCCTATCTGTGAAGGTACAGAGTGGCTCTACACGGTCTGTATTATGCAGAAAGATACAGGATAGCCATTTACCCTATTGAAACTTCATTTGGAGACTCGTGCTCGCTGATCACGCAATATCTCAGGCGGCTGGACCATGTTCTCACCTCAGATTGTAGAATCCCGGATGTTATTGGTATTGTCGCCCCAGACGTTACATCAATCAAATGCCTTTTTATGAAATCTCTTGTTTACTTTCTGTTTTTTACTCATGCGGCATGAGAACATTTTCATCCATCGTCGTGACGCATGACAATTACTCCTACTGAGATGTCATCATATGAGAGGAAGAAGTTGGAATCAATGTATGAGCGCCGAGCGATGATCAACGCAAAACATGAAGCGTGGGTGGTCAAAGTGACCTTCCGTCTCTGGCGGCAGACGAAGATCTACCCACTGGCAGACTCTCATCTGAGTGCTCGACTGGTTTCAACAAATGTCAATCAATCTTCTCTTTTGCCATCTTCTGCCAAAGGCACCTTGCGTGAGAGTCATCATGGGGTACTGGAACGGATCAGCATCAGCAATAGGCCTCGCGCAATACAAGGTTCCCCTTGCCAATTGGAAGCGTTAGGAGGAACATGCGCCTCTCTCGGGAAACTTGTCCTTTCTCGTCCCCCGCATGGTGGATATAGCAGTAGCTCATGAAATTGATGTATGGAAAAGTTAGTCAACACCTGTAGCGACCTCATTTTAGCCCCATGAAAGTGTTACAACTCACCAGCGTATCTGAGCAGTTCCTAAGGCCGGTGTCAGATGGCGGCCCGTCTGGCATGGATTTCCGGCCTTACTGTCTGAAATTGATATCCGAGGTCTGCTTTCGTTGTAAAATCTTACAGTGTCTTCACTTGAATAATTGATTGTATGATGATTTGCAATACAAAACATCATGGCTCCAGATTTCTGCAATTTCAGATCCTGTCGTCACAGTGAAGGCTCTTTGCAGTCAACTAGGATTGACGGCTACCTACCAACCACCGAACTCCAGAAATTCTCGACATATGAGATATGAGACATGATGTTCTCATAACCTCCGTAGGCTGTTTTTGATGGCTTATAGTAGAAAGGATTGGTCCAAAATCATGTAGAACTTCCGTCTCAGGTAAGACTGCTTCTCAAGAACCGATGTAGGCTCAGGCTACTGAACCAAATGTAGTCCAAGCGCTTAAATGGCTTTGATACGGGGGCTTGCTCATCCAAGAGATGAGCATGGACAAGACTCAGATAAGTGGCAAATGCAATCTTGCATGTACATATGCCGATCACGCTACTGTCCATTCCCGTGTCACCTCATTACATCCTGCTCACCATCTCTCTTACCGCCAAAGTCACGACAGGAACTTTTTCATAGCCGCGACTCCGACATCCCATTCGCATGTCCCAGCTTGAAAGTGGACCGCAGTACAGCCCCAAGACGCTGGATAGCTTCTTGCATATCATTCATAGAAGCGGCTGCGTAAGTCATACGGAAGAATACTCCATCCATGCCGCTACTTCCCTCATCTGGCAAGAACCAGCTGCCGGGAACGACTAGAGCGCCATTTTCGATAGTCGCATCAAAGATTTCCTTCTCAATTTGCAGTTTCGTTTTGGTCCCAGCTTCGGGATGTTGGGCCCAATCGAGAGATATCCAATTCTGTTGAATACTTAGCATGGTTGTTCGAAAAACAGGCGCCCGGAAGAGAGTGAAGCTTGTAAGATCCCCGTGTCTTCATAGGTACAAGCAAGGATTGTGGTTGAGTAGAAGATGAGATACTTACGAAAAATCCTGCAGTTGGTGGTACCCAGCTCACAATCTCTCGGGGTAGAAAAGCATCACAAGCCTCGAGGAGAGTGTCTCGCCGCTTTGCGTACTCGCCTCGGAGATGGACCAACCATCTCACAAATCCCAAGTGGCCCCAACTATCATTTAGCAACTTGAACACGGCAATTTGTGAAAACCCACTGGGATTTTGCACAGATACCTCATGCGCACGAATCATCCGCTCAATGACCTGTTTAGACGCCGTCACCCAGCCCATGCGGGCTCCTGGCGCAACAATTTTTGAGAAAGAGTCCATACGCAACACGCGCCCATCTGTGTCAAGTCGCAGGTAGCTGGGAACCAGGGTGATGACATACTCCTCCACCGAGGTGATGGGAGCAGTTGTAGCTGGAAGATTCCCACCAGGTCGAAACTCGGGCAGCTGGATGAAGTAATAGGGGTCATCTTCAACAATGAAAAGTTCGTGCTTCTGGGCAACGCGGTAAATTTCCTGGCGACGAGCTAGGGGCTGCGTGATACCGGTGGGGTTTTGACCTGTTGGAATGGTGTACAGCAGACGGGGCTTCTCACCCCCACGAGCGGATTCGTCCCAATTTGAAAGAACATGGTCAAGGTCTTCAGGGAGAAGCCCATCTTTGTCCATGCGTACTTGAGCAAACTTGAACCCCAGGGGAAGGCCAGTCTCAAAAACCGTCGTGTAGGTATGTTTCTCGACGAGCAAGTACTCGCCCTTGTTGCCAAGCATGCGCAGGACGATCTCAAAGGCCGATGTATTGCCAGCGCTGAGAATTGTTTGCCAGTCGCGGTAGGGAGGGCTGTGGATGAGCTGAACCAGTCAGCTCTGTCTGAAGAGAAGGGATCACTCTCAGGCATACTTGGATATGTTCCGTCAAAAACTCCACCAGCTGTTTTGAACCTGTTCCTAAGCCATATTGCAGTGCGATTGCAAGGTCGTATTTGCTGGCCCCGGTGATGCTGTCATGTTTGCCAGCCTGGATGGACGTCGTTGTGCTGGGGGTTTTCCTTCCGACTGTCTCGAATGCGTCTGTCGAGCCAACCTTGAAATCGATCCCGTAGAAAGGTATGTACTCGGTGGAAGGTGCACCCGGGCCGAGAGACCTTATCCCTAAACCACAGTATTAGATTGCTGCTTGCCGAGAATCATGAATGTTGGAATACGAACCTGGCTGGGCTCAGATCCCGTGCATCGCTTGCATGACGGAGGACTGCAGGAAATTTTAGAGCTGCACCACCCACAATTGCTGGTGACGGTAATACCTTCCTAGATGCGCTCTCCTCACTGAACAGATCTGTTGGTCATTAGATTCGTCCAGCTTCATCCGATCAATAGGGTTCTTACCGGGACCAGTCGCGCGCATCGTTGAGCGCCAAGATTTCGTTCTTTGAATTGCTCTGATACCCCATTATGGCGTGCGTGTCAAAATACAGTCGACGTACTCAAATAGCTTGCTAAGTTATGAAGCGGCAGAAGCAGTCGTCCGGTGATTGTAGGGTCAGAGGAGGGGCCACGGCACTGAAGAGAGATGCTGAAGAGTAGAAGTCTGCAAACCAAGCAGCCATGAGTCCAGCAAAGCCCTAGCTGTTCCGAGTAAGATCTCACATGCATAGATGACAATTGAAACCGACCCGGGCACTGTAAAAAGCGATGTGGGCCGGACACGCAACCTTCTCAGCAGTCGTGAGATTGATCAAAGTGAAATCAGCCTCAATTGCGAGTCAATCCCAATAAGCCATGGAGAGTGTGATTCTTGCACCATGAACTTCCAGTGAAACGCAGCCAACTTCCTTGGCGGTCATATTAGGTGTACGGGTGGTCGTGGGTAAATAGATTGGCGTATGCACTTTGCTGCAGTGTAACCAGTCATGCTAGTGACACGGTCAAAGCGGCCTCGACGATCAATGAAGAGCCCCACTGAACAGTGGTCCGTATTCGAGGTACTTTGCAGGATAGAACGCGCAGATGTCAGATATAGGACTCGACATCGTGTCACTCTATGTATTACTGCAGCATCCTTAATTGAGTTGTTGACAGTCATACTGTAGTTATGCCTGGTTTTTTTGGTTGTTCTTTGCGTTTCTGAATTACACACCCTGATCATGACATAGATCTCCGGATACGACTTGACGGACATTATGCGGATTGCGGAGCCCCTGTACGAGTGGCGTTGTAACTGTTGTCGGTTTTTTTTATATTGTACAATGTACGCTACCTCTTACCCTGTATGTGATCAAACGCGATAACTTGTACTAAAGCAGACTAGCAGTGTACCGCAGTAACCGTACAGCCGAAGTGGAGGGCACTGGACGCTACGAGGCTCTGCTACAGTCTTGAGTCACTAGTGATTCAGCATCAGGTCTTCGGGTACCACACATCATCTTCATCTTTAAATTTGACCCGATCACAAAGTCACACCCATGCGGCCCCGTCAAGTTTCAACACTCCACGAAAGCAACCCCTTTGTGTAGGCCGCCAGTCTACTTCTAATACTTTCAAATAACGACCGAATCTCGAATCAGCCCCGTCAACCCGAAGGAGGAAAAGACGATAAAAACAAAATTCGACAGCTGGCGGATTTGAACCGCCGCCTCCGAAGAGACTTGATTTCTAGTCAAGCGCCTTAGACCACTCGGCCAAACTGTCTTAATAATAAGAGCCCCAATTTTGAGATTATGACTCGCAGCTTTCTGAAGTGATTCCCGTCTTACGCAATACAGGTTGTATTCTGTATTCTGGACGAACGCAAGATATATGAAGAGATATATGGTGTTAAGTTGTTAATTGTGTATATATTGTCGTGATTGTACAATATACATAACTTAAGATAAGCCCTATATTATGACTAGGTTATGTAGCAAAGTGCTGAGGACTTGAAGATTCTACCACAATTTCACTTCTAGTTGTAGGTAATAATAGGTATTGTATGATGTATAATATAGTGAAGGACCGAATGTACAATTGTACATACTGACTACATACATAAGCCTTACAATACGTCTATGAAATAGAAAAATACGTTTTACAGTATGTTTCACTCGTACTGGAATCCGTCACATGATCATAGGCGTAAACTGTATGATTCTATAGAAGAGAAACCTTGACTAGTAACTGATAGGTAAGTTACATTCGACCCTACTCTCTAGGTAGTCATACTAGTGACTTCACAGTCCTACAGTCCTACAGTCCTACAGTCCTACAGTCCTACAGTCCTACAGTCCTACAGTCCTACAGTCCTACAGTCCTACAGTCCTACAGTCCTACAGTCCTACAGTCCTACAGTCCTACAGTCCTACAGTCCTACAGTCCTACAGTCCTACAGTCCTACAGTCCTACAGTCCTACAGTTTGACGACACTCCTGCACTCTACAGTCTCTGAGTCTACAGTCTACACTTGCAGTGATACTGATCCACTTTATGTAGTACACGCTTTGCGCCGAAATATACGCCAAGGGGGCGGGCGGATGTTAAACTTGCGGGCCGATCGCTAGAACTGTGAAAGGTCAAAATATGCATGCAGCGCCTGAGCACATAGCCGTCCTTGACCTGCGGCGAAATTCTTCACATGAAGGCAAATACGACCGGAGCTCTGCCCACTGTGTTCAGGGCCCCCAGGCCCTGGCTATTGTTGTCGCATCATCAAATCGTGTGATTCGCCAACAGGAGCTGATCTCTGTAACCCATATATGCAGCAGTAGGGTTATTCTGCACCGTACCGATCTACGCCCGAAACCCCGGACATCGCCGCTTGATCATCGCGCAATCGGCCAAAGCGGCTACAAACTCTGCCAAGTTCCTGAGTCGACCGCCGTCTTACCTGCAGAAATAATTTGACCCGACGTGCATTAGGCAGGTCAACATTCATAGTGTTGACCCACGGGCGCCTCATACCTGTCTATTAGGTTACCAGTGGGCGGGCCGAGTCCATTGAGCGAGACTAGTCAGCTCCATGACAGTTGCAACCTCCAACACATCAATGAAGCAGGCCCTCCACCTGCACTCCTCAGATTCCGAATCGAGCAATCTCCCGGAGTCTCCAACCGTACTTTTTGTGTGCAGTCATAGCACGGTTCGAGGTCTGAATTCCCTACGTACCTTCGCTCATCATCAATACCCGATCCCATGCCCGATCCCTGCCAGTACAGGTCATCGTTGGCTTGGCTATCGTTCGTGACGGTTAATGTACAAATTACAAAGTGCAATTTTGCAATTGAAATTGCTTTCATCTAAATCTGGAGAAACTGAGGCCTTCATTGTCACCTATAGGTTTGTTTTAAGTGTCTTCGTAGGTTCTACAGCCTTGATTAACCACCGTCTCCCATCCATCTCGGTAACTGGAACTGCCTAAAAATCCAGCCTTTGGCCCAGGTCATCATCGCAGTTGCTTTGCACTTCCAGAATCTCCCCGCAGTCTGTCTTTTCTCCTTGAACAATTCACCAAGCCCTCACCCGCCGATTCGCGAGATCCTCAAAGATGGTCGAGGAATATGATGTGGTCGTAGTCGGTGCTGGCCCTGTGGGTCTCATGTTTTCTGCCTGCCTGGCTCGACTTGGGTCATATAAGATCAAACACATTGACAACCGTACCGAGCCAACGAGCATTGGACGCGCAGATGGCATTCAAGCCCGTACCTTGGACGTGCTGAGCAGCATGGGTCTGAAGAGACCCATCTGGGCGTACAATCCGGGCCTGATTTACGAGGTTGCTTTCTGGGGAGCGACTGCTGATCGAAATGGCATTCAGCGCACAGGGACCAGCAAGAGTTATCCTGATCATATTGACACTCGCTATCCATTCACTACTATTCTGCATCAAGGTCGCATCGAGAGCATATTCCTCGACGATCTACGCGCGCGAGATGTGGAAGTACAACGGCCGTGGACGATTCGCGCCGCGAACTACCGCGGTCCTGGGTTTGAGCACCCCCTCGATGTGGAGTTGGTCAGCACTGATGGCTCGGCCACGGAGACCGTCAGGGCCAAATATCTATTTGGTGCAGACGGAGCGCGGAGCACTGTGCGAGCGCTACTAAACATTCCCATGGTCTATAAGGATCCGACAGTGCACGTGTGGAGTGTGATTGATGGTGTGGTGAGATCGGATTTCCCAGACATGCAGGTACGGCTTTCTCTTCTTCAAAGCCCATTTCCGCGAATTTCGACCATTCTCGTGTATTCATCAAGTCTAATGGTCGTAGTTGAAATGTAACATACGATCTCCCCGCGGTTCTTGCATGATCATTCCGCAAGGTAACAATCGCGTGCGCATTTACGTCCAGATTTCACCTGAAGAAGGGCAGGATCTATCTGTCGAGGCTTCACAGACGAAGATCCAGCTCATGGCCAACGAAATTCTCAGTCCGTATCGCGTTGAATGGGAGTCTGTCGACTGGCACTCGGCCTACCGTATTGGTCAGGGCATATCGCAGCGTTACTCTCTGAACAATCGAGTCTTTATTGGTGGCGATGCCTGTCACACTCATAGTGTGAGTTGCCTCTGGAACACTACAAGCTCTCATCTCTCATGAATCCCCAAAGGCTAATGACAAGCGAGAATAGCCCAAAGCTGGCCAGGGTATGAACTACGGCATTCTGGACTCCCACAACCTGGCCTGGAAGCTTCACCTCGTAGAGTCAGGCCTCATGCGCCTCGAGTTACTTCAGACATACGAGGAGGAACGCCGCGCAGTAGCCTCACGTTTGATCGAGTTTGACGCGGCATATGCAAGTCTTTTCAGCTCGCACAATCCCTCTCAGCAGACCAACGATGAGTTCATTCGTATCTTCAAGAAGAACTCTCTGTTGACCAGCGGGTACGGGGTGGAATACCCGCCCAAAATTCTCATCCGCGCCGGCAACGCCGTTAACTCCTCTCGATCTTCGCCAAGCGCGCTTCGGCCTGGGCGTAGCTTTCCCCTGCTCAATGTTACCCGGGTCATCGACGCGTGTGAGATCCCGCTGGAGCGCGAGGTTCCCTTCAACGGCAGCTTCCACGTGTACGTCTTTGCGGGTGAACGGAACCAACACCAGCAGCGCGCGCTCGAGGCTCTGGCATCTCATCTCTCGCGCCATGACTCTATTCTCTCTCAGGTGTCAGACATTGCGAGCGACCCGAACATGTCGTATGACAGACGACACAACCCACACTCGGCACTATTCACATTCTCGATTGTGTTCAATGCAAGTCGCGAGTCCGTTGAAATTGCGTCGTTGCCTCGCTTCTTCCAAAACTATCGCTATCATATCTACTCGGATGATGCACGAAGCCGCAAGTCGCACGTTGGGCAGCTGGGTGCAGCGCATGCTAAGTTGGGACTGAACCCGCAGGAAGGGGGGTTGTTGTTGTGCGTCCTGATGGTTATGTCGGGTGTACGGTAAAGCTGATGGATGGTAGAGTGGCGGCAGAGGAGTTGGAGAAGTACTTTTCTGGTATTGTGCCCTCTGGGCAGTCTAATGAGACTGTTTTCAGCATGTTATAGACCGTGTGAAAAAAAAAGAGGGGAGATTTGGTCCTCGCAAAGGACGATATCGCGCTTCGGATGAAATTGAGGAAAGTTTGGAGCAGGAAGTTGAACGCATTGACGCAAGACTTCAAGCTCATCACGGGTCATGATACTTTCCGCGCGAGAAATGTCAAACGAAGTAGGAACAAAGCCGCGGCTAGTATCAGTGCCACTTCGGAAACTCGAAATTTCAAATTTGCACAAGAGCGAAGAAATGCCCTTCCGCTGATAAATGAGATTTTCCGTCCCTGTGCATGTTGCTACCAAGTCATAGCAAGCCTCACCTCTCTAGGTATAATTTGGGCCCCTTTGAAAAGTCTGGACCTACCTTATCCACTAGTGAAGTGAGAAGGCAGCTAGATTTGAACTCGCGAGGATCAATTCAGGGAAATCAATTGATATTTCACAGACTCAAATTATAGTCAATCCTTCCGTTTCTATCAAATTGACTGAATAAGACTTGATAGCATGGATATTTTCATTTGCATTGAGTGGGCCTGTGCCCATCTCATTATCAAGAAAAATTTCGTTATTAGCATAACATGGTCCCGTCCGCACACAACAGACACGTCGATCAAGCTCGGATGAAGCTGGGCTACACTAGGAGTATAGCTGCAACCAGACTCAATCCAGCCCACTCGCCAGACCAGGCCAACTTTCCACCCGAGTTGAAAGTGGGTGAAGCGGTTTGGGAAGGGCCTGCGCCAGAGCCAGAGCCTGACGACGACGACGACGACGACGAAGATGACGACGAAGACGACGAAGACGATGACGGTGGCGGCGACGATGATGACGACCCAGGCATAGTTGAGCTTGAGCCGGTACTCACGGGTGATGATCCCACAGACACGGTTGTGGACGGGCTATTCGTCGAAGAGGACCAGCCAGAACGCGACGTGGTAGACATCTCAGTCGCAGATAGTGTTTCGGTCACCGTGACAGACAATCCACTATGAGACCCTGTTCCTGAGATGGTCACTCCGATGGTTTGCATTTGCGTTTGCGTCGTTGGAACTAAGCCTCCCGTGACGGGAGGGACGGCGTACGGCGGATCGAATAATCCAAATTGGCCACATGCATTACAAGGCGATGCCCATGATTTGACCGGCTCCGGAGCAAGAAGGATAGGGTCACATCTGCCGTTGGGGCTGGCGGTGGTGGAGGCCGAGGGTGGCTGCGTTTGTGGACAGTTGGTACCCAAGTCGTTTAGGGTGAGCTGTCGGGTTGTCGAGTTCTTGGTGTCAACGGTCGAAACTTGACCAAGGTCCAATGGGAAAATCAAGCTGGTGCCGGAGGGGCCAGCTCTACCTGCGGTGTTGTAGCCGTACATGGTGTCGACTATCATGTATACAGATGGTGAGGTGCTGTTTGGTTGAGAGAAGATTGTTAGCTCCGGTTGGTTCTCTCATTTCATCTCTGTCCCCAAAAAAGGTGAATGGGTGAATTGTATCTTACAAGGTGTAGTTCAGATGCGTATTCACAAACGTCGAGGGGTAATTGTACTCCGGACGATCTGTGGGCCAGTAGAAGAGATTCACGGTGCCAGCGGATCTTTGATAATATGTCAGTGAGATATTCGTTGCGATTGGACCTATAGAGATCTTGTTCGCGGTCCCTCTCAGGGCATTCATTACTCACATGCTGCAGGTCGTGGGACATGGATTTGGAGCCACCGTGATAGTAGTCGGTACCGTTGTGGTTGTGGTGTCGGTGACCGTATCCGTGATGGTGTCGGTCTTGGTATCAGTGATAGTGTCGATGATGGTGTCGGTGACCGTGTTGGTGAGAACAACAGTATCTGTCTCGGTGTCGGTGAGAGTTGTCGTCAAGACCCGGGTTGTTATCTTCCAGTCCGTCGAGATTATCGACAGGATGATGGTCGTAGTCGCAGTCTCATTAAAGCAAACACTTGTGACGGTAGAGGAATCATTTGTTGAGACCGACGGCAATTGAATGGTGGCCGTACTTTCAATGGTAGTATCGCGTTCATGCAATGGTCGGGAATCATCTCGAACGACATCTGGTTTCCTCTCGTCAGCACACAATCCTCGCCGAGATACTTCACAAACTTGAGAGTCTCGTGTCAGAAAACATACTACTACTCTGAACAGAGATATCAACGAAGCTCAGTAAAAGGCCCAGGCGCAACCAGAACGATATCGAAAGCATCTTTACAATCAACTGCACTCGGGATTTTGCCGAGAAAAGACGCTGAACACAAGAGGTTCTTCTCAGAAAAAGTCGTTGGCAGGGTACGAGTGTTGATCGTAGCTATTAGTATGCAATGATTTCGCAATAGAGCAAATATCCTGCTTTGACTTTTGCTTCGTACAAACAACAACACAACGCACGGCAATGACGACGTCCAGTGCTCAAAGCTCCCACCATCGCTTGTCCCGTCTAGGCTCCGAGCCCAGTGTTCTCGGGGACATTCTCAATGCAGAGAAGAGCTGCACTTGAAACCCTGCGCTCAGACAGGCCGCGGTCGAAAAATGTCTGATCATTTACTTTTCCATCCCAACTCCATGTTCGCTTGGACGAAGTGGTGGTTCCTGATTCGAAGGCTCCACACGCATGGCAACGATCCAGCCGGTTTTCGATGTTCGGTCCGTGCGAAGCTTCGACATGACAGGGTTTCGCGTGGTTCCTGGCACGTTAGAGTTACGTCGACCATTTTGACGATCATTCGTGGGTCGCTTGATTTCAGGTCGGCAACGAGATGCCATTTTGAGGCCTGGCGAGGTGGCTTCGGTACCTGTGCGGTGGTATATGGGGGGCTAGAGAGTTGACATTGTTGTCGTCATGCGGGCCAGCTGCACGAGCCGGATTTTATTTCGTTGCCGAGAATGGGCCTGATGGAAAGCGACGTTGGGTGATGGAGTTCGACAGTAGCGCACCAAGTCTGATTAACGCATCGAGCCATTATCGCTATCGATTTTCTGTGATGCGAAAATGCTCTCACGATGGGTCGTGAGTCTTTGGTGGATGTTGCGGGTTGTGCGAACTGCCTCAGCGTCGCCATCTCCAGCGGCTCTCGTGATACCGCCCAGCGAATATTTGTAAATCGTCATTCCTCGCTTCTCTCCCAACATTGTCCGTGTACTGATGTGATGCTTTCCTGCAACAAGCGACGGTAATGACGGACCCTGGAGTAGCTTCTTCATCCGCGTTGGAACTCCGGAACAAACAGTCCGCGTCCTCATCTCGACTGCCTCCCCCGAGTCTATCGTAGTTCTTTCAGAGTATGGCTGTTCGCGATCGGTCTTTGACACAGTACCCGCAGACTGCGCAGTCTCACGAGGTACACTTTTCTCAGTCAACCAGTCTACCAGCTGGATTGACCAGGGTCTGTTCGGCATCAATCAGCAAGGAGTTGGGCTCGAAGCGAATCTAGGGTATGATGTACGCGCCGACTTTGGCTTGGAGACCCTCGGCACCGGACTCAACGGGTTGAAGTTGAAGAATCAGACTGTGGCAGGCATCGCAGCACCGGAGCCTTTCTATCTGTAAGGCAAGATGAAAATGCTAAGAGTGTTCAGATTACTTGCCAAGATTGTGGGTTACTAAGATGGTTTGATGCAGCGGGATCTTTGGTCTGAATCCACAACCGGTCAACTTCACCTCATTGGGAAACCATTCTTCGCCATCTTTCTTGACGTCGCTGAAGGACGGGGGGTTCATCCCCAGTCTCAGTTGGAGTTATACCGCTGGAGCCAAGTATCGTATGTCGTGCCTTGTGAGAAAGAAGACCACCCTCTGCTTTACTGACAATATCTCCCCTTTTCTCCATCTCTCGTGGGAAAATAGGTCTCAAACAAGTCTATGGCCAGCTCATCTTCTCCGGATATGACACCTCTCGATTCACTCAAAATGCAGTCTCATTCACAATGGCTGGAGACATCACGCGGGACTTGGTTGTCTATCTCCAGTCAATCAGTTACAGTGGATCGTCGTCCTCCAGCTTGCTCTCCGATCCAATTCTGATCTTCATCGATTCGACTGATCCCAATCTGTGGCTGCCATCGAAAGTATGCAAGGAGTTTGAAAATGCATTTGGACTCACAATTGACCACGCGAGTGGCCTCTATTTGGTGAACGACAGCCATCACACTCAATTACTGGCCTCCAATGCACAGGTATCGTTTCGCCTGTCAGATGTTTCTTCTGGGGGAGATACTGTGACAATCACATTTCCCTACGAGGCGTTTGCTCTGCAGGCAAAGCCACCACTTGTCAACACAAGTAGCTATTACTTTCCACTCAGGCGAGCCGCCAATGCATCCCAGTATACGTTGGGCCGCACATTCTTACAAGAAGCGTGAGATTACCCCAGACTATAGCTTCGTGAATTTGCCCTGCCAAGACTCACATAATTCTCCAGATACCTATCAGCCGACTACGAACGAGGCATCTTCAACGTTTCGGCATGTTCATGGAGTGACAACGCTCAACAAACAATAATCACAGTCCCGCCCAAAGGATCGACTCCCAATTCCACTTCTCCATCTTGCGGGGGAAGCGCATGCCCACAGAGCACAAACACCTCAAGCAATGGTGGTTCGTCGCTCAGTCAAGGGGTAATCGCTGGTATTGCGATTAGCGCTCTTGTGGGGGTGGGCATCATAGCCGCAATGCTTCTATTCTTGATCCGTCGCCAACGCCAAAGAAGCGCGAGCGAGAAGAATTCACCCATATCGCATCGGTCGAGATTCTCCGGGTCTGTGTCAGACCCACCGAGTGCACCGAGCACACAGGCTATAGCGCGGCCGCCCTTCTGGTCGCCTGATGCTATCTTTGGCAATATCGGGAGCAGCAACGAGGTGCCTAGTAGTGATAATTCTGCGCCACCTCAGCAGAGCGTGAATAGCCGGGGTATGGAACTGGATGGGCAAGATACCCAGATCGAGCCGGTTTACTATGAACTAGCAGGCGATGAGAATGATGTGGGAAAAGGTGAAACGCGAGAACATGGCCGAACTATTACGAGTCCATCCGTGACCTGATGGGAGACGATTGAATCTAGGCGGACGAGTACCTACGCAACAAAGTGAAATCTTCGAATTGATTTTGGAAGCGGGAAATAAATATATATATGGACTGAATGAGCTTGGAACAGGCCTGATCTACCCGAGTCTAAGAAGCGTACTCCTTGTTGAATGCACGACCAATCACCATACGGCGAATCTCACTAGTACCAGCTCCAATCTCGTAGAGCTTCGCATCCCGAAGCAATCGGCCTGCGGCAATCTCGTTGATGTATCCATTTCCACCCATCAATTGAATGGCATCCAAAGAGCACTCCGTCGCACGCTCAGCAGCATACAGAATTGCGCCAGCGCAGTCCTGAGTCCGAATGGTCATGGGGTTGGGAGAAGCTGCGCCGTTGTCGATCTCTCGGGCAGTAGCATATGTGTATGCCCGCGAAGCAGCGAGCTTGGTGTACATGTCTGCCAACTTGCCTTGGATCAACTGGTTGTGTGCAATGGGGGTACCGAACTGCTTGCGCATGTGTGTGTAGGGGAGCGCCAAGTCAAGACAGGCTTGCATGATACTGCGAACGAGTGTCAGAGCGGGACTAATTCGAGCTTCTTGGAAGATGAGAGCTTACCCCAAAGGTCCGGCACTCAAAACGAGTCGCTCGAGGTCCAAGCCCTCCATGAGGACCCGAACGCCCTTGTTCACCTCTCCAAGCAGATTCTCACGGGGAACGAACACGTCTTCGAAGATGAGCTCTCCCGTGTTTGAGCCTCGCATACCAAGCTTGTCCAGCTTGCGAGCGCACGAGAAGCCCTTGAAAGATTTCTCGACAACAAATGCAGTGATGCCCTTAGAGCCCTTCTCAGGCTCGGTCTTCGCGTAGACGACAATGTAGTCCGCATCGGGTCCCTAGGAACAAAAATCCTTAGATATACGTCCCCAAGCTGTGCTAAGTAGGCACAGCGAATGAAAAATCCTTACGTTGGTAATCCACATTTTGGTTCCATTCAAAACCCAGCCACCATCAACCTCCTTGGCGGTGGTTTTCATGCTGACCACATCGGAGCCAGCCGAGTGTTCAGACATGGCGAGAGCGCCAACTTTTTCTCCCGAAAGAAGGCCAGGCAAGAATCGTTCCTTTTGTTCGGAAGAACCGTTCAGCGAGAGCTGATTGACACAGAGTTGAGAGTGAGCGGCGTAAGAAAGACCAATGCTGCCTGTCGGCGAAGTCAAGCGTTAGAACGAGATCTATACAGCATTCTCATCAAAGGGAACGTCAGGTGAGACTTACCGGACGCACGACTAATCTCTTCCATCACAACACAGTGTGCTTGGTAACCCATGCCGAGACCTCCGTATTCCTCGTTGGCCGTGATTCCGAGAAATCTGCACGTAAGACATTGTCAATTCGATTACGTCCAGCTCGAGTATCATAGCTGATCATTTCCACATCACCTACCCGGCTTCGCCCATTTTCTTCCACATGTCAGCCGGGAACTCATTCACCTGGTCCGTCTGCGCAGCGACCTCGGGCGTGATTTCTCGACCTAGTTTGCATCAGTAAAGTTGCATCGGTAGAACTGACAGGGCCTTGCAAACTGACGAGTAAACTCTTGCACACGCTCCCGCAGCTCGAGGAGATCCTCATCCGTAGGGGGCTCAAAGCCAGCAGGATGCTTGGTTGACAGAAACCGAGTGAACCTTGGAGTAATTGCGGGGAGAGCAGCACGCGGTCGGATCGACCGCGTGGATGTGCGTAGAAGAGATGGAAGCGTGATGGAGGTCATTGTGAACACACTGGTTGAAGTTATTAAGTATGGATATACACAAAAAATCTCAACAAGCCATCGAAGTGATTGAGGTGAGGGAAGGTTTTAAACAGGCACAGTATCGGCCCTGGAGATGGCGTGGAAATATAAGGCGGACCGCGGCATGCCTCGGCGTTCTTTGAGACCGCCCGCTACGACTTGTACCCCGATTGGGGCACATCTACTTGGGACAAATTTCTTGTAGACCATAACCACTCCATGGGCAATGGAGTCAAGCTTGACCGAACATACAAAACCACTATAAGAGTCTCATATGACACAACATTAGCTCTCAAAATCCAAAATCCGAAACGAAGCAATTCTCGACACAGATGTCTTCAACCCCGAGAAACACCTTACCCATCAACGTCAGGTCCTGGAGCTGCCTCGGGTAGACGCGGCAAATCGCGCATCTCCGCCTCCGCATAATCTGGGGAAACCTTGTGGATGGGCTCTGACTTTCCTTCCTCATAATTCCAACATCAATTCCCTGACACACAAAGCGCTGCATATTTCAGCACCTTATGAAATTCACAAGGCTGCCATTGATTATATATGCAGCAAAAATCCTCCCATCAACAACTTCATAACGTCCTTACATCGACGTGGTGCCTCATCTCTACTCCCCGCAATGCGTGCCTCATCCCCGCTCGTCCTTCGGAGCTTGGGTTCGCGCACTGGAACACAAGCCTGCCGCCCTTCAATCCTGCAGGTGTCAAGAGCACCTCTGAGACTTTCTTCTCGATCAGTGGCTAGCTATACCCATCCTCACCATGCTTCGGCGCTTTCGATTCTCCCCACAGCCGTGGACACATCTTCTCCCGTCTTCCGGGAAAACAGCCAGCAAATGCAGGAGCTCCTCGATCGGATGAGTAGCCTGCACGCCAAAATTGCCCAGGGAGGCCCGCAAAAGGCTCGTGATAAGCATGTCGCCCGTGGGAAAATGTTGCCTCGCGACCGAGTCTCTGCACTGATTGACCCGGGCACCTCCTTTTTGGAGCTGTCCCCTTTGGCTGGACATGAGGTATACGAGGGGGAAGACGTTCCCGCGGGTGGCATCATCACAGGAATTGGCACGGTAGAAGGTGTCAACTGTATGATCGTGGCCAATGACAGCACAGTCAAGGGTGGCACGTACTATCCGATTACCGTCAAGAAGCATTTACGGGCGCAGGCCATCGCCCAAGAAAATCGACTGCCTTGCATCTACCTGGTGGACTCTGGCGGTGCCAATCTCCCCCATCAGTCGGACGTTTTCCCTGACCGGGATCACTTTGGCCGCATCTTCTTCAATCAAGCAAGGATGAGCTCCATGGGCATTCCACAGCTGTCGGTGGTGATGGGCCCTTGTACCGCGGGTGGTGCCTACGTTCCCGCTATGAGCGATGAGACCATCATCGTCGAAAATCAGGGAACCATCTTCCTGGCCGGCCCACCTTTGGTGAAGGCTGCCACTGGCGAGGTAGTATCTGCTGAAGATTTGGGCGGCGGTCAACTGCACTCTACTATCTCTGGTGTGACCGACTATCTGGCCGTGGATGATGCGCATGCCCTGATACTGGCTCGTCGCTCAGTGGCTAATCTGAACTACCCAGTCACAAAGGTTCCTCAACAGCTTGAGGATGTAGTGATCAAGGAGCCTCTCTACGACCCGGCGGAGCTGAATGGTATTGTAGGAACCAACCTCCGCCGACAGATTCCTGCCCACGAGGTGATTGCGCGCATCGTGGACGGCAGCGAGTTTGCTGAATTCAAGCGTGACTATGGCACCACTCTCGTGACTGGATTTGCCAAAATCCATGGCCACAGGGTCGGCATTGTTGCCAACAATGGGATTCTGTTCTCCGAGTCCTCTCTCAAGGGTGCTCACTTTATCGAGTTGTGTGCGCAGCGAAGAATTCCACTGGTGTTTTTGCAAAATATCTCGGGCTTCATGGTCGGTGCGGATGCCGAGAAGGGCGGCATTGCCAAGAATGGTGCGAAATTGGTCACGGCCGTCGCCTGTGCTGATGTCCCGAAATTCACTGTCGTCTTTGGTTCCAGTGCGGGTGCTGGCAACTACGGAATGTGGTAAGTTTATTGCGCTCCCCCGTTGGCCCATGCTATTACGCTGCGAATAAAGCATGACAAACTGCTAATATACCTTGTCTGATTCTGTAGTGGACGCGCTTATTCCCCCCGTCTCATGTTCATGTGGCCCAACTCCAAGATTGGCGTCATGGGCTCTGAACAACTCTCCTCAGTCATGGAAGCCGTGGGCAAGACCGCGGACCCAGCACTGAAAGCGCGAATCGATCGCGAATCCGAGGCCATCTTTGCTTCTGCTCGTCTGTGGGACGACGGTGTGATTCCTCCGGCGCAAACACGGAAGATGCTGGGCTTGGGACTGGCGGCTGCCATGGGAGGGAAGGAAGAGCCGGATATTCAGACACGCTTTGGAGTTTTCCGGATGTAGATGCAAATTAGTAGGTCAGACGGGGATGTTGCATAGATGATTTTTGTCTACTTTGTTGTTTTTTTTCTGTTTCTTTTTCTTTTCTGGGGGGGTCAACCTATGTACGGCAGCCATCTTATTGAGCATGAATTTTCAACCTTCCGATTCAAGGTCATACAATGGAAATACATTCCACTTCGACAGGATGTAGGTGTATGCTTCAAGGAGTGCTACATGCCCAGCGCCAAGCCTCTTCTCAATGCTTCAACCCTACGACACCCTCGTCGCAATCCACCAAATCACCCTTGCCTGATCATCCATAAAACTCGCCCCCCTCATCTTCCTCATCGTCTCCCCATTCTCCAACTGCACCTCGAGCTCCCATCTCTGGCCCAACCTCCGCTCGACATCAAACCACAACCCTTTCAAACTCTCCCCATTATGCCGATACTGCTTCCACTCCTTCCTTCCCCCGATCGAATCCACCGTATACTCCCCCGCCAAAACAGACCCCATCTGCCTCCCACCCACCACGACCCCGGTCTCGTCGCGACACAGACCCAGCAATCTCTCCAGCGCACGCGCTTGGCCCTCGTAATCCCACAGATGAAGGAACGAACTTGCCCAGATCACATCCATGCGCCCCTTCATTGCAGTGACGGCACGGGACCCCGCCCACGTATCTTCATCGGCCTGGATATCGGCTGCGACGAGGGTCGCCGGGAAAGTGGCGGCGTTGTCGCGGAACAGTTCGTAGCCGATGGAGAAGAATTCGGGCTCGAGATCGAGGCCGTAGAGGTTTTCGGCGGGGACTTGCGCTCGGGTGTGGAGGAAGCGGAGTTCTTGGCCGACGCAGCATCCGGCGTCGAGGAAGGTGGTGCCCGTCGCTCGGGAGTGTAGTTTGTCGTGAATACGTTGGTAGTATGGGAAGTTGGAGAGGTGGCAGCTCAGAAAGCGCATTTGTCCGATGCACGGATAGGGGAAGATTTTGAATGCTTCGTCTCTCTGGGGAGTTAGGGAGGCGAAATGTATATCAGTGTTTTTGTCTCTGTTTTGAGCTTTCGAAGTGGGAGTTTTTAGGGTTGAGTGAGATAGAGGGTTGGAATGAAGACCAATGTGTTGTGGGAGGGATTCGTGAAGATAGGTGAGTCTTGAATCTGCAGGTACTGCCTGATGTCTGGCATGTTGGGAGTATATGTACAAGACTGCTACCGCAAGATCAAGAGGGTAATGGCAAAGATAGTACGTCCTGGTGGGAAGCAGATGTAGTAGTATAACCACGAGTCAAGACTAACCAGTTTCAGGACATGAGGAAGCACTTCGTCTGGGGCAAATCCGCTGTACTCTTCCAAGAGCGACTGCGCCTTGGGATTGATGGACTTGACATCGGTTTCGTACCACGGTGGTGGACCTTCTGATGCTCGCTCGTCCTGTGTAGTCATCCCGGCGGTTGAAGGAGTTGACAGAGTGTTGTGTCAATTCAATAGAGGTGGAAAAATGAAGCAATGAGCCCACAAGGCGTCCACTGCCAAGCAACAGAGATATGGACGAGAATGCGTAATCCGTAAAAATCTATTTCCGATAGTCCTCGTCCTACCGTGCCTTTTTATACGTGAACTTTGCGCACTGTGATCGATGCAAGAAATGTGGATCGTCGATCCAAGTCATCCACTGAAAACAAGCTTCGATTAGTCTTGGGAGACTGGAAGAACAGTGTAAGGCGGGGCAAGGCCTCCACCCGGAGTCTTATCTCCGTACTTCACCCCGGATGGAGCTCGGACATTAGGCGTCCCCGATGCGTTAGGTCGTTGTGTACAAACCGTACATGGATCCTGGGTGAAGGTCCATTCGCACAGGCTGTAAGTTGGAATGACGAGGCGGGATCAGCACCAGATACGCCTTAACATTGTACTAGAGCTGGCGGTCCAATATTGGCACTTTCATGTCATGCACCACTGGGAAATCCCTGTAAGATGACAATCTCGCTGTTGGCTGTTCGAGATCAATGGAGGTCATCGATATTCACCGTGACAGCAGGTAAGCTCAGGTCAACGTGCCGAGAGACCTCATCTGTGCCGTAGTGCCGGTCTAGTAGTGTCATTCATTATGAGAACTCCTACCTAATCCACTGCCACCCAAATGAGCCCATTTCAACAGGCGACGGATCACTAAGTTATCGTTGATAACTTGATAGTATCATAGGGTAACCCAGTAAGCCCGTGCTTCCTCGGCCTAGCTCCGTTCGCTTCCGCAACAGGCAAAAGGTGGACACATGAGCCCAATCAACCTCTCACAGCTGCCCGTCCGGGAAGGACGCTTCGCTCGATATGGCAATACCTCATCTCTACAAGGCTGTTCTGCCATGACCGTATCAGGTCCCTGACAAAACTCGATCTAACGCCGCATAGCATTGTGTCTACACATTCAGAAATTTGCCTCGGTCCACTTTCTTCAAAGGACAACCGCAAGCTCAGAGAGAGAGAGAGAGAGAGAGAGAGAGAGAGTCTTCAGATAATAATCAGACAAAGAGATATGGACTTGTAGGATAGCCAAAAGGTCGATCTTGGAATGAAATTTTTTGCGCCCAACCTTTTTTTTTCATATCGTACGGTTCACGTCATCGGGTCTTCTTCATGCCATCAAACCCAGGCTTGAATCTCAATCGCAGAGGAAAGGGACCCTAAAGCTGATGCATCAAGACCGTCGGATTCGGAAGAAGAACAGAAGGGACGACCCTTGAGAACAAGAGCGCGTAGCTTCACTCAATGAAGCAGATATGGGAGAAGAGGAGAACAAAGAAACATCAAAAACACAGGATCGTCATATCGAGGACAAGCAAGATGAGTGGTATAATGTACGTGACGACGGCAGATGGCGACTCGTCTTTCTATCGAGAGGCGGAGTGCGGATGCAGAACATAAACGCAAAGACGGGAGATTCATGGGATACATCAAAGAGGCGTGGAAACGGAGGCAGGCATGGCTAGGCGTGAAGTCCAAGATTCGGGGATCAAAGACGAAAATAATAAAACGACAACTTTCAGATATCGGCGAGCCAGAAGAAAAGACAAAAAAAAAACAAAAATTGAAAACACAAGGAACAGAATCTGAGGGATGGAGACGTGATGGATCCACAATCAGAGGATGACACATGGAGATCGCCGGCGTCCACCGGATCCCTTGTCCCTCTTGCGGTCACCCCTGCTGGGCCCATCGCGCTTGCGGGTGGTGTCGACACCTCCGCTGGGTTCCTGCAAGTCTTTTCGGATGATCTGACGACAGAGATGGACAAAGACCTCATTGACATTGGCGCGTCGCCGAGCCGAGGTCTCGTAGTATGGAGCATTGCCCCATGTTTGGGAGAGCCCGAAGGCCCGCGCACGAGGCACTGCGCGATCTTCCTCCAGGTCGGACTTGTTACCGACAATGACAATGGGAACATGCTCATCATCCTTGATACGGATGATCTGCTCCCGGAGTTCGGAAAGCTCATTCAAGGAAGACATGCTGGTGATGGAGAAGACAAGCAGGAAGCCCTGACCTTGCTTCATGTATAATTCTCTGTGTGTGGTTAGATTTGATGATTAGCGGCGTCGCAAGCGGGTGAAGCACGGTCAGATATCGATTTACCTCATGGCGGCTGGGGACGGGAGAGAAAGAGAGTTAGCTCAAGTAGGCGGAAAGGACACCGCACATGTGACTCACTGAATTGCTCCGTTCCAGCGGTATCAAGACTGGGTCCGGGTTTTCTTCCGTTAGCTATATGAAAGACGCCACAATACGCCGAATTCACCAAGCCGACATCGTTTTGGTAGAATATTGACCTACATCTCGAGTATGCATTGTCGGCCCTAGGATTGTTGGTCAGTCAGTTATCAATGAATGCCAGTCACCCCCTCAAATTAAGAAAAAAAAAAACGGATTCAACAACTTACATCGACCTCAATTTGCTTGCGATATGAGTCCTCTATGGTTGGGTCATAGCTCTCAATCCAGACATTTTGTACAAATTGCGCTGCCAGGTTGTCAAATCAGCTCAGATTACGGAAGGCAGTGCACCAATTTTGATGAGCCAAGGGCAATGGGAGATGCGCACCCGTCAGGCAACTCTTGCCCACACCACCTGCTCCCAAAACCACAATATGATATTCCCGTCTGAGTTGCCAATGCCATTAGAAGTCGGTTCAAGCCAGCCAAACACGTCTAAGCGAGGCTCTGGTATCACTCACTGAGGCCGCATTGGGATTTTCAGTCCCGTCTTTGTTTGTGCACAGGGTTCTCTCGAATGTTCTATGCCGGTAGGAATCCGATGACGAAACAATGATCTGATGTCTGCGCGAAGGCAAGTGATGGGTCAATGGATACTGTTGGTGGGAGTCAGCCGTCGCAGCGTGATGTTGCAGGTGGAGAGCGCGGAGTTCTTCAATGCGGTCAAGTGTATCGGGTCTCAAGTCGAAGGACTGCCGACGTCGATCCGTCTGAATAATTGTCTCGCAAAAGGGTTCAAGGGTCTGTGTTTCGCTGCGTGTATTGGCGTTTCAGAGTCTCTGTGTCGAATGCCCGTTGGCCGCGCTCGTTCGTGTCGGTTGATTTGAGGGAGGTGAGGTTCTGCGGAGGTTGGCTGGATCGGTCACATCAATTGATGGTCTCGTGGTGATAGCCCGTTCGACGCACGGACGTCGCAAACACGCTTCGATAACTGAATTGAGGCACCGCACCGCCCAGCTGGGGTCCGGAGCTTAGATGGGGCTAAATCAGCTCGTCACTCCGAGCCCTGGATTGAAAGTGAGGCAGCGAGAGATCCGCTCGCAAGGCCTGAAGTCGCAATTGAAATGCAAAGTCCTTTCGTTCAGCGAAACGAAAACTTTAAAAAAAAATGGGCGCCGGGCGGGGGAAGAATAGGAGGAGAAGGAGGAGGAGGAGGAGGACAGGAGCCGAGAGTTTGGGATTGTGGTGCTCCCGGTGGCTTGGAATAGGTTGGGTTTGGATTGGGATCGGATTGGGTGGGTTTGTTGGTGCGGGACCTTTTTTTAAGGCCTGCCCCAAGTGAATCGTAACTCCTTAATTTACGGCTTGTTTGTTACGGAGTCCCGTCGGAAGCTGGTCGAGTCGGTGGTTGCCCGAGAGGTAGTTTTGAAGACTTAGATGGGTTGAATGGAATGGCGTGAGCAGAACAGGAACCATAGGAGAATTAGGAGCAGATGGGTGTGAAATGGAAGCAAGATGGTGGTTAGAAAGAAGAAAAAAAAAAGCAAAACAGCACGTGTCAAGCTGACAAGTCAAAGTCACAGGAAGAATCATGTGAAATGGACGGACTGTGTCATACCACCTCTCTGCCCCTGTTCCTGTTTCCATTACCGTTGACTTCGAATTCGAATATTCTTCCAGTTGCCAAAGCGCAGTCTGTGTGTCGACCATCAAGGTATCCAATGCAGAATCGATACGTTGGGATCGACTTGTGCCGTAGACTGCTGCGCTCCAAGTCTAGAGCGAGATGTCTCCAAGATGTTGAACCCTGTCTCTCCCTCTCTCTCAACCTCTATCATCTCGCGTGATATGGCCCACGTCCAACTAGAGGATAGCTGCCCCCTGAACCACCATTTTGAGAAGAGCAACAGTCCAGTCAACCATGCAAACCATCCCGAGGCTCACACCACCAGAAAAAAGCAAGGCCGGCACTCTGAGGATGAGACCTGTCGTGTGTGGACCGCTTGGCAACGGCTTCGAGATCGCCACGCTTGATTATGCTCGAAAAAGCCGTGTCCAATAAGGAATGTCATGCATCAAAGACTGATGAGAAGCAATTTAACCCACGCTAAAGAGCAGGGTTTGTATGGTTTCAAGTCATGAGAACTGAAGAAAGACCTGACAGGCCCGCCGTGGGACCTTCCGATTGTTCCTAACTTAGGGATGGAAGTCTGTCTGTCAGGTGGGTGGCTGCACCAGATGTGAGATATGCACTCGTCTCAAGTTCAAAATGGAGAGGCCCGGCCCGCAGCGGAGTAATGGACAACCAGACTCCGACCCTTGGATCACAGGCTTCACTGGAGACCATGCAGAAATTTCTGTGACAGCAGCCACTCTGTCCATTCTTTCACTGACTGGAGACAAGACTGGTGCTAATGGTTCAGTATGGAGCTCGAGCTGTTGGCTGACCGGACAAAACAGCAGCTGTGGTGTGAGATTGAGACCATGGTCTACTTCAAAGCAAAGGCCCTAAAGTCGACTACAAAGTACAGATTACAGAGCAAAAACTACGGTCCAGTCAGGGTATTTCTATCTGTGTGGTTTGTGGAATGGTCTTGAACAAGCCACTGTGCGTAGGGACAGTCAGAGTGATTCTATTAATCCAGCCACTTTCTACCCCTTTGATTACATAGAAAGCTAAGGTTGCTAGCTATTATTACTGATCTAAGACTTAGTAGGAATAGGCCAACGGCGATCGGTTTGTGATGTGGCTTCGAAGCTCCTAGGTAGCGTTATACGTCATACCTTATGCACAACGATTCCTTAGGTCCCTCACAAGTCTTACTATACTTTTATGTACAGGGAATCAGGGACACTTCCAGTGCCTACTACCCACTGTGCCCAGTGCCCGGTGCCTAGTGCCCAATGCCTAGGCACAGTAAAATTAGTGCTGGGTTGTTTTACTGCAGAAAGATACCAAGTGACCTTATTAGTACCTACTAGGTACTAGGTATGGACCAGTTACCTGGCTGTCGGTCCCTGAATCTATGACATCTTCCAGCCACTAGAAAATACATGAAATATGGTGTTCATTACCGAGAGCTACGAATAATAATCTCAGAACATATTCGTCAATCGCCAGGCCGTGGGCTGTTTCTAGAAATAGAAGCTACAGTATGATGCATCTGCACTTATCAGTAAGATCAGTGGCATGCCGTCCAAAAGTACAAATACCATGCTACTCGCCAAAGTATAGTGCCTGTCTACTCGTCTACGCTACATTGGAAGTTGAAGGTGTACAATCTAGAGCAAACAGATTGAGTTGATGTCGAACACGGACATCATCATACATCGCTTCACATAATTCTGAAGAAACCCTTAAGCCTCTTATGTATCATCATTAGTGATGACCGAAACCAGATCCCGTCCCCTGTTTTTCACATGGCTTCAGCCGTCACACCTTCATAAGCGCCCGGGTTGGAGACGTCATGTCCTCACGTGATCATGCACGGACGTCGGCCAGAAGCCGCCAGCTCGTTTGATTACGTTCTCGTCATCCCTCGTTCCCGTCCGCAATCCTAGCTATCTGCCACCCTCCAACCTCGATCGAAAAAAGAAAAGCACGTCGCAAGAAACGTATACTCTACCAATATATACCAAAAATGGCCTCTTTCCAGGATCGTGCTCAGCACGCTGTCTCCCAGCTTGACAAGGAGGTTCGTGAAATTCCCCGATGGTTGCCTGAGCTTATCTCTACCCTACATGTGTGTGTGTGTGTGTGTGTGTGCGGATGTGTCGGTCGCTAGCATCACTGAGCTTAACCCCTCAGCCCCGTTCGGTGTGCTGCATTGTTTGCGAACTCGTCCTGCAGAAAACACTGAGGGGCAATTTAACTGCCAGCGACTAGTCCCTGATCTCGTGGGATCGCTCCCACCTAGCTTAATCAAGGTCTTTTGAATTTCACAAATAGCTAACTACTGGATTTGTGCGATAGCTCTCCAAGTACCCGGTTCTGAACAACCTCGAACGTCAGACCAGCGTCCCTAAGGTCTACGTGATCCTTGGCCTGGTTGGTGTCTACACCTTCCTGGTCTTCTTCAACATCGCTGGCGAATTTCTCGTCAACTTTGCCGGTTTCCTGTTGCCCGGCTACTACTCCCTGCAGGCCCTCTTCACCTCGGGTACTGCGGATGATACCCAGGTATGTTTCAGATGCTCTGTGATTGCTCTCACTTGTGGTAACGACTTCTTGCTAACTGAATTCACTCGTTAGTGGCTCACTGTAAGCTTTCCTTCTCATGGCTTTCTGCATGGATAGCCATTGTCATAACTGTGGCATACCATTGCGCCAGCAACAGCAGATCGGGTAACCGACTACTGGGCTCGCCATCTTATCTTGGATGTGGTAGCGACTAACCGTCTGACTTCTAAATCCTTAGTACTGGGTCGTTTTCGCTTTCCTGACTGTCGTCGAGAGTGCGATCAGCGCGGCTTACTGGTTCCGTATGCTTATACCCCGTCCCACCTCCAATCTTAATAATCAATAACGCGCGCTGTGAACTGATCAACCTGTCTCTCATACAGCCTTCTACTACATCTTCAAGTTCGTCCTGATCCTGTGGATGGCTCTTCCCCAGACCAAGTAAGATCGGATCCTTCCCTATCCTCAGTACCAAAGCATTGACTGACAATCAACACAACAGCGGTGCCCAAGTTGTTTTCCACTCTTTCCTCCAGCCCCTGGTTGGCCGTTTCTTCTCCCAGAGCGGAACCTCCTCCAACCTGCGCGCTCAGGCCGAGGCCGCTGCCAACAAGGCCCACTCTTCTTGAAGAGCTCTCGGCCAGCACGAGTGGCCAGCAAGAGTCGCATCGCGTGCGCGTTCGAGGGACACCTTGTTGTCTCCCATGGGTAGAAACTATTCCAGGTCCGGGGGTCTCTCTTTCTCGATCGGTCGACTCTTTTTGTCACATTTGCAGAGTACTCTTCCACGAAGCGTTTGAGCGGGTTGATCTTACTTTTATGAAGGCTTTCGGGAAGCCCGTTGGCAAATGCAATGTTGATAGAATTTTACAGGGGATGCAAACGGGGAATTAAGTGGAATTCGGGGATGAATGGAGCTTTTCTACTTTTGGGAGATGGTGCGAAATACCATGTGTCACGTGTGGATGATCAAGTATTTTTGTCGTCTGATTCTCATGAATGGAATTTTCTTTTCACTTTCAAGCTTCATGGTCTACCACTGGGGGTGCAACTGGTCAACTCGAGCGGGCAGTGGTATGGTCGCTTCCTGGTAGACCACTTTGATTGTAGAGTTCACATTGAGACCGATCGTATGCCCAGGAGCATGAGCATTATCATTATCAGGTTTTCTTGATAGACGCCACCAGTCCGCCATATTTCCATGTTTCCAAGCCTCGGCATTGCACCCATGCCAGCCAGGATCTGCCCATCCTTGACAGTCCAAAACCCCAACGCAGAAGAGAAAAATGACAAATGAGGGGAATTGACAACAAAAACTCCAGTCGCGGATTCTAATTACTCATGACGCTACAAAGGAAATTCGTAAAACACATCCAGTCTGCTCACGGGGTCAGCGTCGGGCCATTACAGCTCCGGGCGAATGGACTCGGTGCTATGGCAGTCTAGTACAAGCCCCAACTATCAGTGCGAGGATTGACGACGATTCGATAAGGGAATGGATTGGAATCGCTGGTTGTAATCGGTGGGATATGGTCTTTGTCTCGATTGACCACGGTGAGGATCTTTAGGGCGGCCTTTTGGAGCATATTGCCCATTGCTTTGCGCACTTTGGCTCGTTCTGAGGAATACAAATGTGAGTATGGATGAGGGGCTTCTCGAATTTGGCGGAATTCACGAGAAGAGAGGATGGTGGCATCTCCTCCCCTCGTACAACTCGTCTCTAGAACGACATACCGGATTCTGTGCGAGGAGTGGCGATCGTCACGTCCAGCGTCCACACCTCCCAACACACTTCCTCTTCGCCCTTGCCCGCAAGGCCCCCAAACCACAAGCCCGAACGACGTCGTTTCTTCTCGTAGAACTCCACGGCGATCCGTCCACGCACGCCGCCGCCGCCCCCACTCGACGTGCCATTTTGGTTTGCTGACGTGGGCGAGAGATGCTGACGGACGAGCGCATTGACGCGCGACTCGATCAACGTTTCGAGGTCGGCGTCGTTGATGGCGGGAAGTGTCAGGTCGAGAACATCAAAGGTGACTGGTCGAATGGAGGGAAAATAGCGGTGGAAGAAGATGAGGTTGAGGACACCTGGAATTGCATATGCAAGGCGTTAGTATGAAGTACACAATTGGCATTTGCGAAGAGATGAGAGGATCAATGCGATAATGTGGCTCATGAGTCCCCGCAAACGAATGCTAGATATCGGGCTTACCTTTCAAAACATCGCGAACGGTGGTTGTGTCGGCGAAGATCTCCAGAAAATACTCTGGAGGGGTCTTGCGGGGCTCCATCCCCGCCCGCAAATGATCGCCTCAGCGGACGGTGGGCCGGGAAGGTGGAAGGAAAGAGGAGGAGGGCCGGAAGGTGAAATAGGATTAGGTACAAGCCACGGAAGCAGGCAGCGGACACGGGTATCTACAGGAGCAAAGCGCCTGCTGGTAATGTACGGACCCTATCTGAGGATCTCATGGGTGTGGTTGTAGGAGGGGGGAAGAGGGGGGATCAAGCGACAAGAGAACTGCAGGGGAGAAGGGCAGATGATGGAATGAGCTGCGATGGTCGGCGCGGTTGCTATCGGCCATCGGACAAGGCCGAATGATGCTTATCAGGTTATCATTGGCCGGCCACCGGCAAAGGGTTCCAGGATCGACACCGGAGTACTCTGTACATCAGAGAGACCCTCAAAGATGAAGCAAGTGATGTACCAACTACCGAGTACCCTCGCGCTGTTGTGCTGCGACCATCATACTTACCTAAGGTACCTTAGGTAGTATTCTTTCTAGTTACCTGTAGGTCGTGTCCAGGTGGTGGTCGAGGCTATCTTACTCTGATTTGGCATTTTGTCCGGTTTGGGGTGGATGATTCTGCGGGACGGCTGCTATCTCCGAATCCGGGACACTCAATGAAGACAGAGAGACGGTGGAAATAGAGAAGGAGTGGAATGATGCCAGGAGACAGACCTGTAGATCAACCTAATTCTCAATTCGACAAACAGCACATAGTAAACAATTACCTTAGGACTCACCTAGGTATAACTAGTCATAGTTAGATATAGGAACTCAGGAAGTGACTTAGTAGGAGTACACTACTGACTCTCTCCGCGGTCCCCCGACTCTTCCACATGCCCTTGCGTTAGTCACTCATGCATCTCTGTCCACTGAGATTAGAGTGGTCGATCGATACGTTCCAAAAGTGCCTCATTTGGGAGAGAAAGGTCGATTCGTTTCATGGCTCATGGGATGAACAAGTATAGATTTAGATTGAGTGAAGGTTAGATGCCGTGGAGCCTCTTTCATAGGCAGCGAATATCTTGAGCGATGAATATCGTCGAATTGAGAGTCTGACATCAATTGTGCTATATTCACAAATATGTTGATACTTTTCAAGCCTCAAGGTGGTCAATTTGCAGAAGTGCAGGACCTCCACATGTCTCCAGAAAGCAGGGCCGAGTCAGGCAGAACAGAGGTGTCAGTAGCACAAGAGGCCTTGAAGGCGGTGAACGGAGACCTCCAGCATGTCCACCGAGTGGCACGGACGATCCACCAGACACGTCCAAAGTCCAAACCCCCCAAGACTCCAAGATTTGTTGGTAGCCGAGGCCGCTGAAAGTCTGGGGTTGGTTCCCGCCCGAGGCTTCTCAGTTTCCAGATCGCCTTCTTCCACATCCCTCATCTGTTTGCAATTCAAGACTGATGATCATGAACCCTGGGACTTGATTCACCAGCTTTTCATGATTAGTGAATTCCCGAAATCCTCCATTATGATCGGTGCCGCAAGGCGCTGGTTTCGTCGCAATCGCAAAGGCTTGGCGATCGGTGCGGGCGTGCTGGGGGCTGGCTATCTGGCTGGCCAGTATGTGCTCTCTAAGATTGTTGAAGCGCGAGAGCGCATGAGCAGCGATCGAATCGCTCGCGAAAAGTGAGTGTTGACCATGCCCTGCTCCTCTTCCCAGACCGCTTCTCCAAATTGGAGGCTCTCGGGCTAGCTTATGTTAGAGGACGAGCAGATATCTCTATGCCTCTCGTGGGGTCATCGCGCTGACAAAAGCACATTCAGTTTGCGGCGACGATTTGAACAAAACCAGACAGATTGCACATATACCGTGCTTGCCTTGCTGCCCACGGCGACGGAGAATATCATCGACGCCCTGCCAGTGGAGGAACTGACAAAGGAGCTTCAGAAGAAGCGGGCGGAACGCCTAGCACGGTTGAATGCCGGCGAAACTGCCGGCTCTGACATGACCTCAGTAGCACCCAGTATCACCGAGGAGGATAGAAAGAGCCTATCGAGCTTTCAAAGCGAAGCCTACCTTCATACCAGCCAGCTCGGCGAATCTGTGAACGCCGAGGGCAAGACCCAGCCGAAACGAAACAAGACGCAGCTGTGGAACGAGGTCAAAATCACCTGTATGTTTCGTCCCCACCTCTCGTGCAGTGTTAATTTTGATTATGAGCGCTTCAATTGAGGCTTCGCTATGACCTTTGCTCACCACTGCCAGCGATTACGAGATCCTTCACTCTTATATACACACTCTCGCTGCTCACCATCTTCACTCGGATCCAATTGAACCTTCTCGGCCGTCGAAACTACCTTTCCAGCGTCATCTCGTTGGCAAACCCCCCCGCAGACTCCACAATCAGCTTAGAGGATCATGACGACGAGCTTACTCAAACACTGGGCGATGACTTTGAGACCAACAGGCGGTACTTGGCCTTCAGCTGGTGGCTGTTGCATCGTGGCTGGCAGGAGTTGGTTGCTCGTGTCCAGCCGGCCGTGGAAGAGGTCTTCGGACCCCTCAATCCACGCGAAGATATCACTTTGGCCAAACTGTCCGATCTGACCATGCAGATTCGGAGAAAGGTGGAGGGCAACACGGAAGAAGAGCGACGGTAAGAATCACTTTCTTCGCCCAACATCGACATTTGCATATTTGTGTACACCTATTAGACCAAGTCGTCTAGAGTCAAACGTGTTCCAATCAGCTGACGACCTCGAGTCTGTTCTGTTCAGATCCACGAAATGGCTTGCGTGCTTGTTGCCACCTACGGAGGAAGAAGAGTACGTGCTTCGCGAATCGGGCGTTGAGGGAGTTGCCGACCCGTCTTCCTCGCAAACGGCCTTGAAGCTGCGTCACCTTCTTGACGAGACTGCCGACCTCATCGATTCCCCATCCTTCTCGCTTGTCCTCACCCTACTTAACAATGAAGGGTTCTCGACGCTGGTTGACTCCAAATGTGCTACCGAGGCCTTCCAGGCATCCGAATCGGCTGCTATGACTGTGCCTCAATCCTTTGACTCTATGGCCACCGTCGTGCCCGCACCCTCTGAGCGTCGGACCAAGCTGGCTAATCTGCTAGCTGTCATGGCTCGACAGGCCCACATCATTGGGAACGGCGCGCACCCTTCCAACGAGTATCTGGTCGCCATGGATCAGAACGTGCGTGAATTGGAGGCCTTCTCTGCTGTCATTTACAGTTCCAATTTCGAGCTGGAACTGCTGGGTGCTACTACCAATCCCACAGTGAAGGCAGAGGAGACGGCCGACTTTGAGCCCGTTTCGTCTTCGTTTGCTGATATCCTGGTCGAGAAGACTGGTCCCTCAACAAGCCTGGACTCTTCAAATGATGGGATTATGGATGATGCTATTGACGGCCAGGGGCCTGGTCTCACTGACATCGAAGAGCAAATAGCTGCTGATTCGATTTCGGACTCTGCATTCGAAAAAGCTTGGGGCAAGGCCGTTGAGGACGGACCTGACACCTCAGAGACGGCGACCGGGGCTACGAATTGAAGCCCATGTCGTCTTGTAGTGATCACTTGCTCTTTGACTTGATGTTTTCAAATGTTGAAGCGCTAGACCAGATGACCAAGATCTCTCAGTATATACATGCACCATATGGGACGCTCGACCAGCTTTGCGTATTTCTTTCGTAAGTTTTGACACCTTTCTGTCTGTTTTGGGGGTAGTCGATCTAAAACAAGTAGCGGCGAAGCCTGATCGATAGCCAGCTTTAGACTTCTGTACGGCGCGTTCCGGAGACTGCACCTGTCTCAATGACGGGACATGAAGATATTTGTCTGAGACACCCGTCCGACCTCGTGACAGTAGTACTATTGAAGACAACTTAGTCTCAGGTAACTAGTCATTGAACGTAAGTGTCGGCCTCAGGCGTCATGCTGTCCCTGCCTGGAGCCTCAGGCGTCAGCTCCTGCGGGGCGAGTCACATGCTACTCCGCCCTCGGCATGACGAAGCAGGTGCATCAACCCGACATCATTGCCCAGCCCAAGTGTAAGTGTTAAGCAGGGTGCTGTGAATATTTTGGAGAACCACTTGCCTTGTACGACACAACGATAGTTTCATCAGCTCCACACCGTGCAAAATCCGAGAATTCCACAGGGACCAACCCGGCTCACTGAAAATGACCACTGCAGCTGTGTTTGGCTCCACCGGGGCCGTGGGCTCGCAGATCCTAGCAACACTACTTGCTTCAGACTCGTTCGCCCACGTGAAGACCGTGTCGCGCAGAGTCCCCGACGTCCAATCACCCAAACTCGAAGCCCTGCAGGAAAGCGATACTTCTAAATGGGGTACCTTGATCTCGACCTTATCTCCCAAACCTTCGGTGGTTTTCAATGCCGTCGGTACTACTCGTGCCACAGCCGGCGGTATTGAGAATCAGTGGAAGATCGACCACGATCTATGTATCGAGAATGCCCGTGCTGCCAAAGCTGCTGGTGTGAAGACGTATGTGTTTATCTCCAGTGCGGGAACGCGAGGCTTTTTCTCCAAGTATGTGCCGTACTCCAAGATGAAGATTGGTGTGGAGGATGCTATTCGGGAGCTGGGCTTCGAGCATGCGATCATCATAAGGCCCGGGATGATTCTCGGCAGGGAGGTTCCCAAGTCTGCGGTCTTTGAGAGCATCGTGGGAAATTTACATAAGGTGGCACAGGGAATTCAAGACTGTCTCGGTAAGTTGTGGAAATGCCTCGGTTGAGAAAGCCAGTTTTGAGGAGAGGTAGGGTTGGTTCATATATATCTAACACTTTTTGGATTGTTGCAGGTCAAGACCAGTCCATTATTGGTAGGGCTGCGGTAGCAGCGGCTCGACAGGCCGAGGAGGGCAAAGCCCCCTCGGCGTATTGGATTGTTGAACAGGCTGATGTTGTCAGACTCGGAAGAGACGAATGGAAAGAATGAATTTAAGTATCGGTGCGACCAAAGCAGAGAATCGGAGGTATCGCACTGAGTCTGAGTACTTCTCTATTGAAACTGGATCCAAGGTGGGACGGAAATCACCAGATCAAATTGATTCGATCCAATGCGGCGTTGTTCATACTGTACATACTACATACACCAATCATTCAGCTGTCACTTAGCTTCACATAGGTATCACCGCGCTTCTTACGAAAGTATACGAATACTATTTCTACCCGGACTCGGAGTCCTGTCCGCAGATTTTGACATTAGCATAAAGCGTGACACACGGTACATCAACCTAAACAAGCTGCTGATTCACTCTGTTTGCTTCGGATGAAGCCACATAACTGCAGTAGTGCATTGTCATTGCATTAACTTCAAGTCCCGGTGGTAAACAGGCGGGCCTGGACACGATCACCAGCCGACTACGTGCAGATGGGTCAAAAAATACTCGGCTCAGCTCACACGCACGACATGGTCAGCCACTTGACGGTGGATCGAGCGTGAGGTGGAACAGATATCGCAGGCGCACCTGAGCCGGATTGTGAACAATGTACTCAATACTACCGTCGGTGTATCCTCTGCTTGCCCATCTTTCCTTCTCCTCAGGCCGTGGCAGCGGTATTTGAACCCCTGCTAAATCAGGTCGTACACAAGCGGCATCAGTCCAATTGGACTGGGCATTGGCAAAAGGATACCGTCGATATGAGACCAGAGTATTCCACTTCGTACGGACGGACAAGCCTCGTTCCGAGTGAAGACACTTACCAAGCTCGACTTCATTCAATAACATGAATCCCTGCGTCATGGGATGAGCAAGACGGCAATAAGCAAAGGATTTTGCTGAGAAATCACCGAAGAAGATGCCCCGTGATGGGCCCGAGACCAAGCCGGTGCGAAAAATGCTGGGAAGATTTTCTGTACGTGTGCCATGCCAAAGTAATCGTCGATGGCTTTGGTCCTTATTACTTGCCGCCGCTCTGCATTGGGCAAACCGTTCAGCTTCACCCTCTCGCTCGATGGAGTAGATGTTCAAGATCTGGACGTACAAAACTTGTCAGGTTGACAGTGCACCACTCGAAACACCTTTAGATGCAGAATTGGTTTTTGGAAAACTGGTCATTCTTACCCGAGGAGCAACGTTCGTGTGGAACGGATAAGTGTGGTTGTAATAGCCCGCAAGATGAAGGTACTCATCCGTATCTGCCTCCACTAAATAAGGAATTGTCAGCTTGCCGGTCTATGAGAGACGCCATTTCTCCCGACTTACCCATTTTCATTGACTTGAGACGCAGAAAGCGGAAGGCATTCTCATCCATGACGGGAGATGCTGACCTTGAAGAGCTCGGTACTAGGCTACCAGGCAAACTGATATCAATTGCCCGCAGACTCAACTGGCCCTCAATTTCATGCTTGGTCTGTTCAATGGACTCCGCTTCGAGAGTTTTTGAACATGAAGCTCCCTCCTTGCCAAAGATTCTTACAAAGCAGCTTTTCAGATCATTAGCACAGACTTTGGGCGATGTCTTCTCTTTGTTTGATCCATCGGAGACTTTTGCTATCATGTCAGCAAGCGCAACACCGGTCTCCAAAAAATGGTCAGCAATGCCCGGCTTCTCTAAGAGTCTGTTGACGTAGCCTGCAAGCAATCCGTCCAATTTCGGACGCGCTGTACGGACGATCAAGCCCAAGGCCTTCAACTCGGGGTCCGATAGCTTTTCTTGGTCATTTGCATCCGCACGATGGACGAAGATGAAATTCTTCTTTTTCGACGGAGCCTTGAAAGCCTGGTCCCAGGCATGACCGGTAAAGCCCTCAAACTTAGAGTGGTACTCTGCGATTGCGGATGAGAGCTGACCATCGCCCTTGGAAGTAACAGTGGTGCTGTCACTCAAGGACTGGAGTATGCCGGACTGAGTACTCCGTACCAACTTTGTTTCTCGAAGCCAAGTACGGTACGTACTTGCTGCCATGTCGACGACCAGTTGGAGGCGGACTATTGTCCCGGTAATGGATTCTTCCCTACTATTGTCCTCGAGACATGACTCGGTCGACAAGAGGGTCGCATCGTAGACGATGTCTTCATCATCCAACCACACCAGAACATCCCCGTTCCCTATTTCAAGATGTGTGAGCCTCCAGCACGAATGTCGTGCAATGATAAGGTTCATGAACTACGGAGCCACCCCATACCTGTGTCCTGGATTGCCTTATCGACCAGCCTTTTCAGGCGGTCGTGATTGGCTTTCAGCCGGTCTTTGGCAATCTTTCCTGGCTGCTCAATTGCCGTGAATCCGTCACCGGCTCTCTTGCGTTTCCTGTGACAAGCTGGTGTGCCCGTGACGGGACGCTTGAGACCCAATGACTTGACCAAGAATCCTTTGGTATCGAGCGGCGTTTTCTCTTCGATGGACTGTAACAGCCAGTCCACTGTGACGATGCTGCAGTCTGACAACCGCTTCGCCTGCTTGACTGGATCGAAGTTAGGACATTTCCTAGTCACAAAAAGTAATGATAGATAATTGATGGCTCTCACTAACTCTTGTATGGCGCGGTAGCCTTGCGATAGCACTCAGCGGTCGTGATCAGGTGAGTGCAGTCATTGATCTTCATTTTCTCGAATTTGGCACCGCACGCCTCGACCATGGCTTGAATGTCCTCTAAGAGAGGCATCTGGCATGTTAGCTTGCTACAGCTGGAGTAAAAATTTGCCTGGGTCACGATGTAATTCAGTCTAACCATGCTTGTATGCGGGGACAAGTCCGCTCACAGCGACGACCACGCCCTTGAAGTTGCTCTTCTTGCCGGCAGGAGTCGCCTCAGTAGATGATTTGCCACTCTGACTGGCTAGAGTGAACGCAGTACCCATGACGGTTGGTTTACTGACCAACCCAAGACGTTGCTTTGAAGTTGATATGAGTGATGTTGAAGAAGTGACTGAGGTGAGAGACGCCGCTGGGGGGGGGATCCGATGCTGTTTATGTCAAACATTCAAAGCGTGCTCAGGACGCGAAGATGGATGTTTCCGTTTTCTGAGGTCAACATGCATGTAGGAATAATGCCAATTCCTAGAACTTGCTGCATCAAAGACTTTGGTGGTTTGTACCAGCATGCCACGTCGGAATGTTTGTTTTCCGGAACATCAAGGAAATTCGAGAGGGTAGGTAGGATCAGAGCTCATATTGTGATCGAGGCCGTGCTGTTCGAGGACTTGCTGAGTCGCAAATAGCATCGCTCAGTGACTCCTGGAAGTTAGCTTTGGCAATGACGAACCGTGGAAAATGCTTTGGCTAGATGGAATGAGTGATTGTGGAACATCCGCCAAAAAAGGGTCAATCAATGTCATTGTTTCCATGTACTGGAGAAGATCTGAGACCTTATTTGTTGTCGACATGTGAGAATGACCATTGTCCTTTCTTTACCATTCTCAGCTCCATCTGCGTGGGCACTACCCAGGCACCTTCCATCTTATCTTTGAGCCCCGTAGCATTCTATCAGACGTGATGGTCTTCTCTCATCTGATTGACAGCGCGATCTTTCCATCATCTCACCTCGGCTTTCCACACCATCTGATCGAAAATCAGACGAGATGCCGTGACAGGTCAGAACGATAGAACTCAGTCGGCCCTGACTTTGACCTCGTTCAGCCACCCGGAGAAATCAGCCTTCGGACCGTTCCGCATTGCGGGACGTGTGACGGTGGGCCACAGGGTGCAGCGTGTCCAGGCCGTCGACAGTTTGGCAAAGGGCGGATGTGCTCGATCCGATCTCTTCTGGTGATCTTGCGTGCCGGCCAACCTTCCATCTGTTGGTATATCTCGTCAGCAGCATCATCCACCTGTTAGTTGCCTTTTAGCCGGATGGAACAGTTACCGCTGTCGAACCTGTGCCGGGTTGTACACGATACACTCGTCGCATGGTAGATGTCTGAAGCTTGGTTGGTATTGAGTGCTTTGCGACACAGCTGGCAACGAGACACCCTCAAAATCGAGATGAGCCACCCCGCCACCGCTCCAGGGGTTTCAGCCAACATATCCTTTCCCAATCACGCCGATCTTTCCCTGGCCACGCATGCATCATGTCCTTGGCTCGCGGTTTCAGGCTGGGGACCTCTACAGGATCTCTGGCAAGCTCGACTTCTAGCCATTTCAAGCCGACGAAACGCCTTATTAACGAGCTCCCTGGTCATGGGGCCCTCTACGGGAGGCTGTGCAGGGAGCTCGATGACAGCTCAATGTTCTGAAATTTGTGCTTTGCCCACTGAAAATCAATCACCTCTGGGCCTGGCACCGAACGCTTTGCTATCCGGAGAAGACGCAGATAGTTTTGCTTCAGAAGAGTCGCGATTCGTGACTGCAGCATCATGGACGAGCTGCGTGGTGCACCTGGGCCGAGAGAGGGTCCTGCAAGGTGCTCTACGAGCTCGGTAAGGTAATCGAAAGAGATCCGCAGAGTTGCACCGTCGGTCTTGAGAAATCCAGAGCCGAATCTTCCCACAAACATATGATTGTAGAAGGGAATGATACCATAATCCGGCCAAAACAAAAGCTTGATCAAGCGTTCGACTCCGGGTAGTAGCTGTTGAGATTGAAGGTCCCTCGCCGGTTCTAACGGAAGCTCCGCAAGCTTGCACTAATCCTCATGCTTTGGTCTTATGAAAATGCATCCTTCGAAGTCCTTCTGCATCCCCATCCAATGATCTGTCCAGGGCTCGCCGGTGACCTCTTCAAAGGCGCGTCCAAATTCCCATTTCGCGGAGTCTAGATCTCCATTACCACGAAACTCCATTGCCGTCGTGTCCGGGCACTCGTCGTGGACCCAGGTGAACCAGGTCTTGAGACCAAAGTCGTGGAGAAGCTGGATCCGGCGAGTCGATACCCAGTAAGACGGTTGTGTCTCATCCAGATCCTCATTTCTCTTCACGCCAGTGATCAAGAAGGCGTCCCATCAAATCCCCTTCTCATCCATCAGTACGGCGATCGTGTCTCCTATTTGATGAATCCTTTGATTAGCTGGTATGACTTGAAAGAAGGAGGCCAGTCATCTTGGTCAAGATATCTTACCATTTTTGCACCGCTTGTCCACGAAAGTGATCAGCTTCTCGTGGTGTATCTGCAGATTGGACCGAGGAACATTTGGTCCCTGCAAATCCTCAGCAACATTTGCTGATGCAACAAGCAAGTATGCCGCTGTGCGAAGGGGCCGATTCAGTTGCGCCGAGTCTAGAAACCAGTTGATATTGACGATCTGGCATCTATTCTCGGTCAGAGCGAAGTGGACTGCGTCATCAAGTCAGTATAAGATATCTCAGTGCAGAAAAGAAGCCGGTCTTGCCTGCCCAAGTAATCTGACCCCGCTGAGGCCCACCTGCAAGGCCGCCGAGGCTCTAGAGTGAAGTGACTAGGTGCGTCACTTCGTGGACCTGGGAGTCGACGAACTGCACACCGATGATAAGAGCCAAGCGGTCGATAAGCTCTTCAATTCAACGTCACTTCTCGTCAGATTAGCCGTTACATTCGACGTAAAGCAAGAACACTTACTGTGCGTGTGCCCAGGGATACGGCCGCTGACGCCGATGATGACTTGAGCGAGTGCCGGATTGACCATATCGACACTGCTCGAAGGTTTTGATGAGGTGAGCGTCAAATGAGGCGACGCCGAGAGATATCGGCGCGGCACGTCCGAGGGAAGAGACGAGAAAAACGGCTATTCTCGATGGAAAGAACGTGAAGTCCGCGCTGTCTTCGATGGAAGTGCCGTGAAATGCGCGATGGATGGGATGGAAAAGCCGTCGAACAGAGTCGAAAGAGAGACAGGCTCCGGGGACGATCACGCTCGCACTATGTTGGCCAGCAGAGGTGGCATTTTGCTGTCACTAGAACTAATAAGCGTGGGTCTTCTCCGATCCATTCGACGGGGTACTGGACCTACATCAGACGTCGGACGAGAAAGACAGTACGAGATTGACAGTACGCGACGCTTATGTCGAGTCAGCATCGCAACATGGATACCTCCTATTCTATGGGAACCTCGCACAAGTTGTAATGCAATGCACTGTACAGAACGGAGAAGCATCATTCGGAGCGCGGACATCTGAGCTAACTTCTCGAGTCTCGGGGACGAAGAGGGTTACTTTCTGCATGGAAGTTCATGTTGAATTGACTAACTGAAGCCAGATCTGGCCGGGATTCATACAGGCACTAGTTGCTCATGAAGTAGTTGAACGCCAGAATGGGGCCCAGGTTCACTTTCTTCGCCCAAGCATCTAAATCATAGCGCATGCGATACCAATTGCTCAATTTCTGACCATTGGGAGGAGCATGGGCTGCCACATCAAAGTTCGCAGGCTCTTCTAGCAAGAAGAAGATATAACGGTGCGGAGCACTACCGGGAGGTGGCGCGGGCCCGATATAATTTGCAACAAAGGGTGCAGCGGAGGTATCCAAACTGCCAGACTCTGCAACTTTCACACCTGGTTGAATCCAATGGAGAATAGGGCCCAAAATCTTGAACGACGGGAATGGTGCATCGATATCAAGAGCCACGATCAGATAAGTCTTGCTTGAGTCAAGACCCGTAAAGAAGAGCTCAGGGGGTGACTGGGCATCTGCGTTGAGTACATCAGCATCTACTTCTCCCTCTTTCTGAATCACCTGAGGATACACACCTGCACGGGGTATGTATTGCCCCGGCCGTACGTCTTTGTGCTGGCCTACATTGAGACCCAACACCTTGGATTCATCATTTTCGATCAGCGTCAAAGCTGTCTGGATATGAGCTTCAGAAGGCATTTTACGGATTTCACACTTGTATGAGTGGCTAAAGTAATGTGGAAAAAGCTGATACTGTGACAGCAGAGAGCGGTTGAAATGAAAGGAAGTATTGGAGGTCGTCTGGGCTTGTCTGCAGATATATGATAAGTCTACAAAGGATATGGCACGCCTAAGACGCCTCAGGCGAGCAAGGTTGAAACGACTCGAGCGATCGGACTTAGGAGGACTTAAGAGGGTGTGGGGTATGACGATCTCCCGTACTGTACCAGGCCTGAGGCCTGAGGCGGTTGTTTACTCGATAGAGTCGATACTGTAAGTGTACTGTAATCTTAGTGAGTGCGCCACCAATGTAGTGAATGTACCACGGTATCGGTCTGAGGATCACCGCTGTTCGATAGCCCGCCATACATCACTGACCGCTCTAATTATGGACTTTTCTTCGCCCAACAAAATGATTCGTTTTGAGCTATTGAATTCTTCACTCATACCACGCGGGTTGAACATCAATTGGCTCGCCTCTTCCACCTGACTGATGCGCCGTCCACAAGTCTACTCGCTCACTTGACCCTTCACAAGCACACGGAGAGAATAGTTTCCTTGGTCGGGATAAGGCGTGCCGAAATCACGAGCAAATGCAATGTTCTCCTTGGTGGTCTCGAACAACTCCAATTCAAAGCGGCGGACCAAGGTTGCGATTGTGAGGTAGATCTCCGCGTATGCCAGGCTGGAAAGAAATAAAAGGTCAGTTGGGGAACCACCCATCGAGCATCATTGGAAAAACCTACTTCATTCCAAGACAGATCCGGCTTCCCTTGGAGAAGTTGACCAGGAATTTATCCAATCGTTCCCCCTTGGCGGCAGCACGTGTCCACCTCTCAGGATCAAAGACCTCGGGATCGGGAAAAATAGTAGGATCCATGAGCACAAAGTAATTCACTTGGCTGACCATGTGCTAGTCATCAAAATAAGTCAGCAACTTCAATCTATGTAATGGACTGTGAGTGTGATGAGGTCGAGCATGTGCACTTACACCAGGAGGAATCGTGTAGTCCTTGTACACCAATGCCTCGGACGGAGCCACACGCGGCGATCGGCTCGCGATTCCTGTAGCAAGTCGGAAAGTTTCAAGAACGACTCCCATCTGACAATCCGAAAGTGAGCAATCAGTATGGAGGTTTTACATTGACCACTCGCCGGTCCAGCGGTCTGTGACAACTTACCATGTAAGGCACCTGCTCCAGCTGGTTCCAAGTTGGTTTACTCGTCGGAGTCGGCATGACGGCTCGCAGCTCTTCGCGCAATTTGTGAATGAGACGCGGCTCATTCAAGAGATGAAACAATCCCACGGACAAAGACCGAGCTGTGGTCTCAGTCCCTCCGATTACCAAGGCAAAGCCCTCGTCGGACAAGTTACGTGCACTTTTGAAATGATCGGGCAGACCAGGTCCTGAGAGTTTCTCCATCACAGATCCCGCTGAGCCTTTGTTCTGGCCAGTCTGGATTGCCACCACTTGATCGTGAATGAATTGTTTCTGGTCCATCAAAGCAAAGGCATATGGACTGAGCATGTCCATCAGGAATCGGGGCAGAGTTGCCATCAATGGCTGGATCCAAGGCAGGAACCGAGACAAGTGACCCAACTTGAACAGACCGTTCACTCCATCTCTGATACGCTCATTGAAGTCCTCCTGGTCCAGGTTACCTGTATGAAGGCCAAAGACGTATTCATGAATGATATCCGATGTCATAGCAGCGAAACCGGCATCCATGGCTACCACCTTATGTGCCTTTTGAGCCTGCTCCAGACGAGCCACCAATTTGTCGAGGTGCTTCTGTACATTCTGTTCTGTTCGATTGATGGCACCTTTGGAGAAGAACTTCTCCACGGGTGAGCGACGCATGCGATGGATCTCGGGGCTTACGCTCGAGAAGGACGAGCCGGGGATATCAAATTGTGCCACGATAGCCGCATCCTTTTCACGCCTGCGCCCACTGGAGGCGTAGATGGTCTCATAGTATTCGGAATCCTTGATGTGAACTTCGCGGGGGCCGATTCGAACAATAGGGCCTGTTACACCGGTCAGCCTCCAGGAACCTAATCCCCAGGCAACGCGAAGCTGGAGACAAACCATAAATCTCGTGCAGCTTCTCCAAATGCCAGATAAAGGTGCCCTGCTTTATGATCTCATAGTAAAACTGATATGCTGTGCTCATTGCAGCCAACTTGGGGCCCGGGATCTTTCTCAGTGGGTGGAAAAAGACTCGATAGACGACTAGGGCCATGCGGTAGGCAAGAAGCCCACCGACCACCCAGACAGCTAAACCCGCCATGGAATCTCGAGCAACTTTGAAGAGGAGGGGCTTCTCCTTCCAAACCTGAAAAATGCTCTTTTCAATCTACCTCGAGGAGGGGAGAGGGGAATGGGTCTCTCTTTTAAAAGTATGCATACTCGCTCGCTAAAAGTTCCCGCGTTGCTCCCCGAAATAGAGGTACACCTTCATCCACCCACAAGGGAGTCCGTTCAACTAGCAGTCATTGGATCAAGATCCATCGGCTCTTTTACGACCGTGATGATTGGTAGTATATGTAACATTAGCGTGGACGAGACTCTCCATGCGTTGACCTCCACTTCAGCTGTTGTCACCGCAAGCCCACGTTCGTGGTCGTACCGACCCCCGCCGCGAAAAGTGCTGTGGATGCTGGTGGGTATCTGCAGAAATCAGAGGCAAGGTCATTGGCTCCTGATTGAGAGTCAAAACGGACAGGCGGGTGCATTGCGTGCATTGGCAGAGACTCATGCGGTCTAGTTCATCCACGAGAGACGGTCTTGACTCCCAATCCAGCTAGCGAGCAGTCGGGTATGGAGAATTTTTTACCTTGGGGCTGAGGTACATTCTTAGCCGCTTACTCTCAAATCATGTGATAAGCTTATCATCACTCGTTTGGACAAGTGCATGATTCATGCACGATGCACCTGGGTTCAATGTCACTGATATGCAGATGATCTGTCCATCCTGTTCGATACGTATCCCGTCTTATGTTTTGATGAAAAAAAAATTTATTGTAATCTCACCGATCAGGCGGTCTTTGCATACGCTTTCTGTGAAGTACGTATACAATGAGCTCGTCGGGGCGGGTACCTTGTCAATTTATGAGTGTACATTGAGTCCTGTTGAAGTGAATCACCACGTCGGAACTCAAGGTCCCTGACCAAAGGATGACTAGTTCAGAATACCAAATCCTCAAGGATCAGATTAGCAATACGAATGTGAGAGTGTGAGGGTACTTAGATCGGACGATCAGATAATTGCATATCCAATTGGCCATTAGGCTTCAACACAACCCAGCCATGCGGCAGGGAACACTGAACTAAGGCAACATTCGCGCGTCTCACATGCTAGATGCAATGCAGGCTGGCCCACCCCCCCGACCCGCAAATCAATACGAGCATCCTCCAACCTCTGCGGAAACGTTACATGACTCTTGAAAGCCGAGGGCCTGAATCCGAGTGCTTAGCTGTTTTACATACGCAATGCTTTCATCCATGCTGTGCTATTGTCATTGGCGCAGGGATCAAGGTACCTTCCATTGGCTCTCGAAAGGTTAAGCGAGCGAAAGACAGTCCGTCCCTGAATCTTGAACATGCCTGTGAAGCTTCGTTGCTGGACAACTGAAGAAGCTTCACATGGACGTGAAACAATCGGTCTAAGTGCTATGTATTGACATTTGGGCGAAGGCGGATCAAAAACCAGAGGTGCCATACGAGGAATTATATATGGACGAGTCTGTGCACGACAATACTAAAGGTGTGCCAGAAGAATATCATGGAATAAAGTCGATATGTAAAAGTACTGTAGCTGGAACTGCCGCGACAAAAGATAAATATGCGTGTTGGCTCTGTCAGAACCATGTCAAACACGAAGAAATGAAACGTCGAGCATAAATGCTCGCCTGGTAACAAAACAAGCCGTCCGTGGTATCAATAAAAAGAGAAGACTCCAAATCCAGCTGCAAATTAAGACAAGTACTCATCAACCCATGCTAAGCGACAAGGGAAGAGAAAGGGAGAAGAGGAGAAAGGGACAAGAGGAGAACGGGAGAAAGAGAAGAGTGCAGAAAAAGCAGGCATAGATAATCACATGACGTCTGGGAAGAGGTTGGAGGGCGTAACGGACGGGTATCGCGTCGATTTGGTCAATGTCATCAGACCAAGAACACAGTTCACAGGTGCGCTGGGGATCCGCCTTGGTTAGGTGTTTCGCTGATCTTCAGCTTCTCAATCTGGTCTTCAACTTGAGGCGAGGGGAATCGCCTCTCGAGTTGTCCCAGAACATGTTCGGCGCCGGCGATGTCATCCTTAACAATCCGCTCTGCGGGCGCTGAATGCTCTGCTGCGATTGATTCATCCGTACTTGACGCAGTGGCCGACTCGGCAGGACAGTGCTGCTCAAACTCGTCATCGGTAGCGCTGTGGGCGGAAAGGAATTCATCCTCCTTGTCGGCAGGTGCGTCTTCACCCACGACAACAGGTTCTGCAGTTGTTGTTTGAAGCGTCCTGACCGCATCCGAGGGATGTGCGTCCAAATCCGTAGACTTGGAGATGTCCTCGGGGTCCTCAATGATCCCCTCAGTGTGCTCGGTGCTAAGACTGGTGTGCGACAGCGCAGTAGGTGATGTTGACTCGCGACTTGACTCTGAGCCCCACGTGTGTCGGGGATGACGTGGAGGGAGTACAGGAGGAACAGGAGGAGTGTGACGTTTGTTGATGGTGACCAATTTGGCTCTGGTGAAAGTCGGTGACACACGACGTGAATCTTCAGTAGAGGCCCTGTCCTCGTTTGGGGTCTCTGGCCGGGTCACCAGTGCGTTCGCAACCTCGTGGACCTCATAATCGTCATCGTCTTCGATAATTGATTCGCCAACCAGATCTGCCGGAATTATGACATCTTCCTGGCTATCCTTTTCTTGCTTCTCTTCCTCTTCCGTCTCCGCTTTCCCTTGACTTGCGCCACCATGGAGGGGTATTGTGTCCCAACCGCCTTTTTCAGTATCCTTTTCATTTGACAGATCCGGAGGAGTTTCGCTGTGAGAGGCAGATACTCTCGAATTTATTGAGGACGCTCGGTCTGCAGACGTGCGCGCTGTTAGCGACACGTCCTCGGTTTGGGTGCCACGGTCCACGCTCGCATAGCTCTGCACACTTGTTCTCCAACTGTTGCGGGGCGAGCTGTCGAGGCTGCGCCGCGCAAATGTGGCGTACAATGGGCTACTGGGATTGGGCCGGAATTCAAAAGCTTCATGACTTGGTCTCACCTTCGAGCCGGCCTCCCTGATGAACATTCCCTCGGCCTCCAACGCCTTAACGCCATAAGGATCCGGGTCATCTTTGTCGGGGACGCTAAACACCTTGTCATCTTGAGAGGAAACCTCGAGATCACCGGGCGTCTGGCCGGGAGGGGGCACCAGACTCTCGTCCACATCTCGGTCGCCTTGAGCCGCTTTGATCGTCTGGATGAGGGTTTTGATTGAGCTGGGTGGGTGACGGACTTTGCCGGCCAGAATATCGGTCACCGAGATGCGTTCACCATAGAACTTTTCGTTTTCGTCGGTTCGCTCAATCATGATCGTTCCATCGATGGCCACACCAGCATAGAGACCTTTACTCTTCATATACGTCCAAATTGGAGCTTGTCGCTTGTGAACTTCCGACTCCAACACTCCGCCCATTCCGACGGGCCCTGCGGCGGCGCTGACCTCGCCTCCGAGAGTGCAACGCAATGTCTTGAATGCCGCGAGGGCCTCGTACGTATTGATCACGAGCACACAGTCATAAATGTCCACGCCGGCGAGGAACCCCACACCTGCTGTGTGCAACATGATCCCGGATGGCGGACTCCATTCTCCAGTTTCCGGTATCCGGCCCAGCAGGACACCACTGCCTCCGGAGCCGCTGACCCAAAGGCCGGTTCTCATTGTTGTGAAAATAGCCAGGCCCTTGGCGTTCTTGATGACAGAAGTGGGAATTTTCTTAATCACTCGTTGCTTTCCTTTCGGGCGGTTGATCTTGCCATTCTCGTCGACCGTTTCCTCAGACTCGGGGGCGTAGAAGCCATCTTTGCAGAAGCTGCGCAGAATGCGAGCAGCCTTGTCACTCTCCTTGTCGATCGACATGGGCCAGAAGGCCTCGGCACCGAGTCTATTTGAGAGACGATTGACCGGGGCACCGAGTTTGTCGACCGTATCCCATGCCTTGTCGAAGCCTTTCTTTGAAAAGCGCTTTGTCTTCTCCCATGCAGACATGACTGGCGCCGAAAGAAGCGATGGGCGGTTTCACAAAACGGAGAGTATCGAACTCCAAGAACGCGCAGTTAGAGCAGGCTGTTGAAGTACACCAAGCAAGTTTGCCGCAATCTATAACCGGAGTACTTGCGCTGGGACAAATTTTCGAGGTGTTGCCGCAAGCAGAAACGACAGACCCGCGAAATACGGCCTCGGCTGGTCTGGAATGTGAGACTGGCGAATGAAGTCGAAGATCGATTAGGCTTTTAAAAAGAATCTGGTGGTTCGGCCGCCGGAAACTGCGCGTGGGGAGGAATGTGACAGGTCGGCTAAGGCTTGCCTTGACAGGCCTGACAGCAGGTTGAAGTGTGAATCTGTCTGCTGATCGTGGTCAGCTCAAAGTTGATTTTCAATCATTAAGTTGCGACTATGCATGGAAACTGGTATTGGCATCGACCTGCAGACGCCGCACTCCCTGCGCCTTTTTTTTTTTCTCTATTCCCATTCATTTGCCAGGCGATCACGATATTGTCAATCGACAACAACCGGCGAGGGAAAAGACGGGAATGTGCATTGCGGATATCGCAGCAACGACCGGAAACTTACCACGATAGTGGAATTTGATCTGCGGTATAAGATCGCAAACTCTATCTGAGTGTCCCTAGAATGGACTGAGGGAGACGTCTGCGAGCGTGAGAATTCAGACTCAATCTAGTGTGAATTGAAGGACTTTGTATTGCGCGGGTGGAAGGTGCGAAGGGCAAGTCCCAAAAACAAAATACCCAAGCGACAGGTAGGAGCCGGAGTGCCGTCTTAAAAGAGAAGCTTGACCATGTTTTCCCTCGCCAGGACGAGCCACGAAAGGCACAGCCGTACGTGTGCCCAATTGACAGAAGAGTATACGGGCGATGACACGGTTTGAACCACCACCGGGTCAGACGGAAATGACGGGAATTGTGCCAATTCGAGCGGCATCGCAGAGTGGCGCCGTGGTTTACCAGCAGGTCGCCAGCGCCGAAACCTTGGCCCATGGAACGCGCGGAGAGACGTCATCATCGACTCTTCGACTGGTCGGCAAAGATCAACATCTGGCCATCTTTCGGACCTTTCGGTTGATTTGAGTTTATAACGTCGGAGGTGCCTCTCTCAAATTAACCTCTGGTTTCTAAGCTATGGTTCTCACTATGGCTATGAACTGGGTGATGTGAAGCGTATGCTCATCTCTCCATCCATATTAATCCGGTCGATGCGAGAAATTGAGATCGGGCGCTCTCCCGCTCTCGATGCTCAGGTACGGGCCCGTCTTCGTGAAACATCTCGCATGCCCAACGTGAAAAGAAGGGTTCAGCTGCCCCTCAGCTGAATTCTAGTCTCGGATGGTCGTCTGGCTGCAGTTCCGCGAATTGCGCCTTGCGACAGATCATAATGGCTTTTCTTTCCCCGCTCGCCCTGCGCCTCGTGGGATTAAGCAGTCGATGAAGAGGAACGAAGCGATCAAAGTCTCCGCTCGTTCAATCAAATCACACGAATGCGACACCTGTGAGCTCAATTATGCATTCAATAGTCTAGAGCTTGTGTCTTGGCTGGCCTTTCAACTCGCCGATTGGTCTACACTCTACAGGCTTCGATATGATTGAAGACGACGGTCCAAGGCAAACAGAGCGATCGAGTCCATAAGACGTAGTGGGGCAGTCGTGGATTTTTCGGAAGGGTAAAGAAAGCCCTTCTTTTCAATCTTGGATGGATCCACCAGGGTCAGGATTTGTGCTGGATCGCAGAAAGATGATGCGCGAGTGCAGCGCAGATTCCGTCATCGAGTGCCTATTTGTTCTTCGTAGTAGCTGCATGCTGCGAGGGACAGTCAATATGTACTGTACCTTCTCTCAGAACGAGGATCACAGAAATCGTGGTTTGGGTCGCAAAAGAATGTTCAGGGGTTCACCTCTGGGTACCTCAGGAAGAGATACTGATCTGCCATGCTGGGACAAAGACATTATTAAAACAACCCAAAAATTGAAACCAGTCGCATATTTCCATTACCCGGTCCATGCACCCGCATTGTAACCAGGAAGAGTTAAATGTCAACATTGGTTGCCAAAAAAAAACTTCAGGTTATAGAGGTATCATTTGCTGCAAGCAAACATTGAATTCAACATTTATGAGCACGGCCCTACCAAGGTAAGATATTTATTGGACTTGGCCCTCAATGTCCACAGACACGAAGATAGATAGCTTTGTTTTTGAGACTTGGAAACACGGTCGGAGACAGGTGAAACTTGATAACACTTCCTTGCTTATTGCATCACCCCGCACACAGAAGGCTTTGGAGCTTTCTGTCTCTGGGGCACAAGCCCGCTACTGCTAAGAATCGCTTTCTACGCTCTGAGGACATATCTCGCTGTACAGTTCACAGGAGAAAAGGTAGGGTTGGCAGGGTCACGTTACAGTCTATATCTGGTAGGTAGGTCTTTTGAAAAGCGTAACTGTTCACTTGCCGCTGTTGCTTGTTCAGATCATATAGGGGGAGATGAGCGGATGCTGACAAATTCAGCTCAACACACAAACGACGGGCAGTAGTATCAACTGGATAAGACAACTTACTCATGTAACCACTTTTTGACGTGCGACTTCATGGAGCAGAAAACCCTTGATGTGTTGTCTGATTTACAAGCCATGGGTCCTTTGACATTTTACGCATTGATCCCATGGCTAGCTCTTCGAGCATTGATTACAGGAATATGTCAGCCTCGTCGACCTAAAGGAAGGTTCGTAGATCGACAGTTTGGTCAGTACTACAGTAGCGTGGAGGGTGGAGGTGAATCCATTGAGTGGCAGCCCTCTTAAGCAGGTTCACAAAGATACTGCCCGAGTCCATTCAGACGTAACAGACTCCGTAACGGGTGCCAATAGAGAAGGATAGGTTCAGAACACACGTGTTAAAGGATATACTTACCGCCTAGGTCAATGTTCAGAAGGACATTCTCTTCATTTTGACGCATATACGTAAAGCTTGTGTGGACCTCCGTGTTCATAGAGAGCGAAGTATATTTGCATTTTGTTCATGAGCCGCCATGTAAAAGCAAATCACGCCAGTGAAAACAGTCATGAATAGGCATCAATTTTCGAAAAGTGGTACAGAATCTAGATCCAGATGGATGATCGATAGATGGTCGATGGTATATGAGAAGGGCATGGGTTAGACAGAAAATAGAAAACACGGATCCTGATCTTAGGAAACAGCCAGAATTGAGACTCCAACGCTTTTATAGCGCACCGAGCTCTTTGAGCTTGGAGACAAGACCGTCGACATCCTCAACTTTGCCGCCGCCAGTGCGCGCCGGGGGTTCTGTAAGTGACAAAAGTTAGCATGTGGACTCATCTCGAGAGCCCAGGATGGTCTATGTTTCCCAATTCTAATAAAAGAAAATATTTTGAACTCACCGGTAACCTTGAGAGTCTTCAGTCGGCGAGTGTCTTCCACTCCGAGGTCCGCCAACGTCTTCTTCTCCAAGGGCTTCTTCTTCGCCTTCATGATATTGGGCAAGCTAGCATAGCGAGGCTCGTTCAAACGCAGATCGGTAGTGATGACAAGGGGCAACTTGGCACGAAGCGTCTCAACACCGCCATCAACTTCGTGGGTGATCTCGACGGTGCCAGCCTCATCCTTCACATCAACCTTGCTCGCTTGCGTGGCCTGGGGCCACCCCAAGAGACCAGCGAGCATTTGACCAGTTTGACCCTGGTCACCATCAATAGCTTGCTTGCCGAGCAATACCAAGTTGATGTTCTCCTTCTCGACAACGGCTTTCAGCATCTTGGCGACGGTCAAGGGCTCGGGGCCTCCATCCGCGGAATCGCCCACATCGATGTGGAATGCCCGGTCGGCGCCCATTGCCATCGCAGTGCGGAGGACATCGGGGGTCTTGGGGCCACCAGCTGACAGAGCGAGAATGTTCTCAACCTTGAGCGGACCCTTGCGCTCGCGTAATCGCACCGCCTCTTCGATGGAGAGCTCGTCGAACGGGTTGAGGGAGTGTTTAACACCGGCGGTCTCGACGCCGGTCTGTGCCTTGTTGATGCGGGGCTTGACCTATTTCGGTTTGAAGACAACAATAATCATGTTAGTTCTGATCAAAAAAGTGGTCTCCAATTACTGCGAGGAAGGAAATGAAGAAGAGGCACGACAATTGCCAGACCCCGGTCTCAGGTCGCCCGCGCGCATGCACAAGATGCAAGTCACACTTACGGCGTAGTCGATCACCCGCTTGACGGGGACCAAGATCCGCAATCCACTGGCCATTGTGTGAGTTTCCTGAGTCGAAATGCAATGCCCGAGTGAAGAGAGTCTGGAATTCTAGGGTAAGATAAGGAAATGAGAGTCCGAGGTTGATGTTGGAGAGGTTCGGAGGAGGAGTGAGAGAGGACTGCGGTGACGGAGTGCCAAGCCTTTTTCGAATCGCCGACGCGGCCCGAGTGTAGCCCTTCCTGCATCCGCTAAACCAGCCGAGGTTAAGCATGAGCATCTTTTGCTGTCTTGATCGGAAAGGTTGATGACTGAATAGACTTGATAAATTTTCTGAACGGATATTAACGACCTTCTTTTAAATTCTGGCCTTAGTGGGTGTACAGCCTCTTGAATGAGACGTTGGCGCCCACTGCTGAGTTACGGCGTCAAGTACCAGAAGCTCGTTACTTGATGCCATGTACCTGTGGCGCACATGGAACTATTCATAATCATTTCAATTGCTTCTAGTAGTCTATCCGACAGGAGAGTGGTGTGTCTGTTTCCTTCCTCTTGGTCCTCACTTTTACCACGTTTCCTGTTTGTAACGCCCACTTTTCTCCATTCCGATCAAGTACTCTTCAGCTTGTGCTCGAGTATATGCTTGGCCTTGCTCCGGCGTACCGCCCTCTGAGAATGCCTCGATAAGTGCCTCTCGCACAGCTTGCGGCATGCGTCCAGATGAGCCACAGATATAAACTGAACCGTTTAAATCGTGCAACATGCGGAAGAACAATGAAAAATGACGTCGAATGGTATCCTGGACATAGCACTTTTGTTGCTGGTCTCGCGAGAAGGCAGTGAGCACCTGCAAAGGAATTACTTTGCTTAGTTGTTCCCACTCGTCTTCGAAGAAAAAGTCTGCAGTGCGATTACGCCCTCCATAGAGAAGAACGGTAGGGCCGACTGGAGGTCTAGCATCCGGGTTTTGCTCCCGGAAGGCTTGAACCAAAGCTGCCTTTTCCCAGAGCAAAGAACGAAGAGGAGCAATACCAGTGCCGGGCCCGATGAGAACTGTCGCAGCAGTAAGCTGCCGTACAGATGAATTGAGACCTCCGGGCTGCAGTTGAACGCGGAGAGTACTCCCAGGCTGCAGACCTGAGAGGTACCTGGTGCAGACGCCCTCCCGGATTCGTTTGATAACAGTCTGATACTTCACGATTGCAACCAGAAGTTCAAACTGCGTCTTGCCATCCTCCGTTCTCTTACGATCCCCGCCGCTCGCGATACTGAATTGTCTGGCTCGAATGATGGGAAGCACAGACACTGCATGCTGCCACGGAATCTTGACTGAATCAAACTCGTGGAGAACTTCGAGAATGCTGCGCCGAGGCCGGCTCGTGTAGTCCCATAATTCATCAATATACTCCGGATTAGTGAACTCGAGTAGTCTCTCCTTTTGCATGCTATCGTCCGTGTAATGCGCGATCGAGGAGAAGAAGGACCGTCTGGGGATTGCTTTGATGTCAAGGTAGTCTTCGAGAAGCGAACGAAGCGTGAGATTTGGGTAAGCCTCCAAGCCCGGTATAGGCGACGGGCCTAGAGCAGTATCTGTCGGGACAAGGGTGACAGCTTGATCGGCTTGCTGGTTCCATTCCATCAAGTCGATGAAAGTTTGAACATCTGCGGGTGAAGTTTTGGGTGTGATGGCGATCATGTCACCCGGTGCGTATTCGACTAATTCCGGCACAGTCAAGCATATACGGCGGACATCTTGCCAATGCTTTCGTGGTGTCATTCGCTGGTTTTCAGACAATGTTGCGGTCATCGTTCCAGGAAGGGGACGAAGATCATGGTCCACAAATGAGCTAGTTGATTGAGGCATGCTTGCTGGACCTTGGGGATCTGCAGTCTGGAAAGACTCAAAGTCTGCCTTGGCCTGTAGGATCCATTTGGGACGCAATTGCTCTTCATCGGGGATGGGATGTTGGCCGGAAGGCAAAGGATGCCTTTCCATCAAATGTTTCTTAAAGCCTGTCATCCATGGCAGGAACGTGGCCTCGAGGCTGGTAAATTTCGAGTTTCAGCGATTGCCCCTGGCCTACAATGTTGGAAAAGATAAAACTTACCCTTCAGGGTGTTGCTGGTCTGCTTCTCCAGTCGGGTAAATGTCGTTTGCTCCTAGTTGGAGGAGCCGCTTATAGAGCTTCCGAGCTGCCCAATTAAACCTGAGAATAGCAACACATCAGAAGGCGTTTGACGAAAGCTTTGGATTGAATTGTAGGCAATACTTGGGATACGAAGTATCTCCTAAACCAAATACCGCAAAGTCGACGCCTTTCAGAAAGGTTGGTGGGAGCTTCTTTAGCAGGAGTGACTTCCAGAACGCTCTCGCATTGGCTGGTAAATCGCCTTGTCCAGTTGTTGAGACTACAAGGATGGTGAAAGTATAGGATGAGAGTGCTTCCTTGAGTTCAAGAGGTTAGTTCAGGTGAAGAAATTGCTTCAAACAGTCGACATTGCCTATCCTATCGTACTTACAGGCCTAGCTTGGTTCATCTCTGATATATGCGTCGCGAACCGGAGCCGCTCAGTCATAGCACCCAACTCCTCTGCCGCTTCCTGCGCATTGCCAGTCTCGGTGCCATACAGAATCAGTACCGATCGTGAGCTCTCGGTATTTTGCACGTTCATGTTGAAGACGAACTGGATTCCAAATGCGATCGCAGTTGCGTGTGTCTCAAATCCCTAGTCACCTCGTTCTCTCGAGTCTCGACTTTCCAAATTTAGCCGTGCGGCCGACTTCGCTGGCTGACGTCATCAACCACTGCCCAGTGCCCAGGGCCAGCCGAGGCTCCTACATTGAAATATAATTACCCTCCAGCTTGCGCAGTGTCTAAATCTTTTTAATGTACTGACATAGACGAATGGGTCGAATACGTCTAGATTATCAGAATGAATAGAAAAATTTTAGCTCTGCATATAAAAAAGGTATGGGAAGAGCATCGACTTAACTGCGAAAAGTCATAGACCAGTGACTCATGTAATATTTACAGATGTGCTAGGCACAGAGCCGATCGACCCTGCTGCGGAATCGAGGTCATGAAACATCCATGCAGGTGGAGAGGAACGAGCGCTCGGATATTTGCAAAGGAGACGTTACGTTGCACTGCGTATTAAGAATAGAATGATATCGTAAACCTTCGATAACGCCGGCGCACCAAATGCGCTGCAAAGTGCGGAGTTCCACAAATTGCCAGAGCAGTTCGCATGAATTTGACTGACAATGGCAAAGGAAGATTCCAAAGAAATATGTAATAGAGAATGTCGAGAAAAAGAAGGGTATCTCAAGTTCATGCATCAGTAGGTATCCTCATCGCCGCCACCGCCACCATCACCAAAGCCGTCGTCGCCGTACTCGTCATCACCACCGTCAAAGTACTGTTCTGCGTTGTAGTCACCACCCATGTCATCATCGTCGTCTTCGAAATCGTCGTCCACAATTTCCTCCTCCGCGTCCTCGTCGCCGTCCAATAACTCGCCCTCATTTGCATCTCCTTCGGCATCGTCCCCATCTGCCCCTGTCGCGCGACGCTTGGCCGACTCATCTTCTTCGTCTTCATCGTCTTCGAAGCCGCGCTTCAATCCCGATAGGACAGTCTGTGCGTTGTATCCGTCAATGGAGGCATTGGGACGGAAATTGGGCATGATGGTCTGCCACAGCTCGCGGGGGAAGAATCGCGTTTCTAGGAAGATCAGAAAAAGGTCAATCAGTGAATGCACACACGCGAAGACCGGAAGGAACCTCCATTACCATAATCACGGCCAATGTTTGCAATCTTCGGGATTGTCCTTCTCTTTTTCTGATATCGACCCGAATATGACGGCATGCCGTGAAAAGGATCGAAGTTTGCGCGTGCTGCGCTGCCCTTCTTGGCGGTGGAAGAGGAGACATCGAGGACAGAGTAATAAGGGCCCTCATGGAACCTTTCGCGCAGGTGCCGGTAGTAGTCTACTTCCTTCTGCTCCTTCTCCGAGAGCTTACGCGCGTAGGGAAGAACATATGTCTAGATGGCAATTCCGACGTTAGAAACCACTTCAGAGGACAACAGGCATCAGTGAAGACCAGTTTATCATCATACCGGATATAGAGGAGTAGGAGCAGTGTCCGGCACGCCCCCGGGATCTGCGTCCCACGTAAATTCGGCGCCAGGCGCACGGTTTCCCTTCTTAGCTCCAAAACGCGACATTGTGAGATGAATTTCGTGGGCTTTAGGGATAAGGTGCAACTGCCGATAAAGCCCCAGCGTTAAAGCGCCATAATCGGACCGACATTCGACTGTGAGCTACAGGCAGTTGCGTCCAAAAAAAATAACGTCTTCGGCTTTCACCGCCTGTGTGACCGACCAGTCGTTCGGGGCAGAATCGGGCCTTTTCTAACCCCGCGCTAAGATAAGATACGGCGATGATCAATCAGTTATACTAAACGAAGGATGATCGAGGGGGCGAAATTGAAATAGGTCGTCATAGCAATCCCTTATGGAAGTAGATTTGTGTCATCCTTACACATTTTATCTCGGGGGTGGAAGTGCGGTATCATGCTCTTAATTTCTTCGTTTGCGACACATCTCGTACTACTTCTTGTAGGAATGCCACAGCGGACTCATTGACATGTGATAGCTGCATAAAGAGAAAAAGCGACATTTTATCCCAGAAATGGGTTTTTTTGCTTAGAACCACAGCCACCAACGTCGCCCTGTATCAGCGCTAGAGTCCCACTGCCTCGACCTGGGCCGTATTGGATTGTATGGGGCCCGCAGGACCATCATTGACCCTTTGGCGCAGAGTTCGCAAAATATCCTCAAAGCCTTCCATTTGCCCACCAGTCTCACGCAGTCGATTGTACAAAGCGACAAGGACCTCGTGTTTTGCTGTGGCTACCTTCCATACGGCGTGCTCCGCGTCGCCGGCTCCACCTCCGACAAACTCGGCGTAGGTCCGTGGAGGTTTGAAAAGATAAGGCAGAAGTGTCGTTAGCGCAGGCGGAGTCAAAACAGCCCAGGGTCCGGATAGGGGGAGGAGTCCACTAGACGCAGGCGACAACTGACCCAGTCCCTCTTCAGACGGTAGTTGGAATCGAGAGGTGCCGTTTCCCGCATGGGATGCGGGAGGCAGTGGCTGCCAATTGGCAAGCACAATAGCGTTCATGAAGGCGATCGCAGACAAGGCAACATCCTTCATTGCCAGGATGTCCGCTGCAGAGACAATGTCGGTCCAGAATCCGGGGTTATGGTTCAGATACATGAAGTAAAGCATGCGAGCAGCAGCAGCTTCACGTTGCCAGTCTGTGGGAGTCTGGCCCGATGCGTTCAAATCCATTGCATCTGGCATCTCGGTCCGCGCTGGCCCATGAAGTATTTTTCCAAGTACGTCAAGTGCAGTACTATTCGCAGGCGAAGTAGGAATACGCAGCAATGGGTTGGAGCCATGCTTCCCTGCCTCAATGAGCAATATCCGAGGAAGGGAGGATAGGACGCGCAGGTGTCCGATCGGGGCCTCGCCGTGGGCCCACTGTGCCGAAGGGATGGCGAGCGCCCGGTTGATGCGCGCAATTATGCCGTCAAGTAATGTTGACGGATTCGTGAGAATATGGTTCGGGTACAGTTCGGCGTATCTGGACACATAAGCCATGGTCGGACCAGATAGATAAATGAGATCCACAGGATCAAGCTTCGCATCGTCAAGGTAATATCCGAGAACCTTCATGTGTACACCCGCTGCAATCAGAAAGTCAAGGGCTGGCGAAGAGAACGTGGAATGGGATTGCACGGCGCTCCGAGCCACGAGGCCGGGCGCGTCAATAGCAAGCAAGTCTTTGTAAAAGTCCAAGAGAGTCATGTGCATGAGCACATCACTCTGGTCCACCATTTGGCTTACTGCAAATTGCAGGACACTTGAGCACTCGTATTTTGTTTCGATATCAGGAATCTGGGATTTTGAGATCATATCCCAGTGTAAGCGACCCGCCTTAACAAGGAAGCCCATCAGCCTTCCTTGCGCCACGGTTCGCTCGCGGTTTGTCAAGCTTCCTGGCGCATCACGCTTCAGACTGCAGAATCCAAATAGTGACCCATACACATCCTTATCCATGAAGACTCTCCTCCACATCAGACCTTGGCCTGGGTGTGCATCATCACCACTGCGGTTATGTTCATCCTGCTCAAGTGGGCTGGCGGAATCAACTTCCAACAAGGACCAGAGAACTTCGAGTGCCGCCTGCGCGACCGCTGTTGATGGCGTTGAGAGCCAGAGCTGAGTTAGGGCACTAACGAGCTCTGAGTCTCCAGCCACTATCGCAGCATCGCTAGGTGTCTGTCCAGCCTTGGCAAGTAATGATAGCGCAAGTAAGTTAATGGGTTCTGACGGGGCTTGAAAGCCAGCAACAAGGTTGTTTGTCGGCTGTAGGGCACATATGTCCACGTAGCTCAAAGAGCTGCACGCAGCTGTTGCAAGAGTCGTCAGAGGGGTGGGATCTTCTTGGATGACGGGTAACAGGCTCGAGACCTGCGATAAGATCGTAGCGGGGACCTCGGGATCGGCGTCGTTGATCAATTGAAGCTTCAGTCGAGCTATCAAGCCGATGTCCAAGGGTGTTGCTGGGTTCGCCTGAACTTCAGCAAGGTGAGTCCTGACGGCATTGAAAGTGGAAGGAATAGCCATCGTACGAGACTGCAAAGTAGCTGCTGTCAGCTCGAAGGCTATTGAAGCTTGGAGAAAGTTTATAAGCGGGGATAAGGCACGGATAAATGAGCTGTCCCCACCTGATTAAGCTAGACCGCTTTTGGCTTTCAGCAACAACGGGCCAGCATGATCTCGAGAGATATCAAAACCCAACCGCAAGCTGATTCCGATCAATCGTCAGTTGATGTCATGGTGCGTATATACGATGTAGATGAGTCTGGTAGGAATGAAGAATTCACTAAGGGTAGTGCGCCATGGCGAACTTGTGATAGTAGTACGTAAATCAGTAGCTGTAGTTTTGAATGAGCATCGTATTAGCCGCCTGAGGCACGCTCTCCCCCGCTCAAGCGCTCCAATAGCTCTCCAATCATCCATGACCGCATCGTACCTGTTGCGTTTGGAAACTTTACTCCACGATTCCAGTATATGCAAAAGACACCGGTACAATGAGCCTTACACGTTCGCTTATCTCGTCGAGGCCCTCCGATTCGGGTCTCCATATTCAACTTCACCCACTGGTCCTCCTCACAATCTCCGATCAGATTACCCGCCATGCAGCACGACAACAACAGGGTCTGCTCATCGGAGCTCTTCTCGGTCAACACAATGGACAAGAGATCTCTATTGAGCATGTTTTCGAATGTCCGGTCACCATGGGGGAGAATGGAGCGGCCATTCTCCCTTCCTCATGGTTCGAGGAGCGGCTGAAGCAGTGTACGTCCCAGCATCTTTCTCAAAGACCGCGCACTCAGATTCCCCGCGAGGCGGTCGCTTGAACTGACAATCCTCACAGTCAAAGATGTTCACAAAGATCCTGCGCTCGAGCTGGTGGGATGGTGGTCAACGACGAGCTCCTCCGGACCTGACCACTCCTTGCTGCCCATTCACCGACAGATCCTCCAGAATTACAATGACTCGGCTATCTTCCTCGCTTTCCACCCCTCAGAGATTCAGTCGAATACACATTCTACAAAACTGCCCTTGACGGTCTATGAGACCGTACTGGAGGGGGATAATGTACCTGATGCAGCAAAGGATATGCAAGTGGATGGAGAGGAGTTCGGCCCCAACATCCGATTCCGCGAGCTACCATATTCTGTGGAGACTGAGGAGGCTGAGATGATCGGTGTGGACACTATTGCTCAGACTGCAGGCACTGCCTCTCGAAGCGAAATGCCCAGTGATGTTGGAAATTCGAGTGCTAGTAATAATGCCCCGACAGACGAGACTAAGAAAAGCTCTCAGGCCGAGTTAACGCAAGAAGAAGAGGAACGTATGTGCCCATATTAACGTTGCATCGTGATCATATGGCGATAATAACGAAGCTGACCCGCTTTTTTATATCAGTGGTCGCAAGCCTTCAAACGCGTCTCAACGCGGTTCGCACACTCGAATCGCGCATCTCCCTCATCAAGTCCTACATCTCCAGCGTTTCCGTCGTCGATTCTACCACAATAGCAGGAACCGACTCAAACAGCCCAAAACTCTCACATCCTCTCCTCCGCAACATCAACTCCCTTATCTCACATCTCTCGATTCTCTCCCCCAGCGATCAAAGCAATTTCTCCACCGAGATTCTTTCCCAAAACAACGACGTGAAGCTGGTCTCCTTGCTCGGTGAGCTGGGCGAGAGTGTTCGAGCCATGCGTGAACTCGGTCGTAAGTCAGCGACTGTGCAAACGGGGCGTCAACTTGGCAATTCACGCAAGCAACCAAATGATGCGGCCTCGAGGAGTTTCGAAGATGAATTCCTTGCTCGCGGGCCCCGGCAGGGCGGAGAGCGCGGGACTATGTACTCTTAGAGGCGGTCTCTAAGATGCTTCTCACAGTGCCCAGGTCCACCATCTTAGGTGATGCAGAGTCTAGGGGCGTGGTATTGAATTTGGCCACGCTTCGGCAGTTGTGTCACCGATTATTAACGAATGGGTAAATGAATTTAAACTTCGTCTTTTGCCCAAAAGTACCTTTTCCCTTTTTAGATGTACACGTAGACCCCTTTGGGAAGATACGTCAGTGACATGTGTTCAAATCGAGGTATGAAATAATGGTAACTAAAAAAAAAAATAACAACGCGGAAAACGCCTAGAGTACAAGTGGGAAACGCCTGAGGAGGCCGCGAAGGCAAACACTGATGTCTCAACAGTCAACATGGTATCAGAATTGGAAGAAACTTGGGTATTCATTTCGACACAAAATTCAACGTACGACAATGACCAGAAAAGAGGCGCAAAGCAAGACAAGGGCATTTCACTGAAGACAGGGCCAGCCGAGGAGGGATACGTGCCATCATGAGGGGAAGGAGACCAGCCATCCTCGATCATCAGATGCTAATGCAATGGGGGAGTCATTAAATCGACAAGACAGCCCAACCTGGAGAGTGGTGTCCACCGAATCATCCACATCATGGATGATGATCTCTCTCGGGGTATGGCGGTGGAGGGTGTGTATCCGGTATAGGCATTGGCACTTGCTCTGTTAGAGGACCGCCCGTCGGGTAAGGTCGAGCATCTGGCTGGTATGCATGATAAGCCGTGTTCTGATGCTCGATATTTTCGTACGGAGAAGCCCCTTCGCGGCCATGGAAGCGACCAGACTGGCCCTGGGAATAGTCATCACTGTCGTCCTCCCAGGGCGAGGGCTCAAGGTGTGAGGTAGAGGGGTTCGACTGCGCGTGAGACAGAAGAACCTCCCCTTCCTCGTCCGATGGATACCGCTTTGTCCGTCCTGCGGGCGTGCCCGCGCCTCCGTATGCGGTGCTCTGTGTCCCGAGCACCGGCTGGGACGGTTGCAAGCCGATAGTCGCCGTATGGGGCTTGTAACTGGGATCCAGCATGCGGTTCTTGCGGCCGACGGCTAACCAACGGAAACTACGTCCAACGGCCTTGAGCAGATCCAGCGGATTCATCGCGTCGGCAAGGCCGCCAAAGCCAAATCTGCCCCCTTGATATGTGGGCTTGCCATTGCCGAAGAAGTCAGTCACCTCAGACGTCTCGGGTCTGATGACATAGGGTTTCCAGGAAAAGGCCCAAAGATGAAGCACGGAGAAAATCGACATCTCGATCAAGATCAGCAACTCTGGGAGACCGTACTTCAGATCCACCGTGGCCACCGTTTTGCTCTCGTTGATTGCCCCCAGAGAGACCAGCAGATTGATGATGATTAATTGCCAGAACGACAGGAAAATGACCAATTTGACGGACAGGATCTTCAAAAATGGGCTATGCTCGGAGATGTCCTCTTTGAGTTGCACGTAGAACTGAATCAGGCAGTACATCGCAATCGAGACGCTGATTGACTCAACAACAATTGTCTATCATCCCGAAGGTTCTTCGTTAGCTGTCTGTTTCTGGCCTTTGACAGCACCAACGATTCTGAGACATACCCAAACGTGTGCGAAGGCCGGGCTCAAGGACTCTTCGCAGTAGCGACCCGTCGCTTGCGTGACAACGGCAAGGATCGTCATCAGCACTCGAATCAAGCAATATTGGAAGACACCGGCCCAAATGACCTGCAAAGGACGAACTGTCAGCCTGAGCCTGGCCATCTGCCAAGCATCACATGTACACAAACACCGAGGGATTTACATTGAACCAAGTCAACCCACTGCGTGGTGTGCGCCACACTCCGCGATGGCCACAGCAGCACTTCCATTTCTGAAACCAGCTTAGCGGCCAGAGCCAGTCCTTAGGCCGAATCCCACGAAAGTATTCCTTTTGGCTGTGTAGATCGGGCGCGATGTAATGGCACATAAGCGAGAAGAAGGCAGCGATACAGAACGCTTCGTAGCAGTTGCCAATCACTTCGAAATATACGGAGTCGTTGTAGAAGAGGATGCTGAGCCAGGCGACGACAGAGTAGACCGGAACCATAAAAAGGATGCGAATCATGCTGACGGAAACAACATAGTGTCAGTACTCTTAGGAATTCTCTCTTTTCATGCACCTCGGAGTTGCTCCGTCCATTCCTCAAAGTCGTTCCTTCATCTCGAGAAAGCAGGACGCCACACTCACTGCCTTTGTTCGATAGGTTTGCTATAATGCGTCGCATGGCTCATAATCAAAAAGATTGAAACAACGCATGCAAATAAACCACATGCCCCGCCCACGATCAGACTAAGCTGATGAAATGTGACACCGCCATCCCAAAGAACCTCTTCTTCGACTGTTGATGCCCCCAAAAGTCAGCTTTCAATCGATCGGCGAAAAGCATGTGACGGCGCGTACAGGCCGAAGGGGGGGGGGGGGGGGGGCTTCAAGGGAGGGACGCACTCGTTCGATGCTCTTCGGTAGTATTACACACCGTCCAGCCCATCTTGGCCGGGATAATGAGCGTGTGAATCGACTCGATCAGACGGACCTCGTAGGCTTGGAGAAAGGAAAGGGGGCAGCCGAAGGGCGGAGACAATGTGCTCGTTGTGAACGTCTTCGGCTTTAATTTTAATTCCTCGCCCTGCGGGTTGCGGGTTGCGGGTCTCCCTCCGCTATATGTCCAGCACGTACTACGTGGTACGTACTCTTTTTGTTCGTGGCGCGCGGTCGCCGACAGGAATGCTACTCGCGGGGAATCAGAACGTGTCAGAATGGACACGACGAAACCAAGAATTTTAATGTGGCGGGAGGGTATGGATTTGGAATTAGGAAAGTGTAAAGTGTAAAGTGTAAAGTGTAAAGTGTAAAATGTAATGTTCTCATCTATGTACCTCTCCCAAGTTCCCAACAATCACTTCACGTAAGCGTGTCGATCCTCATTTGGGACCTGAAGGCGCAGGAACTAGGAAGACGCGCAGGACATAAACACCCAACCCGTGGGAGCAGTCACCAAAAAAAGATCCACGAAGGCTTAGGGGGCGCAGACGTGGCTCATGGAAAAGTTGCGGGTTCCTGGCCGAAACTCTTGGTGTTTCTTGGTCGGATCCAAGCTTTGTGCTTGTCCTGAAAGCTCTACAATACCCATTGCCCAGTGGCTTGGCTTACACAGACTGCCTTGCATTCGATGCCATTCATGTTACGGAGTTGAACATGCACATATTAAGTGTTATATCTTAAAGATGCAGATGCTGTCAGTACTCAGTACTTATGTACAATTGTACATGGTACTACATGGTCGAGTACTGTTTCCCACTCTTCCTAGGCAGGCTCGGCAGAAAGGGACAAGACTTTATCCTCGTATCTCCCAGTGCTCTTCGTACCCAGATCTTCTTTTGGTTGTATCCATACATACAATGCGTCACGCATATATACTACATGTTTCTATGACACAACAGGCATATGGGATAGTGCTTTTGATTCGAGAAGCATCATTCAGCTGACCACAAAAAGCCTTCCCAAGCGCTTGCATTTCTTCTGGGAGGAAATAAGATAAGCCCCAACCCATGAATTCAAAATTCCCGCCATGCATTCGCCTGAATCATCGCCAACCGCCGCCTCCACCGCGCCGGCCCCCTGGGCCTCCACCTCGGCCTCGGCGCTGAGCCCCCGGTCCATATTCCGGACCAACATCCACAAATTGATCCTGCTGTTCAAAAGTGATGCGGCGCATCTCATCGCCGCCCTCGCGGCGAGTTGGCCCTTTCCGAATTAGCTCATCAAATTGGTCCAACCTTTTGTCGGCCACCTCGCGAGGAACACGAAGATAGTAAAGCTTGGGTTTTGTCGTAGTCGACTGGAAGAGCTCGTCTAGGGGCTTGAAGCCTTGTGCCGCTCGTGCTGGCGCGGCGGCAGCCGCTACAGTACGGGAAGGTCGCCGCTCGGATTGAGTCAGAGCGGCACGCGGACCAGAAGGGGGAGCTCGGGCAAACCCAAGTTCCTGTGCTCGTGCTGCATTCATACGTGCATTGGACGATGACCCCGCCTCAACCAAACTTGCGATAGCGCCGTCCTTATTTGCTTCGTAACGAACTTCCCAGCGCGGAGCTGGTCCAGCGCGATCGCGTGCTGCCTCTTCAATTTGAATCCAGTCGGAGATCTGCTCATCGGGAGCAAAATCAACCCACAGACCTTTGCGATTGCGCTCATTCGGCCACACTATACCGTGTAGTGCATTCCGAACACGTGAGGCAGCCGCGATATCTACAAACTGAACAAAGCAGTGTGTTTTGATCGGGTCCAGCCAGAACAACTGGATGATATCAGGGTTATCGGCTTGCTCGGGCATAGATGCCAGACGGACAAGATGATATCGAAGGCTGTTCGGTTGCAAAGGGCGCATGAGCCCATCGATGTAGAGAGAGCGAGTAGCAGGGTGGATGGCAGGTTCCGCGGGCGCGTCTGTCATTTCAACATCTCCTGTGGGAGAAGCAGCCTGAGCGGGCGAGGGGCGCGCAGCCTCGGCTGCGAATAGGCCCCGGAACCGAGCATCCTGCTTGGGTGGAGCTGGGGGATCTTCATGTGTGATGTTCTCTTGAGGCAGCTTGCTTTGCACGACCTCTTTAGGATCTGCTCCGATGGGCAGATCGTCTTTGAGAATCACCCGTGGGCTTTCTTCCTCTGCTCGGACTTTCTTCTGTGCAATGGCTTCGGGCGTTGGTAGCGGGCTTTGGCTCCGACGCTTCCGCTTTCGCTTATCTTCTAGAAGCTCTTCAACTGGTAGCGGCGTAGACAAGCCAGTGTTCTCCCCGGATGTAAGGATAGTTGATGGAGCGATTTCAGTCGAGGCAGCTGGTTCTTTGGTCGCCTGCTCGAGTTCAGGCGGAGTGGTCTGTTCGGTATGGGGAGCGGTGGGTTGATCGGACTCTGGTTGAGGTGATTCGTGCTGCGCAAGTGTCTCGGCTGCCGCATGACCCAGGGTACTCGAAACTTCAGGTGTGGTTGCTGGTTCTCTGGTTGCCTGCTCGATTTCAGGTGCGGTGGTGTGATCCGTGACGGTAGCGGGATGTTCGGCGGACTCTAAGTGGGATGAATTTTGATGCGCAGTTTCCTCAGCTGCTGAGACAGTTGGAGTATTCGAGTTTTCATGGGAGCTCAGCGCAGCTTCAGACTTATGAGGCTTGCTCGGTTCAGTGACTGCCTCATTCTCAGAGACTGGAGCTGGCTGCGTAGGTGTAGATGTCTGTTGAGGTTGTACGGGCTTCTGTGCGGAGGACTCTTTCTGTGTCTCAGAAGCTTCGATGTCTTGTGTGATCGCGGCCTCGTGAACTTGTTCTGTGGGCACAGAGTCGGCAGGAGCGACAGCTGCGTCCGTCGTTTGCGCTTTGGCGTCTTCCTCGGAGAGCTTGTCGATGAATTGCTGTTTGAGACGGAGGCCAGTCTGTGGGATACCACGTCTCTTAAGCTCTGCCTTGAGGTCCGCGACCTTCCATGAAGAGTAATCTGCCATTGTATTGGATCATTGAATGTTGTTGACGGAGAAGGAAACAGAAGCTCGGAGATGGAAACTTTGCGGGAAAGGGAAATCTGGGGACGCGCTCAATTGCGCGCGCCAATGATGTAGGAGCGTAACCGGATCTGGACTAGCCTCGTCGGTCTACATATGGCTGAGCCTAACCTCCATTTGCAATGCAGAAGTCCCGCCAGTAGTAGATACTAGGCGGAGATTCACTTGCATTAGAACATCTATAATCTGAAGAAGTTTTACAATGAGATTTTCCGAGATTACGTCCTCAACTTATGAAAATCAAGTGAGATCATGACAGAAGGCCACGTCGAAGGAACCGTCACTGAGGATTTTGTAGTGCTTGAACAGTGGTCTGCTTCGAGGAGGGAGTCAAGGTACAGGTGACTCTTGAGTCAAGTGATCTCTGTCAATGGCAATGACCACAACCGAGAGAGAATGTCTGTACATACGGTCACATCAATATCTCCAAGCTACACCTACACTCTTCGATATCGCAAATGCTGGCTTCTGTGCTTTGAAAGCTGAAGAGCAAGGGTCGTCATGGCTCGCGCCCTTGAACATGGTTGCAACTATTTTGTCTGGGCGCCTGGGCTACCAGGCCAGGGAGTGGGAACTCGGGGGAGTACTCAAGGAATTTGCAGGATGATATTTGTATTTGTAATAACAGGACCACGGACAACCGTGTTCCATGATGAGTATAAACACAGCGCGGACATATGGATGAGATTTCGAATACCAGGAGTGGCTGCGGGTTGATCCAATACATTCTACGAGCAATGGCACAGACACTATTTTTCACAATGGAAGCGGCGGCTCCCTCGAGGGGCTTTTTGTCATTCAAGACTATTTCTGTGGACCGCCTCGCCATCAAGACCTTAATCCTTTTGAACGCCCTAGAGCACATGGCCTGATTTGGGTATGAGGAGAATAGCCAGCCAGCCTGACATCATAAGTCATGACTTTTTTTAGAAGAAAACATAACACGTAGTGTCACATTTAAGCCTCACGGCTCAGGATGTCGGAGTCACCGGCATCGAGAACAGCCATAGTAGAGCAACGGAAGAGCTTACCGCAAGCGGTACCGAGCTCAATCTGTATGGAGGTAAAAGAAAAACGTTAGTGCTACAGTTCGGCTCTCCGGGATTTCCTCGGGAGGAAATCCCATCGCTGAGCAACTTCACTCTCCGAAGCGGACTTGGCCAGCTTCTTCTCAGAGTAGTGGAGCTGGCTAGCAGCTGCAACGGCTTTTTTTGACCATTGACTTAGTGAGGGGGTTCACGTACGTTGTTACCGTTGAAGTGGTGGACAGGGACCTTGGCGAGCATGGCGTAGTACTCAAGCTCGGACTTGCGCAGAGGAGGGCAGTTACCCGCGATGAGAACCAGCTTGGCCTTGCCGGAGCGGAGGGTCTTCATGGTGGACTTGGAACCCATGGTGACTATAGAAATGTCAATTTTTCAATTCGACGCTGAAGACGCAGAAATAGAAAGTTGGGATTGTGAAAAACTCACCCTTGCCGGACTTCATGACGAGGGCCAGGCGGGAGGCGAGGGTGTCACCGGACTTCTTGGTCTTGGCCATTGTGAATGATTTTGGGGGGTTTGGAGGATTAAGGTGAGGTGTTGTCGTTGGCGTTAAAGATCAGGAAGGAAATGGTGGAGGAATTTTCGACAAAATTGTTTGTGGGTTCCGAGATTCCAGGGCACGTGATGGTGAGTGCCGACATGGTCTTAGTCATCATGCATGTGACATCTCCAGCCTTAGTCACCTTATCAGTAGGCGCCAGGCGGGGAGTGATCTCGTCATTTTGCCGGGATCGCGCTGATTGGGGAAGAGCGGGGTACCTGACTCATTGATACTAGTAGTGACTATTGATCGCTGCAGAAGGGTGAAAGTATAATTATTGACCGTCTCGTTCGCCCCTCCACTGATTTCACTTTTCTCTTCCAGCTCATCTTTCTTTTTCATCATCACCCACCTGGCTCAACCGATTCATTATGGTTGCTGAAATAAGTAGTCCTGCTACAACATTCCGTCAGTATCCCCACCCTTGTATCCTCCGCAATGTTCCTCTGTTCCTTGAATGGCTACTAAATCCCGTAGAGAGAGTCGACTCTCAACCGGAGAATCCCTACGCTGCATTGATTGAGGACCAGTCCATTGCAATCGTCCCGCACTTCACACTTGAGTCCGGTGTCACATTACACAATGTGCCGGTCGCTTACACCACACGTGGTGTTCTTTCCCCCAATGGTGACAATGTGCTGGTGATTTGCCATGCTCTCAGCGGCAGCGCCGATGTCGCTGACTGGTGGGGTCCGCTTTTGGGAGGACCCGGCCAGGCCTTTGATGTATCTCGATTCTTTGTGGTCTGCTTGAACAGTCTCGGCAGTCCCTATGGCAGTGCGAGTGCCGTCACCTACAAAGATGGAAAGTCTGAGAATGGCTACTATGGGCCTGAATTTCCTCTCACCACCGTTCGGGATGACGTGAATCTTCACAAGCTGATCTTAGACGATCTCGGTGTCAAACAGATCGCTGCCGTGGTTGGTGGGTCAATGGGGGGTATGCTCACTTTAGAATGGTCTTTCTTCGGCAAGAACTATGTTCGCGCTATTGTCCCGATCGCAACCTCTGCTCGTCATTCAGCCTGGTGCATCAGCTGGGGCGAAGCGCAAAGGCAGAGCATTTACAGTGATCCCAAGTATGACGACGGTTACTACCCCTTTAACGACCCGCCAGCGACCGGTCTCGGCGCAGCTCGCATGTCCGCGCTACTTACCTATCGAAGCCGGAATTCATTCGAGTCGCGATTTGGACGCAACGTTCCCGACCCAACAAGACGCCAGAATATCAACGGCAAAGACCGGCTGCCCAGTCCGCCAAATGAGCACTGGGCCATCCACAACGATGGCCACCGCGGTGGAACCACCTCTCGCTCGGAGAGTCGACAACAATCGCCTGGGCCTCAAAGCGACGTTCAGTACATGGATCCACAGTTCTCGGGCACAAAGACATTCTCAGCCCCCTTGCCGACTAAGCCTGACGGCCGCCCGCGTCCGCCGACATACTTCTCTGCACAATCGTACCTTCGCTATCAGGGTGACAAATTTGTGAAGCGATTCGATGCGAATTGCTACATTGCGATGACTCGCAAGCTTGATACTCATGACGTGTCTCGGCATCGTGCCAATCCCGATGCAGAGGATCCGGTGCGAGAAGCTCTCTCTCAAATTGAACAGCCCGCTCTTGTCATCGGCATCGAATCTGATGGCCTATTCACATTTGCTGAGCAGCAAGAGATTGCCGCGGGTATCCCTGATTCTCGCTTAGAACGCATTGATAGTCCTGAAGGTCACGATGCCTTTTTGCTTCAGTTCGAGCAGGTCAATCGTCACATTGTGGCTTTCTTCCATGAAGTCCTTCCTGACATCATGAGTCAATCCAATGTCGACGGTGCCGCTGCCGTTGCCAGTGTCACCAAAATGACGAAGAGCAGCACCTTTGGTGAGGCCGAGGTGGAGGACATTACCGCGTGGTAAAGGTCCACACTCCACACTCATCCACATGGCGCAGTCACTTGCAGCCACCTCCCATGATCCTGTTCCAGACAGACGGAACCCCCTTTGATGGAGGCCGTTTCGTTACCATACGAGATGTGCTTCGCATACGGCCGTCCAGTGGGCAGGTACCATGTGATGTACCAGGGGGAAGTTGAGGTTGCCGATCCTTTAATCGTTTCGCTAGCCAGGGAGTTGAGCATTTAACTGCCTCTCTCTCCGGAGTCTCATTGGGTGTCGTGTAGTGATTATCTTACTGTCACACCTAGTTGGGAAGATTGCCAAAGAAGCATCCAACTGCTCTCCATCTGACCTGCCCTCGGGTGGATGTTTCACGTGCAGACAGCCGCCTGAGGGTTCCGATGGGACTAGACGAAGAGTCCATGACTTTTTGCATTCTCTTATTTTCGGGTTGGTCTTTCAACAGGCGCGTATCGCCTATTCATTTCTAGAATGAGGCTAGACCCCTTTCCTCTAGATCAAACAATTATTTCAAGGGTTTTCACGTTGCTCCTCAATTCAACTATCACCAGACTGGCGCAGGATATGTAGAAGATGCTCGTCATATCTCGACTACTTGCGCACTGTAAGGAGATTCTGTGATGCGAGTCGAGACAGCAAACTGCTGTAGTCGTCACTCTAGTGAGTCTATCGTCTATACTCTGATCAATAAGTCATCCCATCCGAGGAACTCGGTGCCGTGCTGAGAGCGAAGCCCCCCAAACATGAGGCTCACGAGTGGAGACACGAGGTGGATCACTCAAATTCAGGCTAGGAAGACACTTCCACTACTGCCGACCGAGCCAGATTGCATCTCGCCCCTTTTATTTGGGGGGCGGCCACTTCAGTGAAAGAGGGTCGATCACGGCTCGGTAAATTGGGTGGCGCTGGGGGCGCTCGATAGATTGCTGATGGATTCTGCAGTCGGAACTTACACCGTGGGCCGGTTGCGAAAATGGTGGGGCGGGCAGCCAGGCACTACCGTAGCTGCTTTGTGACAACCTGAACTTATGGATGCTTCATTGCTTACACTTTACAGTCCCTGAGGACAGGATAGAGGGAGATAGTAGTTTGCGCAGATTTTGACCTGATTACTCGGATCGATTGGGGGATCTATCACATATCCTTTGGATTAGGTACACACCTTGCATGTCTTGAGCAGCCTTGTAACAATTCAAAGTATCCCGTCCAGGACAATCATGATGCGGAATAACCTATACTGCATAACATGGAAGATGCTTGATTTCCGATTTTTATCCCCACGAGATGGCCTAGGGACGGAGTGCAACCACTACGTGAGTACTAGGAGCTCTCGCAAGGAACTGAATGGATGTAATCAGGTGCAGTCGTGCACGGTGCTCGTGGCTGGTATATACTCGTGCCGCATCAATATTGGGTCTTTCCCCGGTGGCTTGAGGATTCCGCGGGGGGGGGGAAGACACGAGCATGTTTCTAGATCTGTCTTTGCGAGTCAGGTGCTGACTGGTAGATGGTATGTCTATTGCAACGCCTCTCAAGGTTCTGTGAGACACGATGGACCAATCTGATCTCTTCCGCCTTGAGGAACTCATTGTTCTTACAGGAGAGCATTGTCATTATTCAGGGCTCGCGAAGGCTGCCGCTTCTCGAGCCGCTGAAACCAGCGAGTCCACGGTTGAGATTCCCGGACATGTCATACAGAGTGAACGACGAAGCAGGCTAGGGCTGAACCAGGCATGCACGACCGCACGGCAAGTGGATAGCATGGACTTGACAGGTCGCAGATTTCCAGGTCCATTTCGATCACGCAGTGATGCACTGTGAGTGTGATATCCTTCTATAGTTGACTCAATACAGTCTGACTGCAGTGGTGGTCCTTCATGCTCTCTCCACGGTAACGCGAGCAACAGTATAGTCACTCGAAAGTATGGACACAGACATGATGGCCTCCTCTGACTGGATGGTCAACTGTGACAAGGGTTCGATGGGGACATGTATGGGTTGCCTTCAGAATCACAGACCCTCCGTCGACTGGCCAATGAAGCATTGCTGCAGAACCGGTATTGAGAGGCTTTCGAGGGTTCTTGGGATGACAAGCTTCCCGTCTGTTCGACATGTCATGACGCCCGCTACGTCGACCCTGTTCGACTCTGAGATGGAACTCCTGACCAGGACACTGTTAGCTGGTCTCAAACAGGCTTGTTCTAGTCCTGTGATTGCGGTTATCCCGTGTGTACCAAGATTCTGACCAGGCTTATCGGTGCATGACTGCATGAGTGAAAAGCGCACACTATGTGACTAGGACCCTACTAGTACCAGTCTTACCCTCTGTACTCGGTCTTGAACTGCATATTCACTGTGCCTGAGTGCCTCTTATGACACCACTGATCATCTTGAGGTGGTGTGCAGCATGAGCTTCCAACTGCTTTGCTGTTCTCAAGTCCTGTTGTCTTGTCTGTCTCAGTGTTCAGGCTGTTTACTTTTAACCGGTTGAAGAAGCACCAACAGTCAGTCCTTCTTGGCAAGTTGGCACAGACGATAGGAAGCGTACGCGCCCGGTGGATCCTCGGCCGGAATGGGCGGCGTGACTACGGTAATGGCGATGGTTCACTCTGCACCAGTGCCCTCGCGAACGCTTCCGAGACCTTGAAAAGGTCGATGAGTACTGGGCCACTGGCATCGCTGTCGGTAGATTATCTCTCCGAGTACAGGATGGGAGCAGTTGAGCATAGCCAAGAGCCAAGCTAGACAGTCCACCATCACCCACCTCTCCCCACTGCCCAGTGCCCAGTGCCCAGTGCCCACCGCGGCATTGTTGCGGCTGATCCAATGTCTCATTCCGAACCTTGAAAGCTTGCATTGCCCTCGTTCTAGATTGGGCGGGACGATCGTCTTCACCGCCTGGTCTGTGTTGTTTGTGAAGCTAGCGATGAGAGGCCAGTCGAGGGGTGGAGAGCGAGCGAGAGAGAGAAGAAGAAGAAGATAAAGATGAAGAATGACGATGGTCGTGTTCGGGATGATCGAGCCGGATTGAGTCGGCTTGCAAAGTCCTTCACCAGCATACATGACTGATCAACCCTGTCTGGGTTTCCATCGGAAGCTGAGCCACATCGCTTATCCCGTCTTCCGTCTCAGGAACTAAACGTTGAAGCACGAGCCAGTCGATGAGACCCCTCCATCGATTCTATGCTGTATACTCCGTGAGTCCATACTCCATATTGATTTGCGATATAATCCGGAGTCGCTCTTCGGCACTCGGGATTGCAAGTGTCTGCACTCTGCAGCCTGCGACTTTTCTCCCCTCTGCACTTCCTCGGTCTACTCTTCGTCTGATGCACATCGGCCATCTACTGATGAAAGGCTCGCTCCAAAAAGGGGAATCCCATTGCTGATTAGGGATAACAGTAGTATGACACTCCATCCATTGGTGACTGGGGTGCGCTGGGCAGCGCCACCATGTCGCGCTAGTGCCTGACTGTCCGCGAGATCGCGGGTTTGTTGACTGTTTACTCCATCGAGTGGAGCGACGAAAGATTGGGAAAAGGTGTCCGTCCAGTTCCACACTCCACTGTCCGTGTCCACAGTCCCGTACTCTTGTCGTGGCCGAAAGAGGTTTTTGTTTGGCAAGCTTATCGGCCCCAGTGCCCAGTGCCCAGTGCCCAGTGCCCGCTATTTCATAGCAGATGAAAAAGAAGGGTCGATCGAGACGCTTGCAAGAGGTGTTGTGGTTGAGAAGGTCTGTAAGTGACGCGAACAAATAATATACTTTATAGTAGTCAGTATAATACGTTGCCATTTCCCAGCATGATCAATGTACCATTGCATTGAGTTAGTTCCGGTATTTGCCTCCATACTCAGGTAGAGTGTTCGCGATTCCCACTAACTGACCCAGTAAGGGAATCATGGCGGTCTTGGCACCGCTTTCCAACAGTGGAGCACTGGAGTCGAGGAGGATCGTGACTTTTGTTGTTGCAGCGGCTACTAACTTAACAGCTACTTACAGAATCCATCGTCCAGACTCTAGAATGTCTGGCTGGGTCTTCTCTCGGACCCCCCGAACCGTTCCAAGGCGAGGTGGACCGAGCACCGTCCCTCGTGAAGTGTGGTTCAAACTCCAAACAATAATGTCAGAAGAATTCTCGTGGGAGGCGTAGAAGTGACAGCACACGACTATTACTACCACTGGTCTCAGTGCTACTATAGTACGGAAGTACAGTAACTACGGTACATCTGGAGTTCCTGTATCCGGCGGCGGTTGAAGTGTCGGGGCTCCTTCCTCTCGTATTCAGTGCGAGTCATCGAACTCGCTCATCGTACCTGCTCACGGCTAAGCGTACTTTTTGCTCACCCGATTAGTCTTCGGAGCTGCACACCACTTCATCTCCTCATCATCATCCCTCCGTTGGCGGACCTTCCATTTCAGGTTGCGGTCCGCGACCTATATGACTGCTGGTGTTTCGCCCATCCCCCCCCCCCCCCCGGGCTTCTTTTCTCGTCCTCTCTTCCTGCGCTCTCTCTTCGATTCACCGTGACGGCTGATCAGTCTCATCAGATCTGCTTTCCATTCATGATCATTGTCTCCTCTGTCAGCAGCAGCATCGTCATCAGCATCACCTTCACCATCTCTGACAAACTGCAAATCGCCCTCGTCCGTGGTGAACATCTCAGCATCGCATCCCGCCCACGCCGATCACCGTCGTCACTGAGGTGAGACATTGGCTGCTTCCTGGCTTCTCATCTCGCGGGGCAACCACCAGAATACGCTATCCCCGTCATTGCCCAGCGTGCTGCACTAGACAGATCATCGTGTTCAGAATACACTTTTTCATCAGCGCCAAAAAATAAAAAAAAATAAAAAACTTCCCGTCCGGAGCAGATATTAGACGCAATACTCCCGTCTATTGCCGGAGTGTGAGCGCCGCAGTGCAGTGCAGTGCAGGACTTGATCGAGCCAAGCTCGTGCATCTTTCCCTCGCTCGCTCACCAGTAGCCATATCCTCGTGGCTGCACGAGATACCACGAGTGATCGAAGTCATTCATCCTTCCATACCTCCCTCATTTCCACCCTCGTCTTCCTTCCCCCACTCCGTCCCAGAAGCCATGTCCTCTGAATATAGCCTCACCATGGAACCCACCACTTCCCCCAGAGCCTCGCGCATCCGCCGGGCTTTCCCAACATTTCACCTCGGTCGTGAATGCACTGCAACCCGCACCCCTTCTGGTGTCACCGACCGATCCTCAAGTCACCCGCGATCCGTCACAACGCCCGGTTTGTCCCACGTCAGCTCACCTGTCGCAACTGAGCCGACCTGTCACAGCCCCACCTCCGACTCAGGGCCGGACGCCTCTCGCCATTACGGATTTCTTGACAAGCCAGGCTTGGACTATTCCGACCCGTCCCTGATTAGCCGCCAGTGGATCGAGGAGGATCTGCTCGACGACCTGAAGTATGCCTGCGCAGTGCTCCTGGGAAGCATTGAGCGCGGCATACCCATCTGGCCAGCCGTCTCAATAAATGCCTCCAGCGTACAGGACGCATATGAGGAGCCAGAGGTATGCATGGCGCCAAATGCATACAGGGAGCAAACGGCCACCAGAAGGGCTCACTTCAGCCGAGCCTCACAGGTCTCTCTCCCGGATGTCAGGACTCATCCAGTCTATCCTCACACTTCAGGTGGTCCCCGACGAACCAAGATGTACGACTCGGGCGTCGCATTCCAAGACAGTGCGACCATGGCGTCTTCACCTCGCTTCTACGGCCAACATACTTTTTGGGAAGAGGACCAGCGGGGTCGCTCGCGCATGCGCGGCCTCCGGTCACAAGCGCCAGTGACTACGAATGTGCCAGCGACTCGTAGCCCTCGATTCTATTCCCGCTCTCACGATTGGGCAGACTCCCGCTCGCGGTCTACCAGCCCTGAGATGTACATGTACAGTCCTCCCCAGGTCGACACTCTCTGGCCCGATGTCAAAGGAGACGAATCCTTTGAGGAATCCATCTCCGAGAGCTTTGCGGAGAAGCAGATCGAGGTAGGCGCTTTCGGGGTCGATGGTGCCTCTTGGTTGCATCAAGGAGGCCTTTACTATTCCCAGCGACGTTCTGATGGTGCCGAGAAGGCTTTCGTTGGCACAGTTGAGGCCCATTCACCGCTCGTCTCCCCTTCTGCGCCTTGCCGATTCTACAGCATGCAGTCGCCTGCTGGACCGGAAGCACCCAACAAGGGACTCGGACAGCACTGGAGCATTTCGGACAGTCGAACACCGAGTGTGAGCGATGTCGAAAGCGGGTCGGATCGCTACGAAGCGCTACGCGACGATCATTTCTCGCAAGTTGATCGTGTAACCTCACCAGCAGCCGTCGCCACCGAGGCATCGACCGCCTTGAATGAGCAACGAAGAAGGTGGCGCAAAGCCTCGACACTGTTGAGAAAGCTGACTGGGTTTGGACGCAAGAAGCATGTTGAAGCTTTGGAAACTCAACGCGTAGCCGTTGCCGTATGAAGAACCTTTGAAGCTGCCCACTTTGCTTTATTTCATCCTACTCCTCCTCATCCTCCACCAACTTTGCTCATTGTTAATTGTTGTTCTTCTTGTGTCGTTGTTTGATTGAATACCCCCTATGAACATATTTGCTTGCCTCAATTTGCGATGATATCCCCACCCCGTTGCGCAGCGCAATGTCCCACCGGACAAGTCTTATTGATATGAAAGCAGTGCAGAAATGGCACTTTACGATACAAATATTCCACCTATAATCCCACCTAGTATTCCAGCCATATTCCACTCAGTATTCCACCTCATACATCCAGGTATATGAAGTGACCCGGCAGCATTGTGATAATCCTTGTTTTCTCCTTGGCCAAGTATCTTCCCCCGGAGTGTTGGTGCGGAGATTCTCACCCGATGTCATTGAAATCAATTTACACTTCTCTTTCCCCCGGACTCCAGCAAACGCACTGTTCTCTCATCCCCCACATCAATCTACCATCCAGACACGCACTTTGTCTTGATGCCCTTTTTTTTTCTCTTTTCAACTACAATCTTACTGGAATAGATAAACTCATACCGCGGCTTGTCGTTTCAAAATGTTGCAACGCCGCTGCTTTTCGCTTTTGACGTGACTTGGACGTGGAACTCTTCAAATATACTGACAGGCCGCTAGGTACTCAGGCCCCGTACGGAGCCGAGTTCCGTACCTGCTATCACGGTAGTGCTCATAACCAGGGAGATGATGAAAGAAAAAAAAAAGAAAAAGAAAAAGATTCATATCTCTCTGGGCAACAGCCATTAATGCTCGGAAAAAATTTCAAAGCTTCTCGTTGGCCGTCGAGGGCAAAAATACAGGCGAGAAAGAATATATCCTAGAGCTTAGGGCCCAGGGGACACCACCCTATACACGAAATCTCAGATCCGTCTCATCGGGCAGTTATTACCTGGAGAAATTGGTCGTTAGAGGCTGACGGAAAGGAGGGACTACGTCTCATCTTGCGTGCGAGGTAATTATTTTTGGGAAACTAGGCTATTCGCTTGTCACAGTCGGATTTGGCTAAGCAGCGGCTGGGCTGGGTTGGATCTGCGACACTTGAATCGGAATTGTGGCTCGAAAATTGGCTTCTGTTTGCCTTTTGGTATGCTAATTAGAATACTTTGATTGAGAATACTACATATGCCACAAGGAAAAGTATCCAGCTATTCACTGGACCCAGACGTATCCGACTACTGCCCACGACGAGGACGTTTGTTATCGCCGCCCATCCTGGGTCCACGGCCGTTCGTGTCACCCCCTGCATTTTCATCGGGGTTGTTGGGCCGACCTCTCTTGCGATGCGTGGACCCGCCGCCACTGTCACGGTGATGGCCATCCCGGTCTCGTCCACGGTCTCGGCGTTCGCGCTCGCGATCTCGGTTCTCTGGACGATTGCCTCGATCCCCGCCAGGACCCCAGCGACGAGGATTATTGTCATCTCCAGACATAGGAGGAGGGGGAGGCGGGGGCGGTGGTGGAGGAGGCGCGTCCATTGCAGGCGGTTGTCGCATGTCATAAGGATTCATACCAGCAGCGGCCTGACTGCCCATATCAGGAGGTGCATCATCGCGATCTCGTCGGTCCCGACGGCGCATCTCTTCGCGCGACCCTTGATTTCGCCGTTGGTTTTCACGAGGTTCATGGTATCGTTCGCGCTCGCGGTCTTTCTCCTCACGGTTGTTGACTACATTTGCACCCACGTCACTTCGACGGTTCCGTTCACGATCCGAATCACGACCGCGATCACGACGATCCTCGCGGCGGTTTCCAGCATTCCCCATTTCGTCGCCGGCATTACCACTGCCACCTCCAGCGCGACGTCCTCGTTCCCGGTTCTTGTCCCGATCACCACCTCGGCCGGACCGACGCATATCAGGTGTGGCGCTATCGTCCATCAAATCACCACGACTATCAGGACGATTGCGAGATTGGACCTCGTCATCAGGGAAAATGCTGGGACCAGTAGGCGGTCGAGGCGACCCACTGTTTGAAGCAGGGGCCTGTCGATTTGAGCCGCGTCCACGAACAGGTGGTGTCATCGGGTTAATGTTGCGATCGGTGGGACTGTTTGTCTGCTGTAACATATTGTTAATGGCGGCAAAACGCTTGTCTCCACGTCCTCGGTCTCCACCGGGTCCACGGGGTCCTTGGGGCTGCTGCTGCTGCTGCTGCTGCTGACCCGGGCCACCACGAGGAGTCAATGCTGGCGAAGCTGCTGGCTGAGCAGTATCAACAATATTGTTGAGTCGATCTGGATGAATGCCTGTAACATCGAGACGATCTGCGGAGGCCGCCGGGGTAGTAGGAGGCTGCTCTGGTGGTCCACGTCCACCTCGCCCAGGACCTGTAGGAACCTGTCGCTCGGGGGTAGGAGCTTTGCCGCTGCCATTTCCATGGCTTGTAGCACTCTGCTGGGCGGGCGCATTCCGTCCCCGGTTACGCTGTCGAGGCCCAGAGGGGATTTCCATCGGCTGATCGGGTTGTCGCAAGCGGCCGTGGGTCATATCCGGACCAGTCTGGTCATGAGTCGCACGTGGACCCCGTGGGATTTCACCAGTTGCAAGACCAGGTTGTGGGAAACTGGCAGGTCTACGGTCATCAGGGAACCGTTCTGGACGATTTGGGAGATCGAGACGCGGAGGCGTCTGGCCTCGCTGGGGGAACGGGCGACGATCATCCTTCTCCATACGCACAGGTTGATCGACACGGCGAGTAGCGTCGGCCAGCGGACGGTCGGGGAATTCGGGCAGAAGATCCCCACGAGGACCGCCCTCACGACCGTGGAGTGATTCCCGCCGCGGTCTTGGAGGACGATCACCAGACCAGTCTGCATCGCGTGGGGGACGAGCTCCCTCGCGATACGGGGGACCTCGCATTGCGTCCTCCATGGGAGGTGGTCTCATACCGAAATCTCGATCTCGATCACCCATGCGGCCGTGGCCTCGAGCGTCGACCCCAGCAGCGTCATGTCTTGCATGCTCCGGACCAGCATGACGAGTCCTGGGATTGAAATCCTGAGTTCTGTCGCGCCGATCATCCATCAGATCTGGACGGAGTGGCAGTCTGGTGTCAGTGGCACTGTGCCGAGGTAGACGAGCCTGTTGACGTGGGTTGATAGGCAGAGAGCGTTCGACGTCTGGTCGCTTTGGAATGTCTGGTTGGCGGGCTGTTTCAGGAGCATTTGGGGAAGGTCGTGATCGCGATGAATCCCTTTTAACACGCTGATCACTCGTAGGGACCTGCAAGCGCTCGTTCGTCGCACTAGTATCGATCTCGGAAGTATCTTCAGCTGACTTGGACGGGGGCCGAACTGGCACAGTTCCTTGGGCCCCCTGGGCCGGTGCCGCGTCGATCATTTTCGCGTCCTCGATTTCACCATCCTCGAATTCGGCCTTGCCGGTAGCACCATGTCTTGAAGTCTCCGCGGTACTAAGTGATACAGTTAATTAGTTGATACAAGCCATATCGATCGGAAAGGGATTCAGACGCACTCTTGCACAACTGGCCTGAATTCGGGTGCAGAAGCATTCAGTGACGCAGGAGTCGCAGATTGTAGACGAGATGCATCGGTCTTTGCGGGCTGGGCGTGAGCCTTGTCATGTGCGTCAGGCACATTGCTGTCGTTGATGTAGAATTGCTGAGGAAGCATCCATTTCTTTGACCGTCGATTGAAGTCCCCAATAAGAGAGGCAGCCGGGATCTTTACATCGTCTCGCTCAGCGCTCTTACTGAGCTGATTGACAGTCTCCAGCAACTGAATACCCATCCAGTTGACAGCGGGGAAAGAAGGAACAATAGCCTTCAAGATGCTGATCGCATTTCGAATGTGCATGTATTCTCCGCCCTTGAGACACATCTGCAGTGCGTTGTTGAGAAAGCGGTGCCACTTGTAGAGAAGACGACGGAAGTCTTCGAATTCCAGGAATAGAACGGGAACGCCATCGGTATCGGTCTTCTTTGCAAATCCTGGCAGATCTCTCTTGGATCCGAAGGCCTCTTTTTCATAAACAGCCTGGTTAGCATGCCACTGACTCAGGTCGTCCAGAACCTTGCTGAGAAAATGACCCAGATTGTCTGCCTCCTTGGAAGTGCAAAGGAATATGAGAGCAACAAGTCTTTGTTCTCGGAAAAGTTGATCGAGGAGACCCATAGTGCGGAAGTTCGGGGTTCCAGAATGATGAAGGAACTTGAGCATTTTGAAGCAGAAGAAAGCGTCAACCGGGGAGAGAAGCAAGCGTGGAATGAAACACTGCTCCAACAGTGCAACATTAAGCGGGTCGTACTTCAAGCGCATATGGGTAAACCAACGCTCCTTCTCTTTCTGCAGTCGACCTCGAGTCTGGGCGTAAGCTTGGGTATGGGCCTTCAACTCGGAGAGCAGTTGGTCTTGGAGCTGATTCAAACTTCGGCGTGTCTGATCCTTTCTCTGCATCCCGAGCATGCTCGGGTCTGACCGATCATTATTGAGCGCAGTGACGCGTTTCTGCAGGCGGCGCCGCTCCTCGTCATAGGACTTTTCGGGAACATGCACGTCGTAGAGAGACAACTGCCAGAAAGTGGCGTAGAAGTGCGCGCCGACCCTTTCCCATGTTTCGTTTGGTAAAGAAGATTGGACAGTCTCGATCAATTCCTGCATGATCGGATTGCTGATATGTGTGGTCGTGTTAGAAGAAGTGGATGTCGTTGTGTTGGGCTGTTGCGGTTTGTCAATGTCCATCTCCGCCTGTTCCGCGTTCTCATTGGCCTTCGTTGGCACGCTAGTCTCATCAATGTCCATCTTGTTGTGGTCATCCGAGTGAGAGTTTTGGGCTTCGGGGCCGGCTTCGTTCGAAGCAGGTGTTTCGCTCTTCGGCATTTCCATGTTGCTCTCGGCAATCTTTCGAGAAACGCTGGGGCGACGGATCCAGAAAGCAATCTCCGGTTGAATACCGAACTCCTTTACCAGAGAAGAAAAGTTGGGTACAAATGTATCAAACTCCTCAATAGACAAGTTGCTACGCAGGAGGTCAAGGTACTGAGTCAAGATACGGTGGATCTCGTCAAAGACATTGCCAAGAAGCTTGAGCTCGGTAGATGACTCGTTGAAAATGCATGTCATCCGCTCCTGGGCGATAGCAACAAGTAATTGGCCAGCAAGTCGAGTATGAGTCAAAGACTTCAAAAGCCGCTTTGAGGTGGTCTTTGACTCATGACGCTTGTCCAGAAGCTGGAGGATCGTTTGTGCCTGGAGGACTTCACCGCCTGCCATAGCCTGGATCTGGGCGTCGTTGAAGTTCGTGTCCGTAATGATACCGGCCATGGAACTGATCAATTGCTCAAGCACAATCAGATCTGTTGAGTTGTTACGACGCAGCTGCTCCACGACGTATTGAAGCAGAGGTGCTGGATCCATTACGGCGTAGCGCTTGAATGTTCGACCGGCGAAAGTGGACAAGGCATTGAGCCAGCGACTGGTGAGCAGACCGCCTTCTTGCACTCGACTTCGGCCCTTTTGGCCAAGTGAATTGATTAGAGACCAAGTCAGAATGTCGTAGGCAAGGTTTGTGAAGTATCGAGCACACTCGACAACCACCTCGATGAGGTTTTCGTACGACTCAATCTGACCAATGGCAACATTGATGACAATACCAGGATTAGCATAGGCAATCTTGGCCAAAGCTCGAGCCATCGGTCGAATGTTCGTCTTGCTGAGGCGCTTCAACACATCCTTGGTTTCTGCCGTTGCTTGTTTGAACGCAGACTGAATGTCAGGCAACCTGGACGTCTGGCCAGAGTACCACTCAGCGTACATGTTGTACCGAACTTCGCGGGGGAATATGCTGATGAGGCTGAATACCTCATTGACAACACCGGGATTATGTTTGGTCAAACTTATCGCAGGCAGAAGCAGTCGCTTGCAAAGATCGTGCCAGCGCGTTTTGTTCGATTCCGAGTCGTCTCTCGAGAGGCTGTCCACACCAATACGTGCAAGCTTCGTAAGAAGGCTGGCGTCTTGGCCTATCTTATGACCAGAGAGGTTCAGGAAAGAAGAGCACAAACTGAAGACATCATCAACGGATTGGCAAACAGGGATATTATCCGCCCAATCATCCCAGTAGAAACGGTAGGCGATACCCTCGTTGGTGTCTTCTGTATCAAGTTGAGCCCAACGAAGCACGCGTCGAGGATGTGCGTCGGTCAGGCGAAGTTGCCCCTTGGAAACCCCAGACTGGTCGGAGCTTAGCATCTGCTGGTGGCCAGGAACGTCTTTCAAATCGGACAGGGGCCGCAGTGGCGTGTAAACCTTACACAGGGAGTGGTGAAGAATGCGATGGATGAAATCCGGCAACTCAGGATAACCATCCATCAGCCAAGGGAACCTGCTCATCACGAACAAGGCCTCTGGGACTGCGCCGATCGCAAGTAGACTCTTCAAAAGCAGCACCTTTTGGTCAGATGGGTCAGGCAGAGTCTCTTCGGGTTTGGTCGTCGCCTGTTTCTCGGCATCCTGATCGCGGCCTGGAGTTGCTACCCGGGACTCAGCGTCACGAAGTCGAGGAAGCGGGGGAAGCGTGTCATCGGACAGAGCACCGGCAAGCATCAGAGCATTCACGCCACCGCCAGGCCGCGCCGCTTTCTCTCGCTCGGCCTTTTCCTTCATCTTCTCCTCCTTCAAGCCGTCCATCAACTCATCGGGCCTCCAGAGATGAGCATAGAGATCTCGGAGAGAAATGAACCCGACTTTGATGAGCAAAGCCGCCAGATAGATAAGGTTGTCCGGTAAATTATCCGACTTTGACCGGGCAGAGGAAGAATAGAATCGGAGCTTGAAACCGAGGAGTTGCGCTGCGACTCGATTACCTTGAGGTGGCAATGTTCCGGTCTCGTCAATCCAGACTCGGGTGGCTTCTTGGTCATCGGAAAGGTGGTTGCCCTCCGGGAGAGCTTCTCTTCTCTCGGCGTCTGAGATTGGCTTACGACCGATTTCAAAGAACGCTCGAATGCCAACTTCACGTACTCGTGCCCAAAATTGGCGGTCGCGTTCTTCGTTGGCCTGGTGGATACTCACTCGCTCTTCTTCGGTGGTATTCCAGCCTGTCGACCCAGGCAGCGCCCACTTAGGTAGCCCGGAGGCTCGAGAAGGGCTATTCAAATGCTTCATGATGTCCTCTTGTGGCCACCATGAGCTAGCTCGCAGCAGTTTGACGAAGAAGCGGTACTGCTTGACAAGAACCGCAGCAAAGACGTCCAAAGTCACATCCAAAACTCGTCCGACGTCCATGTCGAAAGCGCCAATCATGGCTTTGATCCTCTCAAAGGTATCCTCAACGACCTCACTCGAGGGAGGCTCGTTGCTGCTTGTGGTGAACAGTTCGGTGACAAGTTTGGAGTATCCCTCAGATTCTTCTCTGAGGAGATTGTAATTTGACTGTCGGTAGAGAAGATTGGTCTGCTTGCGAATGCCCATGCGCGCGAAGGTATCCCGGACGAGTCCCAAGGACTGCAGGAGAGGGGTGTCTAGCTGAAGGCGCATGATTTCCGGCGAAATCTCGGTTGCGATGACGAGCGGCTTCAGAGCAGGTTGGGAGGTGTCGGCATCGGTGAGGATGGAAAGGGTATCGAGGAAGAGTGAAGACGAGTCGAAGTCATTTGTCGCAACATCGGCTTCAGATGCTGACCCATTGCCAATAATCTCCTTCACAGCATTTCCAGCCTCAGAAGGCGGCAAGCGGCCGAACAGCACGGATCGAATCAGCTCCTGGAAGATGGAAGCCAGGCGTCCCAGATCCTGATCAAATCGGGCCGTCGCACCCTGCTGGATCACCGACATCTTCCCATACGACGCCCATGAGGCAATTGCATTGTCCGTAACAAATTCGTAGTCGTACGGACGGGAGGCAACTGCGGGCTGCTTTGCGGGAACCTCGAAGCCCGTTCGTGCCACGGGAGAGATTCGTGACTGTGGAGCCGGGGTAGAGGGAGCGGAGGCGACGGGGGCTGGAGATTGCGATGATTGAGAAATTGGTGTTTCAATCATCTGTTGCTGTGCGCCTTCTCTTGATGGCACCCGCGGGGGAGACATGGCGTTGGTGTCACGGCTCTGAGAATGCGAAAAGCTGGAGCCTTCGAAGGAGCCTCGGCGGGAGTTACCACGCCCACCGCCCTGATGACCGGCAGGTCGATGCGATCGATCGCGCGCGTCGACCTGGTCTCTTTGCGGGCTGCCGTGATGCGCACCTTGGCCTGGGTGCTGTGCCATGTTCAGTGTTCCGGGGCGATGAGGCGAGGGCCGCGGAACCTGATTGTTCGCCGAATCGCTCGACCAAGAGCGATCAGGGCGCTTTCGTTTGCCGCCCTGGCCGGGGGCCATGACGGGCGTGGGAAACGAGCGCGGAGAACGAGCTGAGCGGGAGAAGGAATCGGCGTAGTCTCGGTGCTCAGTAAAGGTGATGCTCGTCCGGTTGGCTAAGACTGAGTGGTCAGAGAAGTGAACGTTAGCGATTGATCTGGTCTAGTGAGAGATGAGTGAGGCAAGATACCAGTGTGAAGCGAACCAGCAGGAAGAGGGATCAAAGAGGAAGTTGGTGGAGGGATCGAAAGGTGAGAGGAGAGGATAAATTCGAAAGACGATTATAGTTAGCAGGTAGCTTGCTCACGAATCGGAGTGAAGATAGGGAACTTTCGTTGCCTGAGGCGCGTGGAGGGCCGCCCTCGTTATCGTGACTGTTGTTTGTGCTGCATGTGGTTCTTCGATTCTGCCCGGCGCCGGCTGCAGGCTTGACGGGACCTGCCTTCCAGAGACAGATATTTCAAAACACTAGAGTTCTGTATTCATGATGGAACCTCCTTGTAACTTAAGGTTCTATTAAGATGACATATGACATTCACTCCTGGTTCTTGTCTTCTAAAGTCAATGGAGTAAACAAATTGAAGACTTCGGACCTAGTCGGATCAAATTTCTTGAAGCATGAGCTGTCCGTCTGCTCTTGTTAATAACTTCCTTTTACTCAGTCGAATACGTACTATTCACATCCAGCTTAACGAAAGTAGTCGGTATCTCATCTCATTCATTTGGCGACCAATTACCTCTTGGGTTTAATAGACTTCGGTAGGCTGCACATGACAACGTCACCAGGCTGCTACAATCTACCTACTTGGTCCCAGCTACGGGTATACTACTGTGTGACTGTGATGGATCACTCAAGCAGTTCGTTATCGGCAAGAATACCCTTAGCTACCACTACATAGGCTTGAGGAATGGATTAAGGGCAACTTATGTTCAATGAGAATCGTTTCCACTTTCCTTGCTCGTCTTTCAAACATACTCCTCACACGGTACGGCTTCTTGTTCACTGTTGAGGTTTGGACAGAAGAGGAGAGGTCGTTTGAATTTATCTTGGCGTTACAAGGCGGTTCTTCTATTGGATTTCGGATCCTCTCGATAACTCTACACACCAGAGTTCCATGATATGGAGCATCACCGAAGGCCAAGATCTTTGGCCTCCAGTGCCACAATGTCCGGGATCATGTCAATCAACTTAGGCATTTTAGGCTCCCAGCCTAGGAGCTTGCGTGCACGAAGAGCGTGTCCACGTGAATTGGAACCCCATGCGTAGTGACCGGTTGGGGAAATCTTGTTGACCTCTTCAGCGTTTAACTCGTGCACGTCGGGTGAGTTGATCAATCCCTGCAAATGTGCTTGCTTTGCAATCTCGCGCTGGATGTCCCCCCAAACAAAGGAGCCATCTTCAGCGAAATAATAGCCCTCTTCGTTCCAGGTTGCGTTGCCTCCGCATTCAGCAGCAGCATCACCAAGCGCCAAGAACAGATTACTCAAGTCTTGGACGTGGACCTGGTGCCAAACGTTCTCGCCTTTACCGATCAAGATTCCTGAGCCTCGCGTCAGGACGGCGGCACTGAGTCGGTACGCCTGGCTACTCTTGGTCTTGACAGGTCCTCGACCAGGCCCTGAAATGGCGGGAGGGCAGACGATCGCGGTGTGTACTCTTTTGGGGCTCTGCGTTCCCATGTCAAGGATAATCTTGTCGACCTCTCGGTGAATTCCGTCAGCAGGGAAGTTGATCATTTCACTGATTCCCTCCCAATCATTGTATTCTTTAGGGCGTTCAATGCCCATTGTGTTAGCACGTTTGTCCTCAATAGTGAGGATGCCTGTACCTGAGGTATGAATCAGCCACAGTGGATGCTCTGCAGTGTGGTGCCGAGCACCTCGAGCAATCGCTTCAGCCGAAGCGACATGGTCGCAGTTGGCACAGTCTAAACACAATTCAGAGACGTGAGAGAGGAACCAAATGTGGCGCATGGTTATGAATCAAAGACTCACTGAACACAATGTCGGCTTCCTTGACCTGTTCTTCAATCAGCTCCACTGAGTCTAGGTCTCCCTGAACAATGTGAATATTGGGATATCTGCTAGACACTAGGTCGGCCTTTTTTTTGGTTCGAACCAAAGTTGTGATCTCCCAGTCCGGATGAGCATTGGTGACGGTGTACAAAACTTCACCGCCAATGTATCCAGTAGCACCAGTTCTGCAACGTTTCGTTGTGAGTAGAATGCTTTGTGGGAACCAATGCGGCGGCAACATACAGAAAGACTTTGATTGACGACATGATTTGAGTGAGAAGTAATTCAAAGGATATGCTGACAATCAGTTCGCGCGATGACTCGCGGGAAGTGGCACCTTGAGTTGCTCGCGGTGGGCATCAGCTTCAAGTCTAGGTAAGTCAGTGCCTGTGATTTGAAATCAAGCTTAGCTCCCGAGGGCGATCGCATTGGACGCGGGATCGGACCGTGAACCTGTGAGATAGTGGAGACTGGAGACTGAAGACGAGTCGATCAGAGCAAAGTCACACGCACATCGGGAAACCGTGACGGACATCATGTCTCCGCTAAATTGAGCCAGCTGAACCCAGTACAGCATGATCTTGCATTGTTAATGAGTAGGGTACTATTATATACTATGTAGAGATGTCTACCTTTGTATGGACTCCCGGAGTTGACTACATCAGCAGTCAGTGTAGTTAACTAAAGTATATAGCCTCCTAATCACCTATACGCGGGGTTGTGTGCCAGTGAGCCAGTCAGGTATGTCATGCGAGGTAAGGTTCTGTAGCAGTGTAGCTAACAGCTATCCTAGCCGATCACAGAGCAATCTCGAAATGCGGACTTGAAATCTTGAACCTGTATTGATACAAATGATCCTAGTAAAGCATTGATCTCAACGCCAATCTGAATGCCTACTGATCAGCAAATATGTTCCTTGTTTTAGTTTTTGTCCAGCAAAGGCGTTTCCACTACTGACCAGGGGCTATTTTATTTGGAGATTCGCTCACCGACAGGTTCAGGAAACCCGTCTTTTAACACAGGACCTTACCGAGTACCTAAGAGTAGCACTGCCGAGTACCTACTGATACGAAGTTCAGTCTGATAGCCTTCGTGGTAAACAAAGCTCGGTCCAGCTATTGATTCAGGGCCAAGAAGTCCATTTTCAGGCCAAAACTCTGCCCGGACCCGACCCTCATCCAGTGTTCATTGATGCATGGATCAATTGTACTGTAGTTGTCTTTGATGGCCAGTCATCTTATCAACTGTGGGGCCCTCATGTTTCAAGAACATTCTCTGTTCGATGTTCATGCCTGTTGCTAGAGTGAGTCCCTTTGAAAGCTGATCTCTAGATAGACCCGAGCATCCTCTCATAAACACATTGTTCAGTCTTCTCGTGCCATTTGGAGATTCACCCTCAAGCTCATATGACATCCAGGATATCCACTACGTAGCTGTGGATCGTCCATCCGAGGCGGGTGTCTCGTAGGTAGGTAGCTCCTTAGAATTCTCAGGTCCCAGTACTCTCGGTGTTTACGTGGCTCTACTGTCATCAACTGCAAGATATGTAGATGCGTACCTCCGGCAGAGTTGGCTAAATGCACTGTCAAGTGTCAAAGGATTTCAACAACAATCGACCACCAGGCACTCATAAGTTCTGGGCATTGAGAGTGAGATTTGAAAAGTACCTGGCCGTACCCTACTAGTCGAATCATTCCCCGTCAGTTTCACGTGCAGGAATTACTCAGGCAGACTTGGCTGCCATGCCCCACATGACGTCAGACAAAGCTCCGATCTCGTGTTGGCGGACGAGTCGAGACCGGCCAAAGAACTGGAGTCGCGGGACGTCCCACTCGCCTTGAGATGGACATCCACGCATATCCAAAAACCGGTTGCGCCTGTGCTAAGATTGGGTTCCCGTACCGCCAGGACTCGTCGACCCCCGGGGACGATACCTTGTCACAATCGCTTCGTCGACCATGTTTCCGGGATAGATACTGCGTTGACGCCTATGACGCCACCATCCCGCGGCCCTCTCATTAAGACCGATCTTCCATCTTCAGCGGGCACCATCGCACAGATCAACCCATCGACTATCGCAGAACACTACTGCTCCATCCCGTGACCATCTTTCACCTGACTCTATACGCGAAGCAAAAGAGTCCTCAATGCAATAACATTCCACTGTTCGAACAACGCAAAACATAAAAACCAACAACCGTCGACAACCAATATCAAGCCCGATGACCCCGGGATCCACACACGGCGAGTGCGGCGGCAAGGTTCCGCGCCGCTTTGCCTACAATCAAGATGCCGCGCGAGAGCGAGAGATGCACTTGTACGCTGTAATCGTGGACGCTGCGTTGGACAATCGGAGTCGTGTAAGACAAGATCTAACGGATGCCCATTGCTTAGGTACCTACCACTTTGGGGCTTCTCGGAATCAGAAAAATTCGCTCAGCAATCGGTCGGCCGCCATCCCAACGTTTCTCGTGACAACGTTCTGACAGTATTCGCACAACTGGCAAGTCTGCGACTGGATGCTTTGCGAGCACTCATCTCCCTCTTTGACCGGACAACACAGCATGTGGTGGCCGAGGCAACACCGAATCTTGGTCTTCGAAGTCCGAAGAGCGGTCAAGATGCGAAATGTCTCTGGCGTGGGGTGCAACAACTTCCACGCGACAACATTCCCATGTGCAATGAGGCGATGACTGCTTTCACAAAGGAGAAGAAGGACGTCTTTTTGGTGTCTGATTTGAAGGCCGATTCCCGGTTCAAGTCTCATAGCTCAGTAACGGGGCCACCGCATCATCGATTCTATGTCTCTGTGCCCATCAAGTCTCCTGATGAATATGTTATAGGCTCCATTGCGGTATTGGATGATCAACCGCGCGACTCGTTGTCAGACAAGCATCGTCATTTTCTGCAAGAGCTCAGTGAGACGGTCATGGACCACTTGTTATCGCTAAGAGCAATGCGGGAAGAATTCCGGGAGGAGAAAATGGTCCGCGCCCTCGGACTATTCGTGCAAGGCAAGTCCGACCTTTCAGAGGGAATCGATAGCCGGCATGGGACAGAAAACACCTTCGACCAACTCCACTCAAAATTGGAGCAACTCAAGCTGTCGGGTGGGAAGAAGGCCTCCGATGAGCACAACCACGAGGAGAGGGGGCGGGCATCCGAAACACCTGAAGATAGCGCGACGGACAGGGAATCTGCGAAACCGGAACCAACCAGAAGCCGGTCACCAGTTCGTCAGTTCAAAACGGAAGAGCAAAGCAAAGGAGAGAACGCCGGCGAAAAGCGTGAAAATGCCCAACGGCCGTCTTTGTCCCCAACAACGAGTCATTTGCAAAAGTCACTCGCCCCATCGAATGTGCAGGCAGTTCTGAATAGAGCATCCTGTCTCATGAACCAGGCATTGGACGTGGAGGGCGCTATGTTCATAGACGCGACGGTATATGCCCGACGCCAGATGATAGGCTCTGACAATGACAAGAATAACAACGACGAAAGCCCAGACGCGATCTTATCCCACCTCGAGTCCGACGATCCGGAATTGACAATGGATGACTTCCACGGCCCCAAAAGCTTGGTTCTCGGCTATGCCACGTCCGACCACTCCAGCATGCAAAATGACCGGGCGAGCCACTACGTGTCTCTCCCGGGTGCCTTTGTCTCCTACCTGATAGACAAATACCCAAGAGGAAAGATTTTCCACATCGAAAAGAACGGGTCTGTCGCATTAAGTTATGAAGGCCTCGCGGATGAAGTGACACAGCATCACAGAAACACAAAGAGTGTGGAGGAGGAGCAACCAAAGGAGAAGAATCTTCGAGAGGAGACTTTGGAGATTCGCCAGCTCCACAAAATTTTAACTGACGCTCGTTGCATCGCCATCTACCCGGTATGGGATTTCCAACGCAGCCGTTGGTTCACTGTGAACCTTGTGTGGTCCAACGACCCAGGACGTGTCCTCTCCGAGCCAAAGGATTTGACTTACATGGCCGCGTTCAGCAATAGCGTGATGGCTGAAATTTCAAGAATGGACATCGAGGCCGCAGATCGGGCGAAAAGCGACTTCATTTCCTCCATATCGCATGAGCTTCGATCGCCTCTTCACGGTGTTCTCGGCACGGTGGAGCTGCTCCAAGAGACGGCAACCACATACACTCAGCGAGGTCTGGTCGAAACTGTTTACAGCTGTGGTCGCACGCTATTGGATACGCTCAATCATCTGTTGGATTACGCCAAAATCAACACGATGATGGCGGGCCAGTCACCAGACCCGGACTCTGGAAGCTCAGATTCGACCTTCGCGACCCCAGGTCTTGTGCAAGAGGAGGATCTTAGTTCTTTGGTACAGGAGGTGGTGGAAGGTCTACTTGCCGGCGCCGAATTTTATAATCGGGAATCTAGCTCGACAGGGGAGTCCGGGACGAAAGTGAACAGAAAATCTGCTAGCCTTACGCCGATGGGCCATCACGATCGTCGCATCATGATCATCGTGGATATTGAGCGGCACGACAGCTGGCGCTACCCGGTGTACGCTGGAGCTTGGAGGCGTGTGGTGATGAATCTCTTTGGCAACGCTTTGAAGTATACCCAAGCAGGATACATCAGGCTATTCCTGAAGAAAAGTTCGATGAAGTCCCGCGGCGATAAGACAGTTCCCGCCATCTGTCTCACAATCAGCGACTCGGGTCGTGGCATGTCGCAGGATTTCCTACTTCATCACCTTTACATTCCGTTCCTTCAAGAGGATACACAAGCCCCGGGCTTGGGTGTCGGGTTGCACTTGGTGCATCAGATCATCAAATCCTTGAATGGGAAGATTGAATTCAGGAGTGAAGTGGGCAAGGGAACCGAAGTCGAAGTGGTCCTGCCGGTGTCAGACCTCAGACCTCCTCCGTCCTCTCCGACTCAATTCGATTACCTCCGTGAACGCCTCGATGGAATGACAGTTTCCCTGTTTACACAAAGTCTGTCTCGAGACGAGCTCTCAATTCGCCCCGATGTATTTGGGGAGATAAGAACGACTTTAAGCCGAATGATCAGTGATTGGTTCGGGTTACGGGTGCTGAGCCCGGAGGAGCTCAAGCAGCGAGACGCAGACTTCCTCATCGTCACCGAAAACGAGTATCGAGCATCGGCTCACGACTCTTCGAGTAACGACATCAGTAGTCTGGTCAACTCAAAGCTCTCTTACCCATTGATCGTTCTGAGTGCACAAGCCAGCAGCTGGAAAGTGGTCAAGGAGAGGAATCAGGATCGCGCACTCTTCTTATCACAGCCGTGAGTGATATCTTTGGTTTTCAGGGGGCAGATTTGGTATCATACTAACGCGATCTATCCTAGAGTGAGCCCCAAGACTTTAGCAACGGTTTTTGAGCACTGTCTGAACCAAGACGGCGCCCCAGAGGTCTCCACGGCACGCTCAGACAGCTATTCCCCGCAGTCATCTCGCGAAAACAGTACCACTACCGCTAAATCCGACAGTGGGCCCAAAACAAGCGACGCTGCGCAAGCAGTGGCCAATGTCAGTGATGAAAAGGACGTATCAGTGAAGAAAGTACTCCTTGTAGAGGACAACAATGTCAATCTAAAGGTGCGAAGAGCCACACATCTATTAGAAATTCGGTGTTTCATTCTTGCTAACTAGACCTACCCATGATTTAGATCATTGAGACATGCGTTCGAAATGCAGGACTAGCATACGAATCCGCCGTCAACGGACTGCAAGCGCTGGAAAAATTCAAGACCGAACGATTTGACGCCGTCGTGATGGGTATGCTCGAGATTTCCATACGGTCACATCAAGAATCAAATTTCACTAACAGAAGATTCAGATATCTCAATGCCAATCATGGATGGGCTCACAGCGACACGTGAGATGAGAATATACGAGAAAACCGCCGGATTGCCACGAACAGCGATCATCATCCTTACAGCAGTTCTTTCCGCAGACATGCAAAAAGAGGCACAAGTCAGCGGCGTCGATAAATTCTTGACAAAACCAACGCCACTCAAGAAACTCCGCGAATTACTTCACAACCTGCTAGAACTGTGATTTGTATTACTACTATATTCCTACTAACGTAATCCACGGTCACCCTGGACACACGGTCACCCTAGACACCCCACCAGAAAACGCGTTAATCTACCAACCTACTAAATTCAACTAACTACCATACCACTAATTCGTGCTAAATCCTCGTATAAATTAGCTAGTCAAGAGGGCAAGATCCTATTAGCCCTCTCCGATATTAAAGATAGCCGCGTTAAGTCTATTCGTGCAGTAGCGAAGCTATACGAAATTCCGTATAGTACCCTATATACGCGTGTATGTGGTGTAGTCTCTATTAATAAGAGACGTAACCCTAACCAGAAATTGACCTAGTTAGAAGAGGATTCGCTTACTATATAGATACTCTCTATAGATTCGCGGGGGGTAGCGCCTAGGCCCTCTACTATTCGAGAGATAGCTAATATCCTTCTTATAGCGCGTAGAACTATCCCTCCCTTAACTATTAGCGTTAATTAGGTATTAATATTCGTTAAACGGCGCGATAAGCTTCAATCGCGCTACTCTAAGTAATATGACTACTAACGTGTATTAAATAAAGACCCGAAAGCCCTATAAGCCTAGTTTACGACTATATAAAGAGTGATTAAGGAGAATAGGACATAACCGGAGGATATCTATAACTTTAATAAGATAGGCTTTACGATAGGCCTTATATTATTACAGAAAGTTATTACGCGGGCAGAATACTACGGCCGGCGATTAATCTTATAGCCTAGTAATCGCGAATAGGTTACTACGATCGAAGTAATATACGCTAATAGCTTCTCGCTACTACCCTATATTATATTTAAAGCCTAGGTTTATATCGCTAGTTAGTTTAAATTAAATCTTCCTAGGGATTAGCGAATTAAAGTATCGAATAACGGCTAGACTACCGATAAGATCGGCCTTTACTAGTTTTAAAAGCTCTTTATTCTATATACTACTTCGCGTATACGAGGGCGATTTCGGCTATTAATCCTTAACGGCTACGGTAGCTATCTTATACCTTAATTCGATCGAATATATACCGAAAATAATATTATACTACTTTATATACCTTTATATTCGTCTTACTTATTATAGCTACTTAATATTAGGTACTTTATAGTACTAAAGCGTGCGTACGGTCGCTTTATAAGCGACTTAGCCCGAATAGGCTATAATTATATCGATAAGCTTGATTTTCTTACTGATTATCCTCGCACGAGGATAGAAGCTTTTTAACCGAATACTATTTAAAGTAGCTTTACGGCTACTAGTATCGTACTAGTAGCTACCGACAGAGTACTTTCGAAACTTAATATATCGCTTTATACGCCTATACTACTATTAAGCCGACTAAGTAGTAGATCTAGCTAATTTACCCTAAAAATACCTAGGATAGTAATATAGCTAGAGAAGTAAGCTTTATTATACGCGAGAATGGAAAAGCTTTAGAAGGACTCAGAAACTTTTATTTAACTTAGCTACGTGGTATTAAGAATCTTAAAGGCTAAAGAGGAGAAAAAGAAAAGGGAAGAGGCTATAGTCTATCCTAAGTTTTAAGATAGTACGCGTGGTATACGTAGTAGGTATAGTATACGCCCTCTACCCTCCTATATCCTATCCTTATCCTAAGTTAGTCCTACTATACTTATAATATTACCCCCTCCTTTAAAGGACCTAGCCCTCTAGGTCTTTAAATTCTAGTACTAGTAGCGTTAGTTCTATATTATTTAATTAGCCTACTTATCGTCGTCCTTATAGTTATTATTAATTTTATCCTTTAGCGCCGCCTTAGCCTAATTTTATAGCCTCTATTATAAGTATAGTAGGACTAACTTAGGATAAGGATAGGATATAGGAGGATAGAGGGCGTAAGCCACGTCTACTATATATATTATATATACTATCTTAAAACTTAGGATAGACTATAGCCTCTTTCCCTTTTCTTTTTCTCTTCTTTAGCCTTTAAGATTCTTAATACTATATAGCTAAGTTAAATAAAAGTTTCTAAGTCCTTCTAAAGCTTTTCTATTCTTATATATAATATTATCTTAAAGGCTCTTCTCTTCTTTTATAACCTTTTTTCTTTTTAAAGTATTAGTTAGGTAGCGAGATACTATATCCTCTAGCTACCCTAATAACTTTACTAATACTAAACCGATATAACTAGTACTAAAGCTATAATAGTATAATTATATAAGCGAACCTCCTCTATAGAACGAACTCCTTATAGAACCTCTTTAAATTTTAGCTACAAAGACGCTAAATATAAACTCGAAATCCCAGAATAGCTACTTAAGTAGATTTCTAGTAATACTTAAGTAGCCTTTTAAGCCTTAAAGTAGAAGGCAGAAAAGAACGAATATCTTACTAAGTAGATCGAATAGTTAACCGAGGAAAATAAGATATTAAAGTCTCTAAATACTATAGAATAGACTCCGGAAATCTAATATATAGAAGAAGCTTACGCTAGTCTTCGCGCTAACTATAATAAGACTACTAAAGAACGCGATATACTAGCGACTATAATATAATTTATATAGGTAGATTATAATACTAGTAGAGGAATTAGTTTAAGTTATACTATACCTAAGGCTAAAGGACTCTACTATAAATTAACTAAGATCTCTAATCCTCTGATACTTAGCGATAATAAGGAAGTTAAGTTTAAAGATTAGGAATCGAATATCCTTAAAAAACTTAAACTAAATTACGATTACTATCTAACTAAGAAGTACTATATTATATATACTAAGAGTCGATATAAAGGAAAAGTACTAATATATATTAATTCTTATATATATATAGATATTACTAACTAGTATAAGAAGCTTAAAGAGATACTAAAGTATCTAGAAAGTATCTTTAATAACCTAGATTATAAGAGACTCGCGCGTAATAAGTATATAAATCTAAAGATAGATATTAAGACTAATTTTACTAATTTCCTAGCGGACTTTAACTAGCTAGTAGAAGAGGCTAGTTAATCTATAGATCTACAAAAATAGGATCTATATTAGAAGATTCTACTACTAATATAAAACTAAGTAATAATAGACGTAGATAATAACGGAGTATCTCTCGATTAATTCGTATACTGATACTAGAAAGCCGCTAGAAGAATCTCGTAGTAGATCGTAGCTTATAGCCTATACGAGTTACGCCTAAGCGTAGATTCGCGTAATAGTCGTACTTAGAGTAATACTATAGCTTAAAATACTACCTTAAACTCGAATATAACTAGAGCCCCTTCGATCTTTATTAGAGACCCGGCTAAGAAAGTATAACTTATAAAGGAAGGAAAGTACTTTATCTACGAGGAAAAAGATTACCTCTCCTATAACTATCCTAAGAAGAAATTAGCTATCGTTATAGTAACTACTACTAAATTATTAGTTAAGGAAGCCGATAAAGTAAACCTCGTTAAACTTAAGGGATCTAACTCCGACTCGAATACGGGAAAAGCCTAACCCTAGGAAAAGTCTCTATCCTAGAGGGTATATCTAAGCTAAACTTATATAAATTACTATTATCTATAAATAGTATAACTATTAACGCTTAGATAGCTATTAATAGAAGAACGGTTTAAATTAAATATTTAGTAGATACTAGAGTAGATAGATATCTCTATATTTATTCGAATATAGTTAGACTACTAGTATTTCTTAGGGTAAAGACCCTTAAGCTTCTAACTACTTATCTAGTTATAGGTTATAATAGCGGATTAAGGGAATCTATTACCTATATAACTAAGTTAACCCTTATAATCGACGGCTATATATAGCTTAAGTAACTAATATTAATTACCGAGCTTAGTAGAAATAATATAATCTTAGGAAGAGTATAGTTTATAGAGTATAATATCCTACTAGACTATAAGAATTAGAGGTTAGTATAGCTAGATTAGTCTACCCTAAGAGAGAAGGTTTAATAAGCTATATAGAAGGAGGTCCCTTATATTATCCTATAAAGACTAAAGATTATAGATATCTCGTAATATTAGAAGGATATAGAATAGAGAGATTAATACTTCGAGAAATAGGAAGAAAAGACTAAGAAGGATTTAAGTTATAAATCTTAAATTAATAAATATAAGAAGAAAATAGAGTAGAAAACTTCGGACTTTAGTCTTAATATCGCTACTATTAGTAGACTAGGATTCTACCGCTATATATAATTAGTAGGAATATAATCCTTCGTTATATCGCTAGCTTAAATTAATAAGATTATTAACTCTAAAGTAATAGAGGTAACTATATCTAAGATACTAGATATAAAGAAGATTATACCGAAGGAATACTATAAGTTTATAGATATATTCTCTAAGATCGTCTTAGATATACTACTACCGTTAAGAGGAATACCGGACTACCGGATCGAGCTTAAAAATAATTCCTTTAAGTAGCTTAACTACCTACTTTATAAAATAACGGAAGAGGAGCTATACTTCGTAAAGTAGTATATACTATAGAATCTAGTAAAAGGTTTTATCGTATCCTCTTTAGTACTATATATATTACTAATTTTAATAGCGGTTAAGCCCGGTAGTAGACTAAGATTCTATATTAATTAATATAAGTTAAATACGTTAACGAAGAAGGACCGATACCTCTTATCTTTAATCGATAAACTACTTTAACAGATTAGTAAGACTAAGTAATTTACTAAACTTAATATTTAATAAGGATTTTATAGGATTTGTATATATCTAGACTTAGAGGATCTTACGACCTTTAAGTTAAGATATAGGTTATATAAATATAAAGTCTTATTATTTAGATTAACTAACAGACCGGCTATATTCTAATATTATATTAACTAGGCTTTAGGAGATTAT